AGTGTAGCCAAGCCGGACGCGTAGCACGCGTGCCGCGGGAAGGCCCAACGGCGTCTACGCGCTGCCCGAGAGGCGAGGGATCGCCTTGAGGGCGATCCCGCGTGAGAGGAGGGGAAGGGCGGTGGAGGAGGGGTGATGCGTTGCACGATGTGTATATGGGGAAGGGGAGGGGGAGGGGGGTAGCGGCAGAGCGATAGGCGAGTCATCCTGTGCCCACGACGCAGCCTGGATGAGCTCCCGGCGCCCTCAGACATGGTCCGAGGGCGAAGATAGCGGAGCGCGGGCCTTCATTAGCCCTTCTCTTCTCGCCTTCGCACAATTTGCGCGTTTCTCCTCGGTGTAAATTAGTGATAGACAAGCGCGGTGCATATTTACGCACCCGCTCTCCTCCTCCTCGCGCCCAGGGGGCTTTGGTTGTTATCGTTATTCGCAGGTCGACACTGTTTGTTGCAAAGCGGTCGTAGCCGGAGGCGGGCGCTTCTAGCCTGCGCAGCGTGTTTGATAGAGAGGGTGGATATGGAGAGAGAAGGGAAGGCGGGAGGGTTGACGGAGGCGCCGCGTTGGTGGTCGAAGCTCAAGAAACGGGCTGATCGAGGGACGGCCGGTCCAGCCGGCCGATCCGACCACGTGCCCCCACCGGTCATCTGTCACACTTCCATGTGACCGGTGGACGCGTCCGGGACGCGTCCCACAGTCACGTCACACCTGGGGTGAGAGCGCTGCGTGTTGACATATGTCTGACTGGAGTGCTAACAGACCGTTAATTGCAACTCAGTGTACATTGATTGTCATCTGGGTTGTAATATTGGTATGTTGTAGCTTGTAATTCAGGCTAGAGTATGCAAGCAGGATTTAAGCACGGCAGTACTGTCCTACGAAGCAAGGAGGGAAAAGAGCTAGGGCACCTATTATCTGCTGCAAACCATGCCTAGAAGTCAGTGAAACCCTCCAAACAAACAACCAGAAAACATTGACAACCCTAACTCTGACGGCAAGCACGTGTCAGGAAATATTGATGGGATCAGCAAGCGCCTGCCCGGAATAGCAGCAAGCGTCTGCCGGGAAAGGCAGGGGTGACAGAAGCGTGACAAGATCAGCAAGCGTCTGATGGGACTCACAAGCGTGTGACGGGAAGTGTGCGAAACTGCTGATGGGATCACAAAACGCTTCCCAGGAAGTGTGCGACCGGTGTGCGACCGGTGTGCGACCAGTGTGCGACCGTGTGCGACCATGTGCGACCGCGTGAGGCTGGGTGGTACGCTCCCCGGCTGAATGGTGGACCATGTCGCAACTAAAGACGAGTCCTAAGAGCCCATTAAACCTATAACACAAGGCCCCCGTACTGAGATAAATGTCACCCAGCATCCTATGTCTGACACCAGCCGCAACCCGAGAAATATTGATGGGATCAGCAAGCGTCTGCCCGGAATAGCAGCGAGCGTCTGCCCGGAACGGAAGCGTGTGACGGGAATGGCAAGCGTCTGATGGGAATCACACGCGTGTGACAGGAATAGCAGCAAACTACTGATGGGATCACGAAACGCTTCCCAGGAAGTGTGCGACCACTGTGCGACCACTGTGCGACCGGTGTGCGACCGCGTGAGATTGCGCGGAGCCCTGCATGGTGGATTGGTGGACCATGTAGCAACTAAAGACGAGTCCTAAGAGCACCTCAATAGTATAATGCAAGGCCCTGCACTGAGAAAATCTCACTCAGCATCCTATGTCTGACACCGGGCGCTGCCCAAGAAATATTGAGCAAGCGTCCGCCCGGAATAACAGCAAGCGTCTGCCCGGAAAGGCAGGTGTAACGCAAGCGCGTGACGGGATCAGCAAGCGTCTGATGGGAATCACAAGCGTGTGACGGGAATGGCAGGAAACTACTGATGGGATCACAAAACGCTTCCCAGGAAGTGTGTGACCGGTGTGCGACCAGTGTGCGACCGTGTGCGACCGGGCCAAAACTCATTTTCTCGCGGCTATTGCGCTGCACACGACACTGAACGTGGTATTCCTAACTCTAACAACACTTTGGCTCAGCATACCTGCCCAAAACATCCTAGAAAAGAGTGGAGGGTGAGATGGTGAAGGAGCCCGGCATTTGCCGAAGCGTCTGATGGGAGGCGGTAACGTGTGGCCGGAAACCGCTGACGTCTGATGGGAATTTGCAAACGCCTGATGGGATTCCGGTGAGACGCCTGGCACTTCCTCGCCCAATATCTCTACCTTCCCGGACTTTCTAACCCTAACAAACATGGGCGCTACCAGGTTATCGATGTCTGCGCGTCGAATGGCACCGGTTTCAGCCTGATCGGAGAAAATTGATGGGATTGATCCAGGCGCGCGCTTGGAATCGGACAGAGGGTTAGGGTGTATGTTGTGGTCTGGGGTTCGAATCCCCAAAATGCGCTAGGGCCCTTTTTGTTCCGTGCGGCTTTTGCAGTCAACTAAGTGCATGGAGGTAAGCAGGGAATGCGGGGAATGAGAAAGACTGGCCCTGATGGACTGTGGCACTGCAACAGCAGTTGCTTTGCATATCATCACTTGCCTTATCTTACTCTGCCAGGCATCATGCTTGTCCATCATATATGGACTGATTATGCACCGATGATTACGTTCTTGCAGGTGCTTTCCCTACTGATTTGCCTTGAACAATGGTGGACATAAGTGCACGTACTTGTTGCGAACGAACGTGTGTACGTACGTACGTACGTGCGAAAATTGAACAACACCACAAGCCCGGGAGATGCAGGCACGACCATATCAAACTATTCACTCACTCATTCAACATCAGGCAGCACTTTTGCATGTTCCAGAAAGGCTTGTTGAATTGGGTACGGATACACGCCGACTAACGTATCCAGACGTCACCTAGCCCGCACTTCAATTGGGTGAGCACATGACCCATTCCCAAGAGCTAGCCGACGTCTCAGCCCGTTAGCCAACGTATGAGCTGCAGAATATATATGTACAACATATCGATAAACATTGTATGGCCTTCAAACGTCGGCTAACGCACCTGGACGTCGGCTAGCCCGCACTCAGATTTGGCGAGCACGTGACCTCACCCCCCAAGGGCTAGCCGACGTCTGAGTGCGTTAGCTGACGTCTGAGCGGCAGAATATATGTTTACAACATATCAGTAACCACCTGAGACACTTTAGACGTCGGCTAACGCACCTGGACGTCGGCTAGCCCGCACTCGGATTGGGCGAGCACGTGACCCCACCACCAAGAGCTAGCCGACGTCTCAGCCCGTTAGCTGACGTATGAGCTACAGAACATGAATCTACAGCATATTGATAAACATTGTATGGCCTTCAAACGTCGGCTAACGCACCTGGACGTCGGCTAGCCCGCACTCGGATTGGGCGAGCACGTGACCTCACCCCCCAAGGGGCTAGCCAACGTCTGAGTCCGTTAGCCGACGTCTGAAGCCTCAGAACATATTCATATTACATCTCTTCTTACATTATTGCACTTGAAAACCCCAGCCAACGCTTCCAACTCTGACTAGCCCTCGCCTGGTCTCGCAGGCACGTGACCTCACCGGCCAAAAGCTAGCTCACGTTGTGCTGGGGCGGTTGCCTTGAGATTTACCAGTACCATTCACAGTGCGTATCTTCACCTCCCAGTGCACTTAAAGACGTTGGCTAGCCCCCTCAACGTTGGCTAGCCCTGACGGTCCCAGAACACGTGTGTGATGGACGTCGGCTAGCCATCACAACCGCTTTTGGCGACTTTTCCCACGGGCGAACGAATTTTTTCGTACAAACGCGTGCGAACACATTCGTTCGCGCCATTGTCTGGAGCGCTTCCCCCTGCCCCCCTCGCCTCCAAACTTCGTCCAGCGGTGGATGGACATGCTGGCTACCCTCCTGCACCATTGGAACGTCAGCTAACGCGCATGGCGGGGCTCCTGACGTCGGCTAGTATTTCGGTAAATCGTGGGAAAATTTGAACGCGTTTCCCACGGTGCTAGCTGACGTCGGCTAGTGAGGGCAGATAGTTAGCCCGCTTGAGTCCGACTGAGTCCGCTTCGGCCCCCGGGCCGCTTTTCCTGATGTGGTCTCACCTTTGTCGCCCTCTCTCGCATCAAGTCCCTCGACGGGCTTCTTCTGACCGGCAAACTCGACTATTCTCGTGTCAAGAACCTCGGCGGAGCGCAGATCAAGCAACGACAAGATGATTGGAAGTGCCGTTATGGCACGGGTGGGTCTTCATTGTCGAGCGAATTTATATAGAGCTCGACTTTTCACAGATATTGCGCCGGTGGGAGGTAATGAACGAGAGGAGACAGAGTAGTCTTGAGTTCAGCCGCTAATGCAATTCAATGAGCCCAACACGCGTGTTTACCTGAGTTGTGGTCAGTGTTGCTCGCTTGGTCACAGCGAGCACCTCGTGGCTTGCCACCCTACTATGTTATGTGTCGCCGTGGGTGGTCGTTGGAAGCCGTCTGCCACTGGAGCTAACGTGTTGATCCCCCTAATCTGTTTGGTAGCGGCTTGCTCCCCCTAAGTAACGACGAGGGCTGGCGCATGCTTTGAGATGCAAGCCAAAATGATTGGTCGCCACCTTGCGCATGCGCATCCATCCGACGTGTTACTTCACGAATTAATCTACTTATTGCGTTAATTCATGCTGCGCCCTAGCTCAATGTTGTTCCCCCTAAGAATTGACCTCGTCATCCCCTTAGTTCACGCAGCTGTGGTTTCGAATTAACTTGTTCATCACCCTAATTCATCGAGTCACCGTCATCTTCCCCTAGGCATTTAGGCCGGTGTGCACCTGCGAACTCTGTCCCTTCTCGAATTAGCTGGTCTGTCACCCTAAATCATGAAATATCCCGGTCAGTTCCCCTGAATCAAGCGGTTTTCTCCCTAAATATTGACTGGTCATATGCTTGGAGGCCGGTGTGGTAGGGGGTCTGGTGTTACGGAACTAACACTAGTGCACGCAATAAGAGGGATAGGACAGCGGCCATAACCGAGGACCAAGCGATGGATACTTCGGAGGACTTCGCGAGCCCGGATGCGCCAACATCCTCGACTCGATCAGCCCCCGCAGACAGCAACGCCGCTCCTTCAGCGATGCCATCCCAGCCCGAGCGCTCGACCACTCCTCTCGGTCCCCCGCCGATACCCATCGGTAACGCTCAAGGGCCTGCAGATCCTCCCTCGTCTGCAATGAACAAGGGCAAGGAACGAGCGGACGCGATGGACACGACGTCCGACGACGGAGTCCACGATCACTCCCCCGGCCCCGCCGCGCAGAACGAGCGGGCGCCGCGCGGTCGCACAGGGGAATTCACGCGCCGCGTAGGACGAGGGCAGCGAGACAGTCTGGCGCTAGCAGGATACTCGCCAAAGGGAGAAGCTCCCGCTCAGGGCTCCCCGCTCCTTCCGCGTACAATGGTTGTCCGCGATCTGCGTCGTTGGGCAAATGCTGCAGACCTGGAATACGCTATTCGGATGCTGATGGACTCTGTGGGCGAAAGAGGGCTGGGCTTGCTGCGCGCGCTGTCGGTGGGAACAGGCGAACCAGACCATACGGGTCAGACCCCAACATTCGACGTGTACTTCACGTTCGATACTGTACGAGACGCGGCGCTGGCGATTGAAAACGCGGGACGCCCATGGGTCTTCCCTACGACCGGGCGCAGAACGCGGAACGCGCCAGCAGACTCACGCTTCTACGCCTTCAACATCGAGCTAGTCAGCGAGGAGGCGGTAACGGAAGCGGAACGCGGCGCCGACGTGCTGCGCTACCCATGGTTCAGTCTATACGCGGGCTCCACGCACACTGCGCGCACTTGGGACAGGCGAGCCCTCGCAGCCCAGCCGAGCTACAGGCCTCCCTCTCCGCGCCCAAGCGAGCCGGCCCGTCCCCCATCCACTCTCGCGCGACAATCAGCCGCGCCCGCGTCTACGACGTGTACGTCCACGGAGCCGAGCTCGTCGTCATCATCCACTTCGTCTGCGGCATTGACGGGAGGCCTCTTCGAAATTGAGACGCGCATTGACTTCGCGCTGGGCACCGTGACTATCAGTATCGACGACCTGCCCAGGCTCTCGCAGATGGGCGTCGACGTCGCCAGCGCGGAAGCTCGGCTTGATCTCGGTCAAGGCACCGCCACGCTGCCCTTGGACACCATGGTCCGCGTCTTCGCGCCACGCGCTCATTCTTCCTCTGCAATGTCGCACAAGACCCTTGAGGACCGGCTTAGCGACCCGAGGCGCGGCAGTCGAGACAGCGAGACCAGCTCCGACAAGCGCAAGAAGCGACGGCGGAGAGGTTACACGCCGCCCAGCACTCTGCCCGGACCTTCCCGCCGTCGCACGCCTTCACCGCCGCCGCCGCCAGCCGCGCTCGCGAGCCGCATTTCTTGAAGCCGCGTGACCTAGTCATGCAATTCGCTGTCTTCACAGATGGACAGAGCTCCAGTCTCTTGGGGGGGCGTTGTGAGGACCTACGTATACATCATACTATATATCAGACTACAGCACGAACATTTACTTATCTTGTACAAGAGCCAGGAGCTCGCTCACGTGACCGCGTCGCCGCCACAACCGGGCCGGACGGGACACGTGGAATATTCATTCTTGTTTACTGCCTTCATCGTCGCGAGTCGCGCCCCCGCTAGGGTCATTAGCCGTTCGCCACGCATAGCGCCCATGCCGGGGTCACGCAGCCGTTCGCGACGTATAGCGCCCTTGCCAGGGATACGCGGCCGTTCGCGACGTATAGCGCCCTAGCCAGGGATACGCAGCCGGTCGCGACGTATAGCGCCCGGCCCGGGATACGCAGCCGTTTGCGACGCACAGCGCCCCACCTGGGTTACGGTCGCTCACTTCGTACAGTGCCTGCCAGGACGGCATTACGCGATCGCCAGACGCGTCGACTCGTCGGAGCCTCCTCGAGGCCCCGCCTTACTCTCCGTACTGACTCTTACAGGACGCGCTTACAGTGGCTTGTTCTCATCCCGCATTGCACCCTCTCTATCTCGCCTGTATGACCTCCGATCGCCCCCAAACCTTCACCGTCATGCTCGCAGAGACCCTAGCTCTCTATCGGTACCCCATATACACTGCGTATTTGCAAGTTTTGACGCGACGTACGCCACGCGTCCCGATCCCGCAAAGATCCCCCGTATCTAACCAGATCCTGCGATACACAGCGCAAAATGGGTACCGCCAGACTCGTCTCGTCGATTACTTTCTAACCATACCCTTCTTTACATTGCGTACTGGAAAAACCTTGCGTATGCAAACCAGATAGTTAGGCTGATGCGGACCACGCTTCGGCCTAACTAGGTGCATAACGGTGCTAGTGTGGGGTGGCTGCCTAGGTGCATAACACTCCTAGTTCGTGTGGTGGACTGCCCTCCCACCTAGGTGCATAACGCCGCTAGTTTGCTCTGGTCGGCCTGCGCCTCGGCCATATGGACCAATCTTCGGTCTACCTAGGGGCATAACGGCCCTAGTTCAGCATGGCCGCATGAGCGTCGGCGCCTGCCTAGGTGCATAACGCCTCTAGTTTAGGCGGCGAGACACATGTGCTGCCCAAACTAGGTGCATAATGCTCCTAGGTTCAGTGTCTGACTAGGTGCGTAACGCGCCTAGATGTGGTGCACTGCCTCCTCAACTAGGCGCGTTACGCGCCTAGTTGCGGTGCAGTGCGTCCTCAACTAGGTGCATAACGGCCCTAGTACAGCAGGCCCGGAGCGCTCGGCTAACTAAGGGCGTAACGACGCTAGTTCAAGTGGCGAGACAAGTAGGCTGCCCAAACTAGGTGCATAACGCGCCTAGTTTGTGTGATGAGCCGCCTTCCCACCTAGGGGCATAACGACCCTAGCCCAGCAGGCGAGGCATGCTCGGCAAACTAAGGGCGTAACGACGCTAGTTTAGCAAGCACAGCGCAGCGCCAACTAGGCGCGTAACGACGCTAGTTTGGTCCGCGTGGACAAAACCTCGGCCGAGGCGGACAACGCTTCGGCCTAACTAGAGGCATAACGGCACTAGTTTGGCGTGGCGCGTGAGTGCCGGCGCCTGCCTAGGTGCGTAACGCGCCTAGTTTAGGTGGTCCGACAAGTGTGCTCCCATACCTAGGTGCATAACGGCCCTAGTTCTGCAGGCTCCGGACCATGCTCTAACCAAACTAGGCGCATAACGGCCTCAGTTCTAGCCCTAATCCTAACCCTAATGAACAGATTCAATCTGATTCAAACCTCATTCTGTTGCAAAAACCAGGATCAGAGGGTTAGGGCAAACTCGCATCTTTGACCACCGTCAATGACGTCCGCATCCCCGGTGAGCGCGTGAGCATGTTGTTGCTGACCCGCGCAGCCCGATGGTCAGCGCGCTGCGTCTCGGTATTTGCCGAGTCGTGAGAGTTTTCGACTCAGCGGTGGTGCATGCCACAAGGTGTGTCATACGACGGCACAGCAAGGAGGCGGGGGAACACGCTCGAGTGTGAGGCGGGATGGCGGGGCGGGATGAGGGAGTGGCAGGTGCGTGCAACGCATTGGGAGCACGAGTGGTGCGGACACGTGCTGCAGCGGGTGTTGGGAGGTACGTGTCGGGCGACACAATGGTTACAGTGAGCGGCGCAGGGCTGTCTAGGCTAGGTCTCCCTGTGAGGAGACCCTGGTATGTATTTCTACAACGTAGTCACTCCTGTACAGATAGAGCTAGTGACTGATCAGTAATACAATAAGCCAATTTAGTGATCAATTGAAATGAATCTAGTGATTAAAAAAATGAGATCTAAAGTGTGTTCATGACACTTGGCTAAACTCAAGCTGACTCAAATGGGCTCAAGCAGATTCAAGGGCAAGTCAAGTGTCTTGAGAACGTTTGAAATCGGGCAATAACTTTTGAAGCTCTTGAGCGTTTGAGACGCTTGAGCCCGCTTGAGCCCGGCTGAGTCCACTTCCGGCCATGGACCACTTTTCCTGATGACGCTAGTTTGGTGCGAGTGGACAAAACCTCGGCCGAGGCGGACAACGCTTCGGCCTAACTAGAGGCATAACGGCACTAGTTTGGCGTGGTGCGTGTGTGCCGGCGCCTGCCTAGGTGCGTAACGCGCCTAGTTTAGGTGGTCGGACAAGTGCGCTCCCGTACCTAGGCGCATAACGGCCCTAGTTCTGCAGGCTCCGGACCATGCTCTAACCAAACTAGGCGCATAACGGCCTCAGTTCTAGCCCTAATCCTAACCCTAATGAACAGATTCAATCTGATTCAAACCTCATTCTGTTGCAAAAACCAGAATCAGAGGGTTAGGACACATTCTCCAAGGTCATTGAGTCCGTTGTTGCCCGCCGCCTGGCACAGATGGCAGAGGAGCACGGCCTCATCAGCTCACAGCACTTCGGGGGACGGCCGGGGCGCACCACTACAGACGCGGTGATGTACCTTGTCCAGAGGATTAAGGACGCGTGGCGCGTGGGTAAGGTCGTCAGCGTGCTATTCAAAGACATATCACAGGCCTTCCCGTCTGTCTCCCACCCCCGCTTGCTGCATAACCTGCGACGACGTAGAGTCCCGGAGGTCCTTGTACGATGGCTCGCCAGCTTCCTCGCCGACCGGTGCACGACCCTCAAGTTTGACGACTTTACATCGCCTCCACGGGCAGCAAGCGTGGGCGTGCCCCAGGGTTCCCCACTATCCCCTATCCTATACCTCTTCTACGCCTCCGACCTGCTTGAAATCACCGATCCGGCCTCCCGCAATGAGTTCACCGCCGGCTTCATCGACGACACAACGCTGGTGGTTATTGGTTACTCAGTGGCGGACAACATCGCGCGCCTGGCAGCCCTCTTTCTGCAGGCACGGCATTGGTCGCAGACGCACGCCTGTCGATTTGACGTCGCCAAGTTCCAGTTAGTCCACTTTGCGCGGACCCCATCTCAATACGAGGCTCTCCCACTCGTTCTCGACGGGATCACCATACAACTGTCGGACACCGCACTTTACCTAGGCATCGTCATCGACCGGTGGTGTCAGGGGATATCCACGCCACCCACAAGCGCCCACAAGCGTGATGTGGACTCAATTGGTTTGGTCATGTTTGGTTTGTGGACTGATGGCATTTGCATGTGTTGACACCCCCCATCAGTCATCACCTATGACTCATCCCTGGTGTGTTTCCCTTATATCTCCTACTTCCCTTCTCCTCCTCTCCCTTTGGCAACCTACCCCTTTCCCTTTCTCTTATTTATCGCTTCCCCTTCCTGGACATTGCCAGTACTCTACCTGTCTCCCACCACCACTACTGTATGGCGCCTTATCGCACCATCATCGCTCACCGATCTTGTGACCTGATGACTGTAGTAGTTATCTCCTATCCCCTTGATTACTATAGCTACAGTATATATACAGGCAGTGGGCATCAGGAGATCCTTTGGGTTTGATCTCCTTGGTTCCCCGCTCGCCTAGGTGTGTTGGTACTTACTGGTTACTGTTCCCTGCTAATATACCTTGGTTCCCCGCTCGCCTAGCTCGCGCCCCTACGCCTGGCTCTTAGTTAACCTCCGGGAGTTCTCTAATCCAGAAACGCTCGTCGTTGGCTACGGTGGGCGTCGCCCATCGATGATCGCCCCATCCCCTCCTTGCCGCCTTGGGCCTGCCATACCCTCGGCTGCCTCCGCCGCCTCCTAGCGAGCCCGCCTCCCTTGGCTTGGGTTGCGTCCCCAGGCTTGGTCTACGCCTGCGCCTCTGCAGTGGTTGTGGTGCTAGTACTTCGGGGAACGGCCCTCCCTGTATGCCGTGGCACCCCTCGCCTCCTCGCTCTGGTGTGTTTCCCCTTCGTCCCCCGGTGCGGCTTAGTCGGTCGCACCCCTGGCAGCAGTGGGAAGTGTACCTTCGGGAGTACCACCCCTCGTCAGGCCTTCCGCTCCCACCGGTCCGTTGTGGGCTCACCTCCCCTCGCCTCGCTGGCCACTCGTCCTGGTCGCACCCCCCTTCCTGACCGATGCCGTCATCCATCGTGTCGTCCCTTCCCCCACTGGCTTGGAGCTCATGCTCGCCGTGGTACGTCTGGTCTTAGCGCCGCTCCTTGCGCTTCCTCCGGCGTAGGGCATCTCTCGGCGCCCTCCCCAGTGTACCTTCTCCCCACCTCGTCGATCAAGGCTACCCCCTCGATCCTGACGTTGCACCGTGCCCTCTCCTCCTTCCGATTGGTGTCGCCCTCCATCAATCACCGCCACCGGTCGCGTCTCTGACCGATACGCCTCCCCACTCTCCTAGTGACACCGCCCCCTCGTCACTACCCTCCACCTCGTGTAGGCGCTGGCGGCGCTGCCTACCGGGCACCCTACTCGTGGGCGCCCCCCATGTATGGCTCATGCATGGGTCCACTGTGTAGTGGTATTCAGTACGCTTGCCCTCCTCTCTCTACCGAGCTACGCCCTACCCTACTCCCTCTTCTATCGTCGGTCACGACCCGCCATCACCGTCGATCCTCTCCCTCGTCCACCGTGACGCTCTTCACCCTTCTAGGACGTCACGCCTCCCTCTAGGTGGTGTGGCTGTCCGGGGACCATGGCTGCCTAGATGTTAGCCTCGTCTCCGCTACCGTCTCCACTCGGCCACTCCCGGCTGGTCCCCTTACAGGTGGCTGCGATGGCGCCAGCAGGTAGAGCGTGCAAAAGCCAAAGCGACAGCGGCTACGCTCGCCATCGCGCGTCTCGCACGGCCTACCTTCGGTCTGCCCCACAAGTACGCGCGCCAGCTATACATATCGGTTGTGGTGCCGAAGATGGCCTACGGATGCCCGGTCTGGTACGAGCCCGTGCGGAACATAGCAGGCAGGAAGCGCCTCAAGGGGTCGGTCGGTGTCGCGCAACGCCTTGAGCAGGTGCAACGAAGTGCGGCGCTGTTCATCACGGGGGCTCTTCGGACGACCGCCACGGATGCGCTCCTCTTCCACGCGAGCTTATTGCCCATGCGATTCGCCCTGAACAGGGTTGTCTTTGACTACGCAGTACGAGCAGCAACTATGCCTCACACCCACCCTCTCCAGCGGCTGGTCTCACGGTGTATGGCCCATTACCCGCTCCGGCACCGAGGCCCGCTGCACGAGATGTACAGCGCCTTCCCACAAATCCGCGGCGTGGAAACGATCACCCCGACACTGCCTAAGACGACCTGGTCACCACCATATACGTGGTCCATCGAGGGCAGTCGCGAGGAGGCTATCGCACGGTGGGGCGCGGACACGGCCCTCGGACGGACCCTGTTTGTCTACTCGGATGGGTCTGGGCACGACGGGGGAGTCGGCGCGGCGGCGGTTGCGACAGACGGCCGAGGCACTAAGTGGGTACGCCGCTTTTACCTGGGCACTCTGGACGAACACACGGTCTTTGAAGCGGAGGTGGTCGGGACGATTCTCGCATTGGACATCGCCCGAGAGGTCAAGCGTATGCGGCGCGTTGTCATCCTGCTCGATAATCAGGCCGTTATCCGCGCGGAGCCGAAGTGGCGACCCCAGCCGGGCAAATACCTGGTCAGTGCCTTCCACCAATCCCTTGTCCAGGTTCTCCGCCAAAAGCCGCACCTTGACATGCACATCGCATGGATCCCGGGTCATATGGATGTCCCAGGCAACGAGTGGGCGGACGAAGAAGCCAAGGCGGCGGCGGCGGGGTCCACTACTCAACTCCGTCATCCACCTGCGGCGCTCAAGGCTACATTACCCGTCAGCGCGGCAGCGCTGAAGGCGGCGCAGAAGAGAAACGAGCGCGGGCAGTGGACCGAGTGGTGGAAGAACTCACCGCGCTACAAGCGCATGGCGATGTTCGACCGGTCCGCGCCTGGTAACGCGATACGCAAGCTGTACGCCGACCAACCGAGGCGGAACTGCAGTCTGATCACCCAACTCCGTACTGGCCACGCCCCCCTCAACCAATACTTGTACCGGATCGGGGCCACGGACTCGCCCCGCTGCGCTCACTGTGGGGTCCCGGAGACAGTCCGCCATTTCCTGCTCGTCTGCCCGAGGTATGCGATCCAGCGCCGCACGCTGCGACAGTCCCTATGGTGCGCCCCTACCTTGTCTTTGCTGCTTGCGGTCCCCAAGAACATATCTCATACTCTTACTTTTGTTCATTCTACACGTCGTTTTCCTCACTACTCACTTATAGATACTGCCCATTAGATTAGTCACCTTACCTTACTATTACAGCGGAGGCCTTACGCCTCCAGCGCCCGATTATAGGGGCACGCATACGCTCTTCCCCTCCAAGCACGCACCCCATACTCAATTCGGACCCGCCCACAACATCTTAGATGCAAGCTATCCTTACAGCGTTATTTAATACCATTTACCTACCCTTTAACACGATGATAGCTAACAGTAGTTTACGCTCAGGTACTGTAGGATATCCCGCGCGAGGACATACGCCTTACAGGCGGAGAGCCTCGCTGACGCTCGTCTCAATAGGATTTCATCATCATCATCATCATACTGCCAGAACTTTCCTGGTGTATTCTGAGAGGAAACGCCAGTACATACAAGGGCTACCGCAGAACTCAGGTGAGCTACTCAGCGTGGTAGTGCTTGGTAGAAACGACCTGGATAGCAGTGTAGCGATTACCATGACCCAGGAGTGGACGGTCAGATCGGAAGTATTTTCATGAAATGCCCGGCGCTTCGCGTGGCAGTCCGGGAGGCCGGACCGGGTGTCTGGCGGCAGCGTCGGCGCACGAGTACTTTTCCATCAACAGGTCGGCGACGACAGCGACGGCGACGGCGACGGCGATAGACGCGCTGCTCGATCTCTCCAACGTTCATCACCATCATCTTTGGCTTTTTCACCCTTGACTTTTTCGCACGCACATACCTTCCTTTCTTTACCGACCTTCGCGACCGACCGACAAAAAGGACGCTCGCCGCGAGCGACGACGCCGGCGTTCGGAGCTTCATCTGACAAGCACCTGCGCGATCGACAGTCGCAGGGCATACATACGGAGCGCACACCGTGATAGTCAAGGGGCCTATCACCGCGACCTTCCGACCGCAAATGGCTCCTTTCTTCAGCCGTTCACGCACCACGTCCCAGGCCGCCCGCGCCGACACACCCTCCCTCGTCCTCGACGACGCCCCGCTCCCACCTCCCCCACCCGACCCGCACGCGTTCCTCCCGCTGCACATTGCGCCCCCGCCGCGATCCTCATCCGCGTCCGTCTCCGTCGCCGCCTTCCCCCCGTCCCCCAGCGGTGGCGCCATCACCGGCCCCAGCATCCCGCCCCCGCAGTACGGCTACCTCTCCTATCGCCCGGGCACGACGCTTGGCCTCGCGCAGGCTGCCGCGCTCGCCGACGTCCTCTGCGCCGAGCTCACCGCGCGCGGCGCGCCCTCGACGCCCTTCATCTTCTCCGCGCTCGCGCTCGACGTCTCGCGCGCCAAGATCAATCGGCTCATCGACGCGTTCCTCGGGACGTGCGTGATCGGCATCGGGAAGGAGAAGGAGGAGCGGGAGAAGCGCTGGCGCGAGGAGGTGCGGTTCGGTGCCGGCGTGCACGAGATGGGATTCGTGTTGCGATGGGGCATGGCGCGCGTGCGCAGGGCGAACGGAGAAAGAGGGCTGCTGAGCCTGTCGTACTACGACGAGTGGGCGAGGAACGAGGAAGGTGCGTCGCGATCATCTTCACTCCAACGCATGTCATTGACGACCTTCGTCGACAGCCCAGCACTACCCGCCTACCCACATTCACGCTCTTCTGCGTCCTCTACCTCCCGCCCTTCGCTCTCTCCTTCATGCCCTCCTTACCCTCCTCTCCCGCGTTGTCGCTCACTCTGCCAAGTCTGGGCATACTCCACCGAGTTTGGCACCGCTCTTCGGACCGTTGGTGTTCGGACTCGGAAAGGAGGGCGCTGGCTTTAGCGGAGTCTACGAGAGGTGAGCTCTCCCGATCATGTCGCCATGGATCCACTTGGCTAGCGGCGTATTTAAGCCCCGGTTGCCCACCCACACCCACGGCCCTAATCCATTCCTTCACCATCTGCTTTCCTCAACCTGGCATGCATTCTTGATGATGACCCCGTCACTAACGCTTCCCTCAGATACCTCGCCTCGACTACAGCCATGGAACACCTCTTGCTCGCCTTCTTCCGCGCGCAAGACGCGGAGACGGTCGGTGGCGCGCCGACACGATTGCGCGAATGGATCGCGGGATACCCGGGTGCGCTGGGGAGGGCGAGGAGAGAGGGTGAGTCCTGTTCGCGTCCGAGTTGAAGCGTAGTTGGGAGACGACACGGTCGGCGCGGACGGGAGTCGGCAAGGGGAGTGATCGAGACATAGACGCGCGCTCCCACCACCCCCTCGACGTCCATCTGCGAATGTGTCCGTCATGTACCACGGTCCCCCTTCCTCTTCTCTTCCCAAATCCCCCCTCACTGTATCGTCTCTCGCACCCTCCTTATACCTGCCTTGTAAATCTTGATCCCTCGCGACGTCTTACTGACCTTTCCTTTTCAGCCCCCACCCGCCCCGGCGCCCTCGAAGCGCGCAAGGGCGCGCGAGTCGTGCGCCTCATGAGCGTGCGGCGCAACGTCCGAACCTATGAGACTGACCTCATCAAGAATGGAAGCCTATGGGGCTACTCAGGTTAGTTTGGCTCGACCACATGCGGCCTGGTTCGTTGTGGCTTCGGTCTACGCGCAATTTACGCCCCCTCTCTCCTCCATTTCCTCCACCAACCCTGCTTTGCTCGCGTCGTATGCTGACATTCGTCACAGCTCCCAACCACCCACCGACCGCCCTCGCAGCGACCCGCGAGTGGGAACGCATGACCGTGGGCGGCCGCGAACCCCGGTACAGCGACAACTTCAAGAAGCGTCTGGACCTTCCGACGGGCGCGGTGCCGGCGACGCCCCCTGCGGCGGGGAATGGGGTGAAGGAGTACGGCGTGGTGAGTGTCTGAAGCTGCGTTGAGGGGGCGCGGTCAACATTGACGCGTCGAGCGTTCAACTTTGGCTTCGACGCTCTCGGCGTTGGCGGGGGGTGGCGCGTTTCGCTATCGCCTAACCATCGTCGGTTGTACGAGTATGCTAACGACGTCGTCTAGTCGAGCTACCTCTCCCCAACGGGCACCACGTCGCCGTACGGGGACTACTTGGGCGGCGCGCCCCTGTCGAGCACGCCCTCATTGACGACGAGCGAGGGGCATGATGATAAGTTCAAGTCCCTTACGGATCTCAAGGTAAGTCGCGGCTGAACCTACAGATCTGCGCGAAGCTAATACGGGTGTAGTGGGGCGAGTTCGAGGCGCTCGGCTTCGACGAGCAGGGCGTGCAGGACAAACTGAAGTTCGACCTGGGCGAGAGCGCGAGGAGTGTGAGTAGAGTCCTCTCCATTTGGTGACGACGTTGGTGCGTCATGAGCGAGTGCGTCGTCACGCCGCTCTGGCAGACCCACGTCAGCGAGAGTCGACGTTGAATGTCGAGGTCGTCGACTCGCACTGCCAAGGCCATCGACGTTTTTCGCACAAGCGGAGGACCCCCATTGCGAGACGTGGAAATCCATGCTGACGCACTGGCCTTTTGCAGGCTCGCAAAGTTAAGCGCGGCACGATCTCATGGAACGACTTCAGCTCGGATGGGTTCTTGAGAGGGTGAGTAGCTTTCTGCGCGATGGTGGGCTTAGTGGACAGGTTGAGTTCTAACATCTTGACAGAGACGACGGTCTCGACGAGGGTCTTCGATTCACTCTCGACAATCCTTTGGGCGTCGGCGCGTCCGCACATCCTCTGAACGAGAAAGAGATCAAGGAGCGGCACGCCGAGCTCACGAAGAAGCTCAAGAAGAGGGAGAAGGTGAGCGCCTGATCGTTTTACGGCGAGGAAGTGCTGTTCTGACCTCGTTACTCAGTCTCTTCCCGCGTTTGGCTGGGATACGGCACCCGTCCTTGGTAAGTAGCGCCGTCGTCCGTCTACCTACATACTAACGAGCACCTCAGGTCCGGACGTCTTGATTGAGGAATCCTTCCTCGATGTGTACTGCGACCTGCTGTGCGGTGGTTGGCAGACACCTTCCGAACGTGCGTCGCTCCAAGCGCACGCTCATTGCGCATGCTGATGCTGCGCTTCCAGCTTCCGTGCCGCCCCATCCTGCCGATGGGCACCCACCAGGGACACCCGATCGTCATCGTCGAAGACCGTCTATGGGAGGACTCTCAGAGGCCGACCTTGCACGTGAGTGCAACTGGGCAATGGTGCGTTGCTGAGAGGGTTGCGTTAGCCTTGACTGATCTTTGCGTCAGGTCGAGTATAAGTCATTGCAAGCGTCTTCTTCATCGATAGCCGGTCGGGGTCCATCTCCCCTCCCCGCCTCCTCATCCAACTCGAATGACCCCCGCCAAGGCAGCACCCTCATCCTCTTCGAGGAGTTCGTCCCCCACGAATATCGACAACAACTCGCTCTTATGCTCGGCGGTCACAACCAACGGAAGCGCTTGCCCTCACTGTTCAGCTCTTCGCCTGCGTCATCACCCAGCAAATCCCCAAGCAAGTCCTCTCCGTCGACGCCAGTCAAGACATCCAACAAGACGCCCTTCGCGGCCACCATGCCCTCGAAAGGTCGCAAGGGCGGCGGCAAGTGGAAGCAAGCAGCGACGCTCAACGGCAAGCCATACAACGTCGGCGACGTCCCCGAACTCACGCGCGCTCCGAGCTCGGCGACATCGCAGAAGGAACACGAGTTCGAGGGTATGCTGCGCGGCGACCGCGTCAGCGAGACGAAGGTCATCCGCCTTACGCCAGTGGACGACGGGGAGCGTACGGAGTCTGGCGAAGGTACGACCGAGTTCGGTGTCGCGCGTGCACAGTCGCGGGGGAAAGACGACGCGAAGGATGCGAGTCGCAAGTCTCGCTTTCGACTGACTACTGTCGGACAGCCCCTCTCGCCGGCGGAGTACAACCCGGTCGAGTTTGAGACGCAAGTGATCGAGGAGGGCGACGATGGGGAGCCGTCGGGCAAGGGGAAGAAGCACAAGGACGACGACGCGTGGGTCGACATTCTCATCGCGGGGCAGAACCGAATGCCGGGGCAAGACGCGGAAGCACGACCGCGGGCAGGTGGCGCGCGCGCGAACACGTACGACCCGGACCTGGCGAGTCGCGAGGTGCAGGAAGTGCTGCGCGGCGTCCACCGGGACAGCGTCGACGTCGACAACTTCTACGGCCAAGATCCACACGCGAGCGTGGACGCCGTCGACGAGATCGAGACCATCCCGCATCGCGAAGACCGTCCTCGCGCACAGGAGCCGGAGAGTCAAGCGTACACCGACATCGACTACGCGGAGAGCGAAGCAGACCGCGACGCGGCGTCGGAATTGCAGGACGGGCAGTCCGGCTACGGCGGCGACGACGATATCGACGACGATGACGAGTCCATTCGCTCTCCAGCACTTGACGCGATCCAGCAGAAGAAGCGCCAACTCTCCTACTTCGATCTCCACCCCGAGCGACGACCAGTATCTCAAGACGCCGCGCCACGCCCATCAATCGAGAGCGGGCCCACCGATGAGAGCGCTATGCTCGACTCGACCGTTCCCGATTCGGACACGGAAGAGGGCGCGGGACTGCGGCCGGTTAAGGCGGGGAGTTACGTGAACGACTTCGACGACGACGAGCCGCGGCAGAAGACCCCGCCCGCGCATACAAACGGTGCCGGCGCGGGCGCTGGTGCCGCGAAGAGCAAGACCGCGAGTCTCATCGAGATGTATCGGGAGCGCGAGCGTGCGGGGCAGGCGTCGCCGTCGAAGATTCCCGTCCGCGGGCCGGTACCTCTCGCCGTCGGGACTGCGCCACCGATGAACGCGACTGGCTTGGCGGCTCGTCCGGACGTACCGCCGCTAGACATCCTGGACCCACCTCCCCCACTGCTCGAGCCGGGGCGCGAGAGCCCGGGGCGTTACGTCCACGGTGCGCCGCTGCATAACGTCCTGGAGGAGCCGGAGGAGGAAGAGTAAGCGTTCAGTCCATGTCTCGCCCCGTCTGCCACCTTAACAATCCAATGTTATTATACATCCTGCCCTTGTCCTTCGTCTTGGATACGCGTCCCTGTCCGTCATATACGCCACTCTTTTATCATTATGTTGACCGCCGTCCTCGCTTCATATGCTGGCTTTCTCTCTCGCGTAGGCTACTACTTACTAACCATGTGCATTCTGATACCCTTCTTTTCTGCATATCATTCGTACCCGTACCGAGTTCTTTCGTGCCGTGCTGCTCTGCTGCGCGGACGCTCGCCAGTAGACACCGTTCTTATCCAGTGTTTCCGGGCCCGCTGCTTATGTCGGGATGTCGATGCGTAGTTTTATCTGTAGTTAAGGTCTGCTACTCTCGTCGTGTCAGTGGTATACGACGATGCTTTCCATCATAATTCATGGTTTGGCTTGCCGTGTGTAACTTCTGGGCTGGACTGCGACTTACATGAGCGTGCAACGTGGACTGGATTGACGTCACACGCGCATCTTGGACCTGAACCACCACCAGTACGTGACTGGTGATAATGCCTCTATTGTCGTGCCTATTCTAAGCCATCTCCTCCTTAGACAGTACGGTTTCTCATTCTTGAAGATGCTCTGAATATAACACCGAGGAACTTCAGACGAACGATGCGATCGACACGACGTAAACTGCCGCAATGGTCAAAAGATCCCGTACAGCGCGTCAACATGATACAAGACATCGCCTTCCAGCTCAACGGCAATACGCCTTGGTCGCAAGGGCCAGCGTCGAACCGCCGCGACGCCCTGGACAAGCTGCGCGTCCTGCTTGAACCCGCAGACGCCTTCCCGGGCCTCTCGGACAAGGACAATCGAACAAAACGTCTTGCAGAAGACGACCCTGCTATTGAAGCTATCACCATGGAGATACGTATCTTCAGCTTTGCCTGCGAGGCTGTCTGCACTCTGGAGGACGGTGGTGGCGATGTCAACGACATGCTCTACCGCTTCTGGCCCAACGCGATCGACTGGCTAGCATTCCTGCATCCGGGCAGCGACAGCGTGTATCCTACGAAGTCCTCTTCCGGAAACTACCTGGTGCTCGAGGGTCTTACGAAGGCGTACCTCTACATCTTTCAGTACAACCGCGGTCACATGGAGCGTCTCCTTATTGACAGGCCGGATATGCTCTTCTTCGTGTTCGACTTCTGGCTCAGGTTTCCGCGCTATATTCCGGAGACGATGCTTCATCCCGAGTTCAACGCTGCAGACACTATTCACACTCTTCTCAACGCGGTATCTACTCTGTATAACATGGTTTCTGGCTGGGATCTTCCACACCCACAACGTCGCTCTCAGCGCAACCTCATCAGCGTGGACGACGCGCGCGCGATTTTCGTGCGAGAACTTCAGAGACATCTTGGCAAGGGCGGGCTTCACACCTTCTTCACGAAGCAGAACGAATATCTCGCCCACCTGTTCATTCCGCCTCGCCTCGTCGGGAGAGTATGGTACATGCAGTTCGAGCTGCAGTCCCTGATCATCCGCAATCCCGCGTTCGCGCGTGACATCTGTCCGCGTGCGTACTTACGATCCATCGTCGAGAGCACGAATATTCTGCTGGATCAACGCCTGCATCGGGATGCCATCGCGGGTGCGGACCTCCTCGGTATTCTCTGCCAGGCTACTGAGAGCAACAAGACGTTGATGCGCGCTCTCGAAGCTGGCGCGTACTCTATCATCAAGCGCATTGGCATGGCGTCCGAAGACTACAATGTCATCGAGTTCACGCACCAGCTTTGCACTGGCCTCGCGCAGGCGTCCGTCCTGCGTGTCTTCCATCGGCTTCACAAGGACGAGTTCGACCCGGAGCCCACCCCTATGGATCCCAAGCGGCGATTGAACTACAAGACAGTCATACGTCAGTTCAGCAGCCGTTACAAATTCTACCTGGTGGAAATGAAGAGCGAGAAACATTGGAAGCAGTTCCCCTGCTCGAACGACGCGGTAATGGTGTTCTCACACTTCTGTCTGCTTTTTTAATGAGTTTCTTAGGGCTCGCACACAGCTCGAGTACGCGTTTGTCCGTGTGGCGATGCGTTCTACTGCTCCAAGCGATGTCAGCGTGAGCACTGGACGAAAACACACCACTCTACGTGCTGCGCGAACGATGGGCCGTGGAGCTTACACGGTGAGTCGCGCGTCTGATGTTTCCCCTATGCAGCGCTCAAGCTCTACCCACAGGCAATATCTCGCTGCTCGATGTCGTATTCTATGCGATTGACGCACATATATACGTCGTTCAGCGCCCGCAAGAGATCGCCGCCAACATCCTCTCGATGCACGAGAGGGGAAAGCTGCCGGTCGTCACCTTCGAGCAGAGCCAGATATACCCAGCGGTCCGTGCCACCGTGCGTGCGCTCGAGGAGGACTCCCTATGCGCGTCTGCACCGCGCGGGACGGTGTTTCTGGAAGTGAAGATAAATCTAGGCCGAGACCAGCCAACGCGGATGCTGCCCTTCACATACACCGTCGACTTCTTTGAGAGGGTGGTCAACAATCCTTCATGGTTTCCAAAGCCGCTGGACACTGGCGGAAGGAAGTAGATCTGGTTCATCCCTCGGTGTATCGCTTGCCTAGTTACAGGGTGGCCTTTGCAGTGCTCACGCCGAACACATTCTTGGACGGAACTGCGACTGTTCGCCCACCGCACGCATAGCGGCGAACCCGCTCTCCCGTTATATTAGGCGGTCGCCCGCGCTGAATCGAGTTCTCTTCTACGCAACATCTCTTGTGACCCGCTTGGACGTCGCGGTATCAATACCTTCGCACAAGTCGCTACACGTGAAATGCGCGTTGATATGCCCTTCGTTACGTGATACGACAGAGAAAGGTAGAAAACAAATATCTCAATGTACACACACTACCTAGTACATAGCCTTGAGCAAGTCCGAAGCAGAACGTACAGCAAGCAGTTCGATGCCAAACAAAGGGAAACATAGACAACACGAGATGCGAGGTAAGGTAAACGAAACGTGAGGCGGGGATAGTAGAGAATCAAAGGGCGAGAACGGGGGAAAAGATCTGGAAAGCGCAATCGCCGGAGCAGACCCTCCTCACGAGCCTCCGTCACCATAGCGTGCATGCGTTCGTCGAGAGGAATATTGACCTTCTGGGATCGGGGCAAGCCGATGGACGCGGAGTCAAAAGCTGCCGCATGCTGAACGCGAAGTGATCGCGAACAGCGCAAACCCGCACGGCGTGCCCGAGGAACCCTCCATCATTCGATCTTCACGCACACGGGAGGTACGGATTGGAGGCGGCGGTCCATGGTGCATTCCGTTTCTCCAGGTGTCGCCTCTCGAGACGGATCGTCATCGGCATGCGAAGCGCCGCCTTGGTTCCCTAACCTCCTTCGCTTCGCGCCGTCCGGTCGGCCTGCGTCGTTGACCCTCTTGCGACCCGCTAGCACACTGCGTGTAGCGCCTTTTCGAAGGGGCGAGTCGCTCCCGGAGGACGCGGTTGATATCGGTACAATGACGGGCGCAGATGGCGTGGACGACATCGCAAAAAAAGTTGTGGGAGATGATTGTGACGAGCCTCCGATATGCGGCAAAGGTTGGGTCTGCGCGAGCGAGTGGGGACGCATGAGTGGATGCGATGACGATGGCTCCGCTTGAGAAGGTAGCGCTCGCCGTGACGGTGATGCTGATGTCGAAGGCGTTGATGTCTGTGTCGCATCTCGCGCCTGTCCAAAAGCGCCATCTGCGTCACCGGCGGAAAAGAGGGAGGCCAAGGAGCCGGCTTGAGTTGATGTTGTGCAATGGGAAGAGGGCGGGCCAGATATCTGCGACATGGACGGCAACGACGGCTGCGAGGCGGTGAGATGGGTAGCCTGCGAGCTCGGTGGTGTACGATGTTGTGAGGTAGAAGAGAGTGCAGGTGCTTGTGATGCAGAACCTTGCGCGAACGACGGGGCGTCCGACGTGGCCCGCAGTTCCCTGACCTCCGCCGCGAGTCGCACGTGTAACGTATGTGCTTTCGCGAGCGCCTCCTTCCACTTGGCAACCTCCGACCACGCTTGCGCAACCTCCTGATCGTGCCCAGCGGGTTGCTTGACGCCGCCGGATGCATTCGAGCCCGCTCGCGAGCCACGCTCCTTGCCGTCCACCTCTGCCCGCCGAAGGGCTTCGCTAAGCTCCACGTTCAACGCCTGTAGCTCTCCGCGAGCCTTTTGAAGGGCGGCGATCTCGCCTCGAGCGGAGAGGAGCTCGGTCTGCAGGTTCGTCATCGTCTCCCTCGCCGCGAGCAGTTCGCCTTCGATACGGAGGAATGACTCCTGCGTCTGCGCACTGAGGTCCCGCGCGCTGACGACTGGATGATGAAGCACGTTGAACTCGTGACTAAGGTGCTCGATGTCAGCCTGTTCGAGGAGTGCGGACGAGAAGTGAGCCGAATGCGCGTAGCCACCGATAATTGCAGCGACAACGGGATGTTGGCCAGCATAGGAAGAGGAGTTGCACGTTACGGTCGCGGCAGATGGACCTGGGCCTGCGGGGGCGAGGGTAGCGGTCGCGGTAGACACATCGGCAGCAACCGACGAACTATCGACAACTGCTCGAGGCATCGAGCTGGTTGACTCATCCTGAGACTCCTGCTTGACGCTGGAGTCAAGTGCGGTCGTCATCTGCACACACTGGCGCTGAACGCCGTCGAGCTCGGCATGCGCCCGATCGAGCTCTCCCCTCGTCGATTCGAGTTCGTCCTGCACCGCTGCATACGCGTTCCGTAAGGCATCCATCTCGCCCTTCGCTGCGTCGCGCTCGTGCCTGACCTCCGCAAGTTCTCTCGAAAGCTCGTTCTCGTCTTCACGCTTCACAGGCACTGGTCCCCCTTGTGAGAGCGAGGTCTCGCATCGCAAATTGTCGCGGTCGATGACCAATCTATCCCGCTCGCCCTTCACGCTGTCGAGCTCGCGCTTCGTACGGTCAATCTCCACCCTCGCCTCGTTAAGCTGCCGCTTCAGCCCATCCGCTTCCGCTATGATCCCAGCACGCTCGGCGTACATCTCACGCACCGCCGGCAGTACCGACCGTCGCATCTCCTCCTCGGCCCTGACGGCGGCGAGCTCAGAGCGCAGCTGACTCGCCTCGTCTCGCGCGGCTTGCAGGTCCTGCTTGGCGGAGTCTCGCTGCGTGCGGGCCATGGCTAGGTCGCGCTGAGTCTCGCCGTGTTGTGCGCGAGTTGTGCTGAGCTCGGTGCGCAGGGTGTTGAGCTCGCGGATGGCAAGGTCGCGCTCCGAGTGCGCGATGGCCTCCCGCTGGCTGGTCGTGTTCGCGAGGTTCGCGCGGGCGAGACTGAGCTCCGCCTGCTGACTCACGATCTCGCGCTGCGCTGCATCTCGCTCTGCGCGCGCCTTGGCGATCTCCGAGCGCGCTAGCTTGGCCGCTTCCATGAAGTTCGCGCGCATGGTATTGTTGATGCTACCAGCGGCGGAAAGAGCGGCCTGCATGGTGCGGATTTCGTTCTGCGTCGCTTGGAGTTCAGCGCGGCTCGAGTCGAGTTCGACGCGCTGGGCATTAAGTGCGTTGCGCATGTCGTCGAGCTCGACGCCGAGTCTCTGGGATTTGGTGACTGCCGCGAGGGCTTGCTGTACCGCAGAGTCCAATAGAGCGCGCATGCGTGCACGTTCGGACGCGAGTTCTTGGCGCTCGATCTCGAGCTGCTGCTGCGAAGAGACCGGATCGGCCGACGAGTGTGCGCGCAGCTGCGAGGCGAGACGCTCCCGCTCTTCTTCAAGTTGCGCGATCTGCGCCTTGTATGGGTGTAGCACCTCTGCAAGGGCGGCGTCAACGCGGGAGAGGACGTCCGCATCAGGCAGCGTGGAGGGGGGCGAAGCTTGCTGAGAGGATGACGCTGGTCGCGAGAGCGGGGGTCTTGACGGCGCTGATCGGGCGAGAAACAAGTCTTGCGAGGGACGCGATGTGTTTGGTGAGGATGCATCGTAGTTCCGAGGGGTGACGGAAGGACCTGGCTGAAGAGCAACGTCCGCGCAGTTGACAGTGGACGGATGGGGCGACTGCGACGTGCCGATGGCATCATACACGTAGTTGGTTTGTAGCCGAAGACTTGCTTGAGGTATAGCTTGCGTGTCTGGTAGTGTGAGACCGTTCTCCCGGTACCATTCGAGGACGGACGTGGGAATGCTTGCGGGGGGCGTAGTGATGTTCGACGCAGGGGAGGCTGAGATTGAGCCCGCGCCATCCATTCTAAGTGTACTTTGAGACAGAAGTAAATGGTACTACAAATAGTTCACGCACCTGTAGACCTCCTACTTCGTCCTTTATTGGCGTGGCGCGAGCCAGATAATCACGAGTCCCGATTGCAAGGGGAATGGGGTACGATGCCGGCTGGCAGTAGAGTATTCGAGTGCTCAGGTATCGTCGGACTCCTTGAGTCCTTCCAGGAATAGCTCTTGAGCACGGAGGAGGGAGGGGTAAAGTGGGCGAATGATTGCCGATACAAGACAGATGATGGTCAAGGACAAGGGCCGTTCGGCAATTCCCGAACTTTCCTTGCCCTTATGCATGTCAGAATCCATGCGAGCGCTTGAAGATTCACAGTCTCCAGTATGGACATCGCCCGTAAACGATAAGAGCAGCTCTTTGACTGTGAAATGAAGTCGTCTCCATACGGGCGCACCGCTCCGTGAATCCAACGACCACCTTATCAGCATTGGGAACGCGTCCAATGCATGATAGGCTCCCTACGACGTGGTAACGCTCAGTACAAGGCGAGAGTGATATGAAGAAGGATATCGCTCTGCATCTCTAGTTGAAGGCCCTATCCAGGTCTCTAGAACGCCCTCGTTATGCTGAGCGAGATGATCAAGCGCGTCGCCTCTCTCCTGCTCATTACCAAGGGCAGTACGTTCTCCAAGGCGGCGCCCTCCCGACAGCAAGCAGACACATCTTTCGCAGAGTACCACGGCCTCTTACCCCTCACGCGCACCGGGTCGGGGCTCGCACACTAAACCAATGTTACCCGGGCGATGTCTTCTACTGGTCAAGCGGTACCGGCGCATGCGCTGCGTCGACGTCGACCGCCTCTCATGCTTCGCCGACGACAGACAGTCCACGGGGCTCACACGACAGACAGATCCAGCGCTCGTGTATACCTTCAATGTTTCGCAGCGTATACTCTGATGCCAACTTGCCCTCAATCCTAGGAGAGTGAAGTAATCGCACGCATCCGATTATGACAAGAAATACTCGAAGGGATAAGTGATAGGTAAGCGGCGCCTCAATGTTGCTTTTCCGGATCGAAACGCAATCTCGACGAAGACGCGCTGGGTATCCGCGAGCGAGCTTGCCGTCTGCGCCTCTAGCTCAATACGCGGGGCAAGCACATCAGTATAATCCGTTACCAAGCATATTTGCTGCATGAATTTGCGCCCGCCCGCTCTTCTCTTTTTGTCGAAGGCCGCGAGCTTCTCGCAAACCTCAGGGTTCTTCTTCAGCAGGAGTGTTCCCTCGAGGACGAGATCAAACAGGAAAGTGACGTCGTTCAGAGAGAAAGTGCCTTCGTAGATGTAAGCTGAAAAATTCGCCGCAATGGAAGATTTGACTTACCATGAAGGCCCCAAGGTCCGCTGTCGCGACGGCATTGCGTTCGATGAACGAGCTTCCAGTGCATGCGCTGACAGCTGCCGGAGCAGTAGACAACATCGCCGCACGGACAGATATCTGTAGACTGATTGTGGGGACCCTGCGCAAATTAGTTTCTCGCATCCTTTGCGTGCTCTGACGGCGCTCACCCTCTGATTGTTGCAGTATATGCGAGTCCTCCACGCGCCCCTACTGCCATACTTTGTCTCGTATAAGCTTTGGTAGTTCCTGTGCGCAAACGCAGCCAGACGCCACGTTACAATCTTCATGGGCGCCACGGGTAGAGGACCAAGGTCGGGATGAAGACGGCGAATGATGCGGATGGCGCGCGCCTGAATCATCGTAGTGCAGAGATTTCGCACGAAGTCCGTGTGATTGTATTCGACACCAGTGTACTTTTCGAAGTCGATAAGCAGCTCGAGATAGCCTTCTTCGAGAGCATGCAGAAACGGTTGGTTGTCGCCCGTCGAGCGACAAAGGACGTCCACCAAGCGGATCGCCCAGTAGCCACCGTGGCGCGTGTCATGTAGCCGAAGGCATCGCTTCCCAGCATGAATGACGAATTTGAACGCGGAGCGCGGGATCCTGGAGGGCGCGAGTTCGGGAAGTTCTGCCATTCCGACAAGAAAGGCGAGATGCGATCGCCACATGTTGAGAGTGGTGTTCGGATCCATGTCGAGTTGCGCGACGCAGTGCGTCAGCGGCGCTATAAGACGATAGAGCGTCTGCCTTCTGGGTATCGCGATATTGACACATTCGCAGAACAATGCTCGATCCTTGGAGGTAGCGGCATTTATGCTGCTCGCGAGAACCTTGAAGAGTGTCATCGCCAGCCATATCGTCCGGCAGAACGCTCGTTGTACGTATGCGGATGCTGAGGACGATCTTGGATAGAACGCGTGAATTCGGGGAAGGTAGCGCCAGAGCTCGACCGCTTGAGTGATCAGATCAGGGTTGGAGTGCAGAAAGTTTTTGGTTACATCGAAAGGGCGCAGCATCTCTTCGAGCACAACGAGGTAAGCTTGTGCTATGTCGAAAGCCTCGCGAGCTGCATCACGCTGAGGGTACCGAGCGATGACGTTGTTTCGCGCTGGGTGGAGGAAGGCGACCCATCGTACGATATGCGGCCAAAGGCATCGTGTGGCTCGCTCGAGACTGCGATCCTTCGAATATTCCACAGCGCGCCAAATGTGCGTCGACACGCGGAGTGACAGGAAGATGACCTGCACGAGATAGTCGCCAGTGGCTGACAGGGAAGGCGGTGTCGCGGAAGAGAGGGTGCGGAAGGTCGTGGGCACTTTGGCTCTGAGATCCGCGAGAACACTTTTCGCGGTGCCACCAGGAGAAAAGGCGACTTCGCCTGCCGACTGCCGCGCGAGAAGCCTAAGTCGGCATAGTTCGTCGTACTCAGTTCTAAGCGAGCGGTCTTGAGTCTCGAGACTTCCACTTTCTTGAGGGTTCATAGGAGGTCGGCAGCAGATGGGCGTCAAGACGAAGTTGCAGAGGACAAACCCGTTCAGAGCCCGGGCCGGTCTTAACGTGTATCATGTGATCTGCTTACAAATCAGGCCGAAAGCGCCACCGCCACCACTCCAGCACTTTACTACGTTCGCCACCCGTGCCTTTCTTGCGATACCTCTCCTCGACAGTATCCCAAGGCGGGTTATGCATCGAGGGTAGCTTCAGCCGGCAGGTATCAACCACTGGCAGCTCGAAAATCTGGACCAATGAACCAGTCCTACATCTCGTGCGATCTACACGCCTCTTGCCGCCCTCTTTCACAACGTCAGTGGTCAAGCACCATGTTCATCAGTACTCTCTTCTCACCAGGGATTTCCTCCGTTTCTACTTTTGCGTGGACTCTCTGCTCTCGCGTGCTAGCCAGCGCCGCCGCACCCACTACTCCTGACCACATGAGAGCCGTCTCAACGAATGATACTGATTCAGGTCACCTACGTCAAGAAATAGTTAAAGCTGTACGTGAATGGCAGAAAATGACTCCCAAGCGTCGCTCCGAGCCGAAATACGACCTGGACGGGAACAGTATAGGCCTCCATCGCAGAGTCCACTGATCGCGTCTTCGTCTCGTATCGCATGTCGAGAGCATCGCTAAAGTCCACTATCAGGTATACCTGCTCGCTCGACCGGCGCTTGCTAGATGCTCGCTTCCTGAATATATTGAATGCTTCGGGGAAGGCGGATTCAAGTTTCATCAGCCATATGTCTGCGTGGACGATGTCGATGAGGAAGGCTATGTCGTTCAGAGAGAAAGCGCCTTCCCAGGCGGTGAGTTGGAGTATCTTGAAGTAATAGACGCCGCAGCTTACCACGCAAATTCCAGGGTCCTTGTTCCGCGCAACAGTTCCATTGATGGTCGCCCTTGAAGTGCATGCGTTGGCAGCTTCCGGAGCAATACACAGCGTCGCCGCACGGACAAAAGCGGACGATCTCGTTATGGGGGCCCTGTGCGCGTCAGGACCTCGTACACCCAGTGATTGCAGCACACCAGCTCACCATCGCGTTGCTACAGTCCGAGTGCCGCCGCCAGATCCTCTCGCGATGATCTACTGTGTAGAGACGGTCGTAGTTTTGAAAAACCTGCGCGACCTTGCGCCACACGGGCTTCCGCGTCGCAAAGCTCGCCGTGTGCGGGAAATCATTATGGGTGCTACGAAGAGCACGGAGGACGCGCCCTTGAGCAGCCGCGGAGCATAACCTGCGGACGAAGTCTGGATGGTCCCAGCGCTTGCCCGTCGACTTCTCGAGATCGATGAGCAGCCCCAGGTATCCCTCGCGTATGGCGCGCACGAATGACCGGTTGTCGCACGTCGAGTGGCAGAGGCTGTCGACCAAGCGCACCGCCCACAGCCCGATCTCGTCCCACTCGAGCTCGTGATTCTGGAAGGCCTTCATCCCCACCGAGATGACGGCGCAGAAAGCGGAGCGCGGGACGACGGACGGCGCCAGCTCGGGAAGCGCGGCGAGACCGTCCAGGAGGATGAGGTGCGTAAACCAGACGTTGGGTACGATGTCTGGGTCGATCTTCAGCTGGCGGAGATTCTGCGTCAGAGGCGCGATTGCGCGGTACAGATCCTGCCTCTTCATCGCGCGATCGATCCCGCGGCTGAGGAGCTCCCGACCCACGACCGCGTCGCCGTCCGGCGCATTCACTAGAGTGTGGTAGATCCTGCGCGCGAGCAAAATCGGTTTGATGGCCGCCCCGCTCACTTCCTCCGGGGGAGCGAATGGCTTGATATGTAGCGTGTAGATCTGGGGGAGGTAGCGCCAAAGCTCATACGCCTGAGTGATCACGTCCGGGTACGTGTACAGGAAGTCTCGCGCAGACTCTTCAGTCTCCATCGACGACTCGAGGATGGTCAGGTAGGCATTCGCAATGTCGCCCGCTTGACGGGTCGCGTCACGGTGAGGATACCGAGTGACGACGTCGTTGCGCGCTGGGTTCAAGGCGGCAGACCAGCGGACGATGTGCGGCCACAGAGTGCGCGCCTCGGCCGCGAGTGCGTTGTCTCGCGTACTTTCTACGGCGTGCCAGAGGTCAAGAAATAGGCGCAGTGAGGTGAAGATGATGTCCACGAAGCTGTCGCTGAAGGTCTCGGGGAAGGACGACGACTCAGTGATGAGAGTCCGGAACGCTGTGCGTACTTGATCCCTAATCTCAGCGGCTACCCCTTTCCTAGTGTAGCCCGGAATGAAGGTCATCTCGCCCGTGAGTTGCCGCGCCAGAACGCCCAGTTTGAGCATTTCCTCATACTCAAGACTGGGATCATGGCCAGGGGGATTGGTCCGTTTGAAGTAGTCTTTGCGATCCATGTGGGATCTCTGGTAAGCGCTGTCGTGGTGCGAAGCGAAGGCGATGACGAAGAGCAAGAGATGGACAGAGCGGGGCAATGGCGGCCCGAAGTCAAAATTGGACTCAGATCGGTCCGAAGGAGCCGGCGCCGCATCTTGCTCCCTTCTTTCATCGGCCTGCGCTCCCCTTGAACTGGTTCTTTCTCTCCGCTGGTCGAGACCATCGCTTCCCATGAATTTATCCGATTTCTGAAGCTCAACAACGTCAACCCTTTGATCTTGACATCCGAGGCATTGCCATCGCATCCTTCGACCGCACTGGCGCCCACACGACCCATCGATGTGCAGGGAGGGAGAGCCCGGCCAGGGATCGGTAGCGCGGATCTAAGGCGGGATGAGGAGAAAATATTACAGGGTTGTCGACTCGCTGGAGGAGATTGCTTATTGACGGAGGGAGCTCAGTGATTCTCGTAGGGGAATCAACGCCGTCTCGCATAGGTCTGTGAGTGACTAGCGTTTCGCCCGTTCACTTTCAGATACCTCGAATTCTCCCCATTGCCGACGCGGAATTGCTTTGTCGACGATGCGGCCTACTAGCGATGCCCTTCCCCCGCCCGAGCCTGGTCACGCGTCGGGTGAGGAAGATAAGAGGAACAGAGGAGGGTATAGTAAGAGGAGAATGAGATAGGCCGAGGGGGTGGTGGGACAAGGAGGCGGGCGGCAAAACTGGCAAAGGAAGGAAGTGGAAGCAGGGTCGTAGTGAAGGAGGAGTGTGAGGAAGAGGTTGACGGTGGGAGGATGTGGGGCAGGCGTGGGAAGTCTATCACTTTACCGGAAGTCATTCTTGAGATGAGGATAGCCAAGAAGATTGGAATCGCCAAACAAGACAGGGACAGGGACGAGTGGTCGAGGAAGAGAGCACGCCGTCTTCGGGCCGGTTTCAATTCAAATCTGAGGTTCGGGCCGCACTTACGACGTTTTCTTCAACAACTCTCCTCTTAACCTCCACTTCGTCACTCTCGGCTTCCCCCAGCAAGAGCGCATTCCTGAATACCTTCATGACGACACATGAATATCGACAGACCGACTCGGCAAGTTATGACCCTACCCCCGAATATGAGGAAATCTTCAAATTGAGTATCTTAGCACGGGAGCTAGCGGGCGAAGTGGACTTGGTACCTGGAGACACCAAAGGGGGCCTAGCCGCTGAGGTCAGGGACCAAGTGCACATTGCTTTCCGAGCTCTCATCACCGAATCGTCCTTATTTCCGGAGACATTGAGTCATAGATTCGTGGACCTCATTTTTGCTTCGTTACGTCTCTTCAATGATCTATGGCACGCAGTCGAGAGCACACGAAACGCAGAGCTCGCCGACGAAGCGCGAAAACTGTGGCCGCACATCGTTCGTTGGTCCGCAGCGGTCCATCCAGCGCGCAGCGACGCTCTCACTCGATATCCCCATCGCGACACAACCCGGCAGGCGGGCGATATCGCGCAAGCCTACCTGACTATCCTCATCTCGCCTGTGGAAACTATAGAGTCCATTAAAGCCTTCCTGTACGCGCACCCCGACGTCATCACCCAAGCGTTCGAACTCTGGCGCTATCTCCCCAAGATACATGCGCTGCACATCACACCCGACCCGCCCGCTGTGGTGCCCGAGGCGCTCTATACGCCGATACTGCTGGTGCACAGAATCTACGAGGTGCTCGCGCTTAGCGCAAAGGGCAGCCGCGTCGCGGACCGTGCGCTCTTGTGTGCGGGCATCCGCCGCGCTATGACCACGCGCGCTTTCTACCGCAACATCGCGCCCTGGACAGACAGCCTCCGCCAACTAAAGCTCGATGTGGCCTTCGTACCCCAGATCTGGAAAATCCATCTCACGCTGCTGGTTGGCCTCACCTCGTTCCCCGAGCTCGCCCCCGCAAGCGTGCCCCGCGACGCCTTCCGCTCCGTCATCTCCGTCGGCACGAAGTGCTTCGAGCAGGACAGGCTCATGGACGAGTGCGGCTTCTGGGTCGTCCGCCTCGTCGACAGCCTCTGCTGCGCGACGCGCGACAACCGGCCATTCGTGCACGCCATCGGGCACGGCTACCTCGGGCTGCTCAAGGCCCTCGAGGAGGCGACGGGGACCCAGTTCGACCACGCCGACATCGTCCGCCGGCTCAGCGCCGTGGCGGTCCACGCGCGCGTCGTGCGCGTCGTGCGCCGCGCCTACCCCGAACTCCCGCCGCCAGGCGACATCGCGGCGCGCGGGGTGACGTGGCGCAAGGTGGCGCAGACGTTCAGCAACTACATCGACCTCTACGCCGTCGAGCACCGCGCGAGGGATTGGCGGCGCGTTCTGGAATGTGCGAATGCGATGGTGAGTGGGATTGCAGCGCTAGCATTCGAACTTTGAACCCTGGACGCGCGCAGGGCCCGCACGACCAGCTCGTGCGGTTCTGCCCGTGCGGCAACGAGGTGTACTGCTCTGGAAGCTGCCAGCGCATGCAGTGGGAACACGGGCACCGCGCAGACTGCTGCGCGGACGAGGGCCCTTGGGGCTTGCACGGTGAGCAGCGCGGCCCACTCCCAGACCACCCTCAGATCTGACCCCCCGCCCAGGCGCGCTCTCGCTGAACGACATCGCCTTCCTGATCGAGATCGTCCGCGCGGACATACGCCTTGTGAAGAACAAGCCCGCCGTGCGCGCGGCCTTCGAGGACTTTGAGCGCGAGCGGCGCGCAGGCGGACGCAGATTTAGGAAGCAGGTCCACGTGACGGCTGACTTCAGCGACGTCCTCGCCGCGCGGTACGAGACGCGGACGCGGCCGGTGGACTCTGCGGCAGACATTCACCGCGTTCCCGTCGAGGTCGTCCTCCGGCTTGGTTGGACGACGCAGAGGCACTTTCTGCCTTTCACCCTCGCTTTGAGGCATTTCCTGACGTAGAGAGCATTCCCGAGCGCAGCATCGGAGTATCGACAGAGAACCGGTCACTTAGCTTGGCACGATCTCCAATACATCGCTGCCTCAATATCCCTGCTGACTACGCTCGCCGCTTCCACAGAAACTGGAGTTATCTCATTCTTGAAGGGAAGGCGTGAGCTGCTGAGTGCACGTGGACGGCTAAATGCACACATCTCTCGACCTTGCGCGTCGATAAGAGGTTAAGGCATCTCCTACGCTATCAGGCAAATGCATGGGCTCACTAGCTCCAAGCGGGTTGCTTTGCTGGTTCTTGGTTCGGCGCGGTGTACTTCTCGGCTCGCGCGAAATCCTGCGCTCTTGGGAACAAAGCATATGTCCCTCAACACACGACCTGAAGTACGAATGTGGGAGGGGAGGAGGGGAGGAGCGCGTTCTAAGCGGGGCGTGCATACACCCTCGGTACTTGTAATATTTCACAGGATCATACCTCATTTCCCTCCATGTTCCGCGCCTGCTCCGCAACCCTAAAACTTCACAAGCGCGTCCGATAGATGCGACGACCTGCTCACCCGTGTACCTAGCTCCTCGTCTTTCTTTCTAGTTACGCGTAGACGGAGCTCCAGCGCAGGTTTCACTTCGGTGTTTTGAATTTGAATAGATGACAGACACGCCGCCATTGCCTGCCACACCTTGCTCTCCGTAAAAAGCACAGACCTACCGCCGTCGGCGTCCCCTCCGCCGCATCTGAATCGCCCTCTGCGGCACTCATAGGTGTAAAAACAGGTGATCTCGGGCTCCATCCTCCAGTACCCACACCACCAGAGTGATTCTGAGCACTACTCATCAGCTCACACATGGGCATACATCGACTAGTACATGGGGTTCGCGACCCAGCGCGGCTAGTCATACACATAGATACACATAACTGGTCCGTCGACATAAATCTTCTGCGCTGCATGAATAAGTACTTGCATGAAATACAACGATCGGGTCCAAGCCTTGTGCTTGAACCGGGATACGGCGCCTGCGCCGCTGACAGTGACGCCCTACAGCCTCCACATCGCCGCCCAGACCCTTTTCAGAGATCTTCCCCGTCAGCGCGCGCATTCCACGACACAAAATCCGACCCGACTCACCTCGTCATCCTGAACAAGAACGGCCCCGCGGGGATCTGCCGCAGCGCCTCCAGCAGCTCCGCCTCCCGCTGGTCCCGCGCCAGCGCGCCCGCAAGGCGCTCCTCCAGCTCCTTCACGCGCTGCTCGAGGTCGCGCACGCGCCCGCCCTCCGCGCTCGCGCTCGCCTCCGCCCGGTCCGCGTCCGCGAGCGCGCGCGCGAGGCGCTGCGTGCTGCGCGCGGCCTCGTCGAGCTGCTGCTCGAGGCGGTGGAGGAAGGCGCGCGGGTCGGCGGGGTGGACGAAGGTGGGGGTGATGGTGGGCGAGTACGAGGGCGGCTTGTCAAGGAAGGAGGGTGTGGGGCGGAGCGCGGCGAGGGAGGGCGATGGGGTGCGTGGGGAAGGGGCGGGAGATGCGTGGGGTGATGGCGAGAAGGAAGAGGCGGAGCTGACGGTGCTGTTGCTCTCGTTCCAGCTACCAGGGAGAACGGCGCTGCGCGATCGTCAGCGAGGTAGCCCTGTATGACGGATGCCGATACGCACTTGGACGAGCGCCTTTGCGTGGCCATGACTGTGTCTTTGATGAAGATGAATGGGAAGGAGGTGGGAGGTTATGAGATGGTGATCGTGAAGGTTGTGGTAGTGGGGAGATGAAGAACGTATTCATCGTGTTATATGCCCGCCATACCGAGCACACGAGGCAAAGGGGCGGCAGCCCGAAGGCGTCTGCGGCGCCGCGCGGCGTGCGTGGCCGATTGCAGGCAGCGCTGCGCCTTACGCGCGATCGTCGTCAGAAGAGACCCGCGCAATCGCAGTGCATACAGCCGCTCGGTCCGCTCATTCAATCAGTGCGCCGCCCCTTCATTGCGATGCTTGCTGGTATCAGTCCTTCATTCCGATTCCTGTGTCCCTCACGCCGATACCTGTGTCAGATCGTCGTCAGGGGGCGCGTACGCAGAACTTTGTGTCAGAGAACAGGACTGGCGAACCGGAACGAGGATCATGAGCAATGAGACTCAATGAGCAAGGGATGAGGCATCACGCACCGCGTCCTCGTGTTTATCGTCTGCGATATGAAGTTCGGGGGCACGCCAATCACACGAGGCGGCGTCGTGGTCGGGTGTCGGTTCTCGGTATCATGGGTGGTGAGGGAGCCATATCGTGGTCGGGCAGCGGCTACATCGTGGTCGGCGGCGCGGTCAATGATTGAATACCTCCTCGTCAGGTCGTAGCCTAGGCAACAAGCGAAAGCGCCCTCGGCCACGAAACCAATCGGATACGGTCACCTCTCGGGACCCTGGATATGGCCGGAACTGGGACGTTGTCATCGATAAACAAGGTGTCCGTGTCGCATACGAAATCTACTTCAGGTGAGGGGAAAGGAGGGTACGGGAAGCGAGAAACGAGAGGGACGATTGAGGGAAGCGAAAAAACAGGGAGAGCCGGCGGTATCCTGAACTTTGCAACAGGGTGAAGGAAGTACAACAGGGTGCAACTTTGACAACAGGGTGAAGGAAGTTTGAGAGGAGAGGGAGGGACGAGTCACAGCAAAATGTGAGAGGAGAAACGACAGAAAGCGATGACGAATTAGTTACATCCGAAGCACAGAGGTGAAGAAAGAAACTACGTCAATGGCGCGAAAGGAAAGGTAGCTTAGTCGATGGGACGAATGGATCAGTAGCCACGTCGAGGCACGAAAGGAGAAGTAGCTTCGTCGCTATCACGAATGAAGGAGTAGCCACGTCGCTGGCACGAAAAGGGAAGTAGCTACATTCATCGCACGAAAGGGGAAGAGAGGACAATGTCGGTGAGGGGTGGAAGGGCAGGGGGCGTCGCCAGCCAATGTGCGCCGTGAGCTAATGGCCATCGTGAGCTGATGGGCGTCACGAGCTAATGGGCGTCGGTCGCCCGAGCACGGGCGAGCAGCGCAGCGAGGCAGGAATAGCATCGCGAGGGAGGGCTTACATCGCAAGGGAGGGCAAACATCGCGAGGGAGGGGTCGCATCGCGAGCGCATAGACATCGGAGAAGGGCATTGCCCCCTCCTCGTCCCCCAACGAGCCATCAGGCCCAGATGGCTCCTCGCCCTCCAGCGAGCCATCAGTGAGCGGATAGCGAGCTGATCGAGGCGTCTCTCGAGGACGCCGAGCAAGCGCTTTCGGGAGGGGGTAGGAGCGTCGTGGAGAGAAGGTCGGAGCATCGTCGAGAGGGGGTCGGAGCGTCGTCGAAGGGGACTTTGAGCGAAGGGCGAGAGGGTCGGAGCATCGTCGAAGGGGACTTTGAGCGAGGGGGCGAGAGGGAAGAGGAAGACGAGGGGCGAGGGGACGAGAGGAAGCGAGTGAGAAGAGGGGACGAGAGGAAGCGAGTGAGAAGAGGGGGCAAGAGGGAAGAGGAAGACGAGGGGGCAAGAGGGAGCGAGTGAGAAGAGGGGGCAAGAGGAAGACGAGGGGCGACGAGAGGGGGTGAGACGGGGAAGGGGCGAGATAGTTTCTGGGGGATGAGGGCGGAGGATGGGCGCAAAAGGAGGCCTGTCAACCGAGAACGGTTGGGAGGAGGGTGAGACAGATACTGGGGGAGGAGGGCGAGAGAGATACTGGGGGAGGAGGGTGAGATAGAAGAGGGAGGATGAGAGAGGGGATACGCACGCCCTTCCCTCCCTCCTTCCCTCCCTCACTCGCTCCGCCCTTTCCTCCCTCGCTCACTCGCTCCCCCGCTCGCTCCCTCCCTTTCCCCCTTTTCCCACTCCCGCGCTCCCTCCCTCACTCGCCCGCGCCCTTCCCTCCCTTCCCTCCCTTCCCTCCCTTCCCTCCCGCTTCGAGCGATTCGGCCGCATTCCCACGCTCGCTCCACTCACACCCGCCCTCCCTCCCTCGCTCGCTCCCTCACTCCCTCCCTCACTCGCTCACTCGCCCTCACTCGCTCCACCAATCGTCCCCCGCTCGCACGCTCCCGCGCCCGACATGAGAGCGGATACGCGCGACCTTCCCCCCTTCGACAGCGCTCCCTCCCTCCCCCCCTTGAGGTCGCTCCGCCCGACATGAGAGCGGCTACGCACGTCCTGCGAGCGAGCGAGAGCGGCCGACCCATCGAGCGAGGGCGGATACGCGCACCCTGCCCTCGAGGGAGGATACGCCCTCCGAGCGGGTACGCCCTCCCTCCCTCACTCGCTCGCTCGCTTGCTCCTTCCCTTGCCCCCTCGCTTCACCCGGCCTGAAAGCGGACACCCGCGCCCTTTCCTTACTCGCCTTCTTGCGGGCGGGAGGATACGCCTTCCCTTCGAGCGAGCGAGGGAGGATACGCACGCCGCTTGAGAGCGAAGGAGGATACGCCCGACCCTCGCTCACTCGCTCGCTCGCCCTCCTTCGAGAGCGAGCGGCTCCCGCGCCCGACCTTCTCGCTCGCTCCACCCGACATGAGAGCGCATACGCGCGCTCGACTCTTCGAGCGAGGAAGGATACGCCCTTCGAGCGAGCGGATACGCCCGGCCTGAGAGCGAGCGGATACGCCCTCCTTCGAGGGAGGGGGGATACGCCCTCCATCGAGAGCGGGAGTATACGCCTGCCCTTCGAGCGAGGGAGAGGGAGGATACGCCATTCCCCCCTTCGACCCCTCGCTCTGCCCTTCCCTCGCTCCGCTCTTCCCTCACTCGCTCGCTCGACCCGGCCTGAGAGCGAGGGAGGATGCGCCTGCCCTTCGAGAGCACGGACCCGCCCCTTCGAGCGAGGAAGGCTGCCCTCCTTCGAGCGAGGGTGGATACGCCCAGCCCTTCTCAAGGGAGCGGCTACGCCCGCCCGACATGAGAGCGGATACACCCTTCGAGCTGGCGAGGGAGGATACGCCCTCTAACCCTTCTCGAGGGAGGGAGAGAGGATACGCGCGCCCTGCCCCTTGAGAGCGAGCGGAGCATACGCCCTTCCCCCCTTAGAGAGCGAGCGGATACGCCCTCCTTCGAGCGAGGGAGGAAGGATACGCCCAACATGAGGGAGGATACGCACGACCTCCCTTCGAGAGCACGGACCCGCCCTTCGAGCGAGGGACCGGGTACGCGCGCCCTTGAGCGAAGGAGGGAGCGGATCCGCGCGCCCCTTCGAGCGAGAGCGGATACGCGCGGATACGCGCCCTCCCTTCAAGGGAGAGTGCGGGTGCGCCCGATCCATCGAGCGAGTGCGGGCGGATACGCCCTCCTCCTTCGAGAGAGGGCGGACCCGCCCTTCGAGCGACCGGATACGCCTGCCCTTCCCCCTTCGAGCAAGCGGATGCGGCCGCCCTTCGTGCGGATACGCACGCGCCCTTCGAGCGAGGAGGGATACGCACGCGCCCTTCGAGCGAGGAGGGATACGCCCGGCCTGAGAGCGAGGGAGGATACGCCCTCCCCCCCCTTCGAGCGAGGGAGAATACGCCCTCCTGCGAGAAGGAGCAGGATACGCCCTCCATCACGCGCTCACTCGCACGCCCCCGTCCCTTGCTCCGCCCGACATGAGGAAGGATACGCCCGCCCGCCCTTCGAGCGAGGAAGGATACGCACGCCTCCATCGAGCGAGGGAGGATACGCGCGCCCTTCGAGCGAGGGCGGATACGCACGCCCTTCGAGCGAGGGAGGATACGCCTACCCCCTTCGAGAGCGAGCGAAAGGATACGCCCGGCCTGAGAGCGAGCGAGGGAGGATACGCGCGCCCTTCGAGCGAGGGCGGATACGCGCGCCATTCCTTCGAGCGAGCGATTCGGCGGAGATGAGAGCGAGGGAGGATCCGCCCTACCCCCTTCGAGCGAGCGAGGTAGGATACGCCCTGCGAGCGAGGGAGGATACGCATGCGCGCCCTTCGAGCAAGGGAGGATACGCGCCCTTCCTCCTTCCACCCCGCACCCGACTCTTCGACTCCGGCCGATCTGAGAGGGAGGGGTGAGCGGAGGGAGAGTGAGTGGCGGGGAGGGAGTCTGGGAGGGTGTGGTGGCGAGGAGGGAGGGAGATGCGGCTGATGGAGGACGTCCCACGCATGTTCGAGGAAGGCCTCCAGCGACGCGGTCCTGAAGCGAGGGGTCCTGAAGCGAGGGCACCAGCGACCGGTCCTGAAGCTAAGCGAGGGCGTTAGCGACGGGTCCTGGAGCGAGGGCACCAGTGACGCGGTGCGAAAGAGTCCGTCAGCGACGCAGCTAGGAGACGGTACGCGCGAGGGGTGAGGGAAGACGGTGAAGGGTTTGGATCCAGGGGTAGAGTAGCTAGGAGCGGAGGGTGAGTAGGTAGGAGCGGAGGGTGAGTAGCTGGGAGCGCAGGTGGTGGAGGAAGAGAGAGCCTTGGATGCGGAGGGTTAGCGTTGGTGAATGAGAAGAAAGGTGAATGAGAGGAAAGGTGGATGAGAAGAAAAGGCAGCGAGCGATGGTATTGGGCGAGATGGAGCTACCGAGTCCGCGGGTGGTGGGAGCGAGGAGGTCGACGGTGAGGGAAGGGAAGGAAGAGCGAGATGAACGGCTGTTCGGCCCGATCACTCCCGGCCCGACCATCCGGCGTCGATCGTCGTCGTTGACGGTGCTCAGGCTCCAACCACTTCCGCACCCTCCGGTCCGTGCACGCATCAGTCCTTTCGCTAGCCATACTCCACGACCCCTCCCAAGACGCACGCCGCGAGTAACCCACGGGAGGAGAAGAGAGAACCCCTCGTGTGCTTTGGTATGTCCCAGACAGCGTAGCTTTAGTGCGTCCCAGCCAGCTCACCTTCTCACTGTACTTTACGCTGGCCATGCGTCGAGGGAAGTGGTGCATGCGTCGACAGCAGTGGTGCATACGTCCCACAAGTGCCGCACACGATGCGTCGACGGCAGTTCCCCATACATCTACACCCTCTCTCCTCTCCCTCCTGTCCTCGCCCTCGCACCCATCACTCACTACTCTCCTGCCCTCGCCCTCGCACCCATCACTCACGCCCCGCCGTCCGAGCACTCTCCACTCATCCCCTCTCTCTTACCACCTCGCTCCCCCCCTCTTTGACCACCCCGCTCCCCCCTGCTCACCCCACCCTGCTCATCCCGCCCTCCCTCTCTCTTCCACACCCCCTCACACACACCGCCCTCGCACGTCTGCTACGATGACGAAAGCCTCTGCCCCAACGACTACAACTTTTTTCAGTTCGAGGCGGCCCTTCGTCTCCAGGCGCGCCCGGTTCTTCGCCTCCGAGTGCGCATGCTTCGCCTTCTAACTTCTTCCCCCCTCCACCTCTCCTCGCCCCCCTCCCCCTTATCCTTCCCCCTCCTCGCACACATCTTCTCCCCTCTTCCCTCATACCCCTCCTCGCACACATCTTCTCCCCTCTTCCCTCATACCCCTCCTCGCACACATCTTCTCCCCTCTTCCCTCATACCCCTCCTCGCACACATCTTCTCCCCTCTTCCCTCATACCCCTCCTCGCACACATCTTCTCCCCTCTTCCCTCATACCCCTCCCGCTCTCTACTCACCGCCCCCATCCCCCCGTACCCCTCCACCTCTTTCCCTCACTCACCGCCCTCACCGCGCTCCTCTCCCCAATAGTTGTATATCTCTTTCTGCGCTTCGGGATGTATATATATCTTGTTCCACGCGATATCCATTGCTTTTCTACGCTTCGGGATATGTAAATATTTCTTGCTACCCCTCCACCTCTTCACTCATACCCCACCCCTCCCTCTTCACTCATACCCTCCACCTCTTCCCACTCCCTCCACGTCTCCTTCACCTCCCTCACTGCCCCTCCACCTCTTCCCACACCCTGCCCCCCCGCGCACCTCGTGCCGTGCGGTCAGGAGGACGTGCAATTGAAGGAGGGGAGCAAAGGAGCGAGCGAGGGCAGGAGGGGCGTGCGATCGAAGGAGGGGAGGGAGGGAAGGAGGGAGGGCTGGAGCGAGGGGCGGGAGGGCGAGAGAAGGAGGGCGAGGCGAGGCGAGGGGTATGGGGAGAGGGCAGGAGGGCGAGGGAGGGAAGTTGATGGACTGAGTGAGGGGCGGGATCCCGCGCCCTTCGAGTGAGGGAGGCGCATCCACTCCCTTCGAGTGAGGGAGGCGCATCCACTCCCTCACCCCCCCCCCCCTCTCTCTCCACCCCCGCCACTCCCACGCCTCCCTCCCTACCCTTCTTCACCACTCCTGCCGCTCATCCCCGCCACTCCTGCCGCTCATCCCCGCCACTCCTGCCGCTCATCCCCACCACTCCTGCCGCTCATCCCCACCACTCCTGCTGCTCCTCCATCCTTCGCGCGCCCTGAAGCAGTGATGCCCTCGCGCAGCGGAATGTGGGGGTATCCTCGCGCGGTGGAATTGAAGGTATCCTCGCGCGGTAGACTTAAAGGTGCGCATGAGCTCGCTTAATTTTCTCCTCGTCCGCTCTCCCCTCCCTTCCACTCCCCTCGCATCACCTCTCCCTTCCACTCCCCTCCCTTTCCCTTCCCCTCCCTTTCCCTTCCCCTCCCTTTCCCTTCCTCCCCCTCGCATCACCCCTCCCCCTCGCATCACCCCTCCTCTCCTCCGTTCACAGAGTCCGCGCGCGCCCACACAGTCCGCGCACGCCCACTTAGGTAAGTACCCTGCTCCTTCTCTCAGGGCGTACCCCCCTCCCCTCTCAGGTCGGTTGGAATCGCTCCCTCTCTCAGGAGGGAGGGCGTACCCCGCTCGCTCTCGCAGGGTCGAGCATGCGCATCCGCTCCCTCTCAGTGTCGGGCGTATCCCGCTCCCTCTCTCAGGTCGGGTGTTTGTTAGCCGCTCCCTCGCTCGCAGGAGGGCGAGCGTACCCCGCTCGCTCTCGAAGGAGGGCGTACCCCGCTCCTTCTCTCAAGGGTCGGGCGTATACACCTTCTCTCAGGTCGTGCGTATCCGCTCCCCGCTCCCTCTCGCAGGAGGGTCGAGCGTACCCCGCTCCCTGGAAGGGTCGAGCGTACCCCGCTCCCTCTCGCAGGGTCGGGCGTATCCGCTCCCTTCGCAGGGTCAACGGGTTTCTCGCAGGAGGGCGTTAGCGTACTCCGCTCCCTCAAAGGTCGGTCGGAATCGCTCCCTCTCTCGAAGGAGGGTCGTGCGTACCTCGCTCCCTCTCTCGCAGGGTCGTGCGTATCCTTCTCCCTCTCGCGGAAGGGAGAGCGTATAACGCTCCCTTCCTCGCCGGGTCGAACGTATGCGCACCTCGCTCCCTCTCGCAGGTCGGGCGTGCGTACCCCGCTCCCTCTCAAGGGTCGAGCGCATCCGCGCTCCCTCAAAGCTCGGGCGTACCCTGCTCCCTCTCTCGCAGGTCGGGTGTATGCGCTCCTTCTCTCTCTCGCAAGAAGGTCGTACGTATCCGCTCTCCCTCTCTCGCAGGAGGGTCGAGCGCTCTCGCAAGAAGGAGGGCGGAGCGATCTCGCAGACCGGGCGTGCGTATCCGATCCCTCCCTCACAGGGATGGGCGTGCGTATTCGCTCCTTCTCTCGCTCGAAGGAGGGAGAGGCGTACTCCGCCTTCTCCCTCTCTCTCTCTCAAGTCGGGCGTACTCCGCCTTCTCTCTCGCAAGAGGGTCGAGCGAGCGAACGAAGGAGGGTCAGGCGTACCCCGCTCCCTTCTCGCAGGGCCAGGCGTGCGTACACCGCTCCCTCTCGCAGGAGGGAGGTCGTACCCCGCTCCCTCACTCGAAGGAGGGCGCGCGTACCCCGCTCCCTCTCGCAGGGTCGGGCGTATCCGCTCCCTTCGCAGGGTCAACGGGCGTACCCCGCTCCCTCTCTCGCAAGAGGGGTGACGTGCGTATCCGGCTCCCTCCCTTGCACCTCGCGCCTACTCCCTCTCGAAGGAGGGAGGGCGATCCCTCTCACTCGCAGGAGGGTCGGGCGTTAGCGTATCCGCCCCCCCTCTCGCAGGAGGGCCGGAATCGCTCCCTCTTTCGCTCGCAGGAGGGAGGGGCGCATCCGCTTCCTCTCTCGCAAGAGGGCCTGCGTATCCGCCCTCTCTCATGGCCTGCGTTCCCGCTCCCTCTCGCAAGATGGCATGCGTATCCCGCTCCCTCTCGAAGGAGTGAGGGCGTACTCCGCTCTCAAAGGTCGAGCGTACCTCGCTCTCCCTCGAAGGAGGGTCCGGCGCCCCTCGCTCCCTCTCGCAAGAGGCAGGGTCGTGCGTATCCGCTCCCTCTCGAAGGGGGAGGCCGATCCGCCTTCTCTCTCGCAGTAGGAGGGCGTATCCCCGCTCCCTCTCTCTCGACGGTGGGCGTTAGCGTACCCCGCTCCCTCTCGAAGGAGGGAGGTCGAACGTATCCGCTCCCTCTCAGGTCGGGCGTATCCCGCTCCCTCTCTCTCAGGAGGGTCGTGCGTACCTCGCTCCCTCTCTCGCAAGAGGGCCTGCGTACTCGGCTCCCTCTCTCGCAAGAAGGAAGGGCGAGGCGTATCCGCGATCCAAGGTCGGGCGTATTTGCTCCCTCTCTCGAAGGAGGTCGGGCGTACCGCGCTCTTCCTCTCTCGAAAGAGGGTCGTGCGTATCCGCCTTCCCTCACTCTCTCAGGTCGTGCATATCCGCTCCTTCTCGAAGGAAGGAGAGGCGTATCCGATCCCTCTCCCTCGCAAGAGGTCGGGCGTATCCGCTCCCTCTTAGGTCGGTCGGAATCGCTCCCTCTCAGGTCGGGCGTGCGTATGCGCGAAGGAGGGAAGGGCGTACCTCGCTCTCTCGAAGGAGGGTCAGGCGTACCCCGCTCTCCCTCTCGAAGAGGGATCGAGCGTATCCGCGCTCTCCTCGACCCACCCCCCCCCCCGCACCTCGCGCCCTGCGGTCAGAAGGGGCGTGCGAGCGAGGGAGGGAGGGCGTACTCCGCTCCCTTTCGAAGGAGGAGGGCGTATCCGCTCCCGCTCCCTCGCAGGAGGGCGGGAGCGATCTCGCAAGAGGTCGGGCGTGCCTCGCTCCCTTTCGCGCAGACCGGGCGTGCGCACTCCGCTCTCACTCTCAGGGTCGGGCGTACCCCGATCCCTCTCTCGAAGGAGGGTCGTGCGTACCCCGCTCCTTCTCACAAGGGGCGTATGCGCCTTGTAGAAGGAGGGGCGTGCGTATCCGCGCCCTCTCGCAGGAGGAAGGGCGTAGTCCGCTCCCTTTCGCAGGAGGGTCGGGCGATCCGCTCCCTCTCAGTGTCGGGCGTGCGCATCTGCTCTCCCTCTCTCGCAAGAGGGCGTGCGATCCGCTCTCTCAGGTCGGTCGGAATCGCTCCCTGGAAGGAGGAGGGAGGGTCGGGCGTACTCCGCTCCCTCTCTCGCAGGAGGGTCGTGCGTACCCCGCTCCCTTCCTCTCGAAGGAGGGCGGGCGTACTCCGCACCCTCGCAGGGTCGAGCGTATCCGCTCCCTCAAAGGTCGAAGGGCGTACTCCGCCTTCTCTCGAAGGAGGGCGTGCGTATCCGCGCCCTCCCTCGAAGGGCGGGCGAGCGATCCGCTCCCTCTCTCGCAAGAGGTCGGGCGAGCGAGCGAGGGAAGGAGGATCGAGCGAGCGAGCGAAGGAGGGAAGGGCGTATCCGCTCCCTCTGGCAGGAAGCAAGAGGGCGCGCTCCCTCTCGCAAGAGGGGCGTGCGCACCTTGCTCCCTCTCTCTCAGTGTCGGGCGTACCCCGCCCTTCCTCTCTCGCAAGAGGGCGGGAGCGTACTCCGCTCCCTCTCTCTAAGGAAGGAGGGCGTGCCGTACTCCGCTCCCTATCTCGACGGAGGGAGCGATCCGCCTTCTCTCGCAGGAGGGCGCGTTCGCTCCCTGGCTCTCAGGTCGGGCGGAGCGAGTGAGCGAAGGATGGAAGGCGTATCTGCTCCCTCTCTCGAAGGAGGGCCTGCGTATCCGCTGCCTCTCGAAGGAGGGCGTCTACGCTCCCTCTCGCAGGAGGGTCGTGCGCACCCCGCTCCCTCTCTCGCAGGTCGGGAGGGAAGGAGGGTCGAACGATCCGCTCCCTCTCGCAGGAGGGTCCAGCGTGCGTATCCGCTCCCTCTCTCGAAGGAGGGTCGGTCGGAATCGCTCCCTCTCGAAGGAGGGCGTATCCGCCGCTCCCTCTCGACGGAGGGCCGGGCGTACCCCGCTCCCTCTCTCGAAGGGAAAGAGGTCGAGGGCGGGAGCGCTCGCTCTCAGGTCGGGCGTTCGTTAGCCGCTCTCGCAGTAGGGGCGGGCGTATCCGCTCCCTCTCGCAAGAGGGCGTACCCCGCTCGCTCTCTATGGTCGGTCGGAATCGCTCCCTCCCTGCGGTCGAAGGGCGTACCTCTCTCGCGCAGGAGGGCGAGGCGTATACCGCTCCCTTTCGCAGGAGGGTTGTGTGTACCCCGCTCTCTCGCAAGAGGGTCGGGCGTATCCGCTCCATCTCGCAGGTCGGGCGTATCCGCCTCCCTCTCTCAAAGGGGCGTACCCCGCCCTCTCTCTCGAAGGGGGGAGCGATCCGCTCCCTCGCAGGAGGGCGGGAGCGCCCCCTCTCGCAGGAGGGCGTACCCCGCTCTCTCGCAGAGTCGAGCGTACCCCGCGCCCTCTCTCGCAGGGTCGGGCGTATCCGCTCTCTTCCTCGAAGGAAGGTCGGGCATGCGTACCCCGCTCCGCCTCTCGAAGGAGGGTCGAGCGTTCGTTAGCCGCTCCCTCCCTCTCTCGCAAGAGGGAGGGTCGAGCGCACCCCGCTCCCTCTCGCAGGAGGGTCGAGCGAGCGGGGGAGGGGCGTGCGCACCCCGCTCTCTCTCGCTCGAAGGTCGGGCGTATCCTCTCGCTCCCTCCCAGGTCGGGCTTGAGCGAGCTCCTTCTCAGGGCGTGCGTATCCGGCTCCCTCTCGCAGGAGGGCGTTAGCGTACTCCGCTCCCTCTCGCAGGGTCGAGCGTATCCCGCCTTCTCTCGAAGGAGGGCGTACCCCGCTCCCTTTCGCAGGAGGGAGAGGCGTATCCGCCTTCCCTCGCAGGGAGGGCGTTCGTTAGCCGCTCTCTCGAAGGAGGGCGGGCGTACCCTGCTCCCTCTCTCGCAGGGAGGGCGGGCGCGTACTCCGCTCCCTCGAAGGAGGGAGCGAGCGAGCGAGGCGAGGGAGAAAAAGGGCGTACTCCGCTCTCCCTCTCGAAGAGTCGTGCGTGCGCATCCGCTCCCTCCCTCTCTCGCAGAAGGGTCGAGCGATCCGCTCCCTCAAAGGAGGGGCATGCGTATCCGCGCTCAAGGGTCGTGCGTATCTCGCAGGAAGGAGGGTCGGGCGTATCCGCTCTCCCTCTCGCAAGAGGGTCGGGCGATCCGTACCCTCCCTCAAGGGTCGTGCGTACCCCGCTCGCTCTCGCAAGAGGGAGGGCGATCCGCTCCCTCTCTCCAAGCTCGGGCGTATGCGCTCCCTCTCTCAGGTCGTGCGTTCGTTAGCCGCTCCCCCTTTCGCAGGAGGGCATGCGTACCCCGCTCCCTCACTCTCTCTCGCAGGAGGGTCGGGCGTATGCGCTCCCTCTCTCAGGTCGGGCGGAGCGAGCGATCGAAGGAAGGAGAGGAGGGCGTTAGCCGCCCTTCCTCTCGCAAGCGGGACGGCGTATCCGATCCCTCGCAAGAGGGTCGTGCGTATCCGCTCCCTCTCGAAGGAGGGAGGGCGTGCGCCGCTACCTCTCAGAAGGAGGGGGTGCGTATCCGCCTTCTCTCTCAGGTCGTGCGTACGCCGCTCGCTCTCAAGGGTCGTGCGTATCCGCTCCTTCTCGCAGGAGGGTCGGGCGTATCCGCTCTCCTGCGGTCGGGCATGCGTATCCGCTCCTTCTCTCGAAGCTCGGGCGTTAGCGTACTCCGCTCTCCCTCTCTCGCAGGAGGGTCGGGCGTACCCCGCTCCCTCTCGCAGGATGGGGGGCGTATTCGCTCCCTCTCTCTCGCAAGAGGGTCGGGCGTGAGCGAGCGAGGGAAGGAGTGGCCGGGCGTCCGTATCCGCTCCCTCTTTCGCAGGGAGGAGTGAGCGAGCGAGGGAAGGAGGGGCGTGCGTATCCGGCTCCCTCGCAAGAGGGTCGGGCGTATCCGCTCTCTCTCAGAGTTGAGCGTACCCCGCACCCTCTCTCGCAGGAGGGTCGGTCGGAATCGCTCTCTCTCTCGCTCGTCGGAGGGCGTACTCCGATCCCTCTCAGGTCGTGCGTACCCCGCTCTCTCCCTCTCGCATGAGGGTCGGGCGTACTCCGCTCGCTCTTAGGTCGGGCGCATACGCCTTCTCGAAGGGTCGGGCGTGCGTATCCGCTCCCTCTCTCAAGAGGGCGGGCGTATCCGCTCCCTCTCTCGCAGGGTCGGGCGATCCCGCCTTCTCGCTCGCAAGAGGGTCGGGCGTGAGCGAGCGAGGTAAGGAGGGCATGCGTACCCCGCTCCCTCTCGCAAGAGGGTCGGGCGCATCCGGCGCTCCCTCAAGGGTCGGTCGGAATCGCTCCCTCTCGCAAGAGGGCGTACCCCGCTCCCTCTCTCGCAGGAGGGTCGTGCGTATTCGCTCCCTCTCTCGCAGGGTCGGAGCGAGCGAGCGATGGAGGGCGAGCGTACTCCGAGCTCCCTCAGGTCGTGCGTATCCGCTCCTACTCTCTCAGGTCAGGCGCACCCGGCGCTCCCGCTCTCTCGCAGGAGGGTCGAGCGTATCCGCACTGTCGAGGGCGCGTAAGCGAGCGAGCGGGGGAGGGGCGTGCGTACGCCGCTCCCCGAAAGGGCGTATGCGTACCCCGGTCCCTGGAGGGGCGTGCGTATCCGCCTTCTCTCGAAGGAGGGCGTATCCGCTCCCTCAGGTCGGGCGTTAGCGTACTCCGCTCCCTCTTTCTCGCAAGGAGGGCGTATCCGGCTCCCTCTCTCGCAAAATGGCGTACCCCGCTCCCTCTCGCAGGAAGGAGGGAGCGAGCGAGCGAAGGAGGGAGGGCGTGTCCGCTCCCCCCCCCCCCTCGGGCGTGCGTACCCCGCCTCCTCTCGAAAGAGGGTCGCGCGTACCCCGCTCCCTCCCTCAATCACAGGGTCGGGCCCATCTGCTCCCTCTCTCAAAAGAGGGCTAGGGTTAGCTCTCGCAGAGATGGCGTTCGTATGCGCTCCCTCTCTCGCTCCCTGGAGGGGCGTGCGTACCCCGCTCCCTCTCTCGCAAGGGTCGGGCGTATCCGGTCCCCCTCAGGTCGATCGGAATCGCTCCCTCTCAGGTCGGGTCGTGCGCACCTCTCTTGCCAGAGGGCGTACTCCGCTCCCTCTCTCGCAGGGTCGGGCGTATACCGCTCCCTCTCTCGAAAGAGGGCGTTCTCCAAGCTCGGGCGTATGCGTATCCGCTCCCTTTCGCAAGAGGGGTCGAGCGATCTCGATCGAAGGAGCGAGGGCGTGTGTATCCGCTCCCCATCTCTCTCGCAAGAGGGCGGGAGCGCTCCCTCTCGCAGGGTCGTGCGTGCGTATCCGCTCCCTCTCGCAGGAGGGGCGAGCGTACCCCGCTCCCTGGAAGGGCGTATACCGCTCTCACTCTCTCTCAGGTCGGGCGGGCGTATCTGCTTCGCTCTCTCATAGGAGGGCGCGTATCCGCTCTCCCTCTCTCGCAAGAGGGAGGGTCCGAATCGCTCCCTCTCTCGCAAGAGGGTCAGGCGTACCTCGCTCCCTTCTCCCTCGCAAGAGGGTCGGGCGTACCCCGCTCTCTCGCAGGGTCGTGCGTACTCCGCCTTCTCGCAGGGTCGTGCGTATCCGGCGCTCTCGAAGGGTCGGGCGTATCCACCTTCCCTCTCGCAGGAGGGCGCGTAAGAGAGCGAGCGGGGGAGGGGCGTGCGTATCCGCCGCTCCCTCTCCGACGTCGGGCGTTAGCGTACCCCGCTCCCTCCCTCTCTCTCGCAAGAGGTGCATGCGCTCCTTCTCTCATGTCGAGCATATCCGCTTCTTCTCTCGCAAGAGGGGCATGCGTATCTGAGCTCCTTCTCAGGTCGGGCGTCTACGCTCTCCCTCTCTCGAAGGAGGGTCGGACGTACCCCTCTCGCAAGGAGAGGCGTATCCGCTCCCTCTCGAAGGAGGCCGAACGCGCTCTCTCAGGTCGAGCGTATACCGCTCCTTCTCCCCCTCTCAGGGTCGTGCGTATACCGCTCCCTCTCGCAGGGCGTGCGTACCCCGCTCTCCCTCTCAAGGGTCGTGCGCGTGAGCGAGCGAGCGGGAGGGTCAAGCAATCCGCCGCTCCCTCTCACTCGAAGGAATGGCGGAGCAATCCGCTGCCTCTCGCAGGGCCGGGCGTGCGTATCCGCTCGCTCGCAGGAGGGTCGTGCGTGCGTACCTCGCTCCCTCTCTCGAAGGAGGGAGGGTCGTATCCGCTCCCTCTCGCAAGAGGGTCGGGCGTATCCGCTCCCTCTTCTCGCAGGTCGGCGTTAGCGTACTCCGCTCGCTCCCTCTCTCTCGCAGGTCGGGCATACTCCGCTCTCAGGTCGGTCGGAATCGCTCCTTCTCTCGCAGGAGGTCGGGAGAGGCGTATCCGCTCCCTCTCGCAGGTCGGGCGTGCGTATCCGCTCTCCCTCTCTCGCAGGGTCATGCGTACCCCGCGCTCCCTCTCTCGCAAGAGGGAGGGCGTACCACGCTCCCTCTCTCGCAAGAGGGTCGAGTGTATCCGATCCCTCTATAAAGAGGGCGTGCATATCCGCTCCCTCCCTCTCGAAGGAGGGCCGGGCGTACCCCGCTCCCTCTCGTCAGAGGGCATGCGTATCCGCTTCGCTCTCTCTCGAAGGTCGTGCGTGCGTACCTCTCCCTCTCGAAGGAGGCAAGCCGCTCCCTCTTGTAGGAGGGAAGGGCGGAGCGAGCGGTCGAAGGAGGGCCTGCGTACTCCGCTCCCTCTCAGGTCGGGCGATACGCCCTCTCTCTCGCAGGAGGGTCGAGCGTGCGTATCCGCTCCCTCTCTCAGGGTCGTACGTGCGATCCCGCCTCCTCAGTGTCGGGCAGGAGCGCTCCCCATCTCTCGCAAGAGGGCGTGCGTATTGCTCCCTCTCGCAGGAGGAGAGGTGTATCCGCTCCCGTTCTCTCGCAGGGTCGGGCGTGCGTACCCCGCTCTCAAGAGGGTCGAGCGATCCGCTCTCTTCCTCGAAGGAGGGCGTATCCGCCTTCTCGAAGGAAGGAGGGTCGTACGTGTCCGCCCCCTCTCGCAAGAGGGATGAAGGTGTACTCCGCTCCCTCTCGAAGGAGGGAGGGGCGTGCGTATCCGCTTTGCTCCCTCGCAAAAGGGCGTGCCGCTCTCCCTCTCGAAGGGTCGGAATCGCTCCCTTTCACAGGAGTGAGGGCGTACCCCGCTCGCTCGTCAGAGGGCGTGCGTACCTCGCTCCCTCGCTCTCGCAGGGCATGCGTATCCGCTCTCTCTCGAAGGAGGGTCGAGCGTATCCGCGCTCCCTCAAAGGTCGGGCGCACCCCGCTCCCACTCGCAAGAGGGGCCTGCGTACCCCGCTCCTTCTCTCGCAAGAGGGCGTGCGTTCGTAGCCGCTCCCTCTCTCGCAGAAGGTCGAGCGTATCCGCTCCCTGGCTCTCGCAGGAGGGTCGAGGGTGTGTACTCCGCACCCTCTCAGGTCGGGCGTATCCGCTCCCCTCTCTCGCATGAGGGAAGGAGGGCGCGTACCCCGCTCCCTCTTAGGTCGTGCGTACCCCGCTCCCTCTCGCAGGAGGGAGGGCGTGCGTACCTCGCTCCCTCTCTCGCAGGAGAGGCGTACTCCGCCTTCTCTCTCTTAGGTCGGGCGTACCTCGCTCCCTACCTCGCAGAAGGGTCGAGCAATCCGCTCCCTTCTCTCGAAGGAGGGAGGGCGTGCGTACCCCGCTCCCTCTCAAATCAGGCGTGCGCATCCGCCTTCTCAAGGGAGGGCGGGCGTATCCGCTCTCTCTCCAAGGGCGGAGCGAGCGATCGAAGGAAGGAGGGCGTATCCGCCTTCTCTCGCTCGCAGGGAGGGCGGAGCGAGCGAGCGAGCGAAGGAGGGCCGAGCGCTCGCTCTCGAAGGAGGGGGGGAGGGCGTATGCGCCTTCTCTCGCAGGGTCGGGCGATCCGCTCCCTGCGATCGAAGGGCAGGATACGGTCTCCCTCGATGGAGGATCCCTCCCCCTCATCCTTTCCCCTCTTGCACTGCCCTCTCCTCCCTACCTACCCTCTTCCCGTCCTCCTCCACTCTCGCGCAGCCGTTTCGCAGTCCTGCCAGTGATCACTGTGCTCCCCCCACGCTCCCTCGCCCCTCACCTCCCTACCTACCCTGACCTCACCGTGCTCCCCTCGCCTCAATGTGCTCCCTTCTCCTCACAGTGCTCTCTTCTCCTCGCCTGCTTCATTTTCTCCTCGCCCGCTCCCCTCTCGCATCACCTCTTCTCGCTCCCGTTCTAACCACCCCTTCTCGCTCCTCCTCCCTTCCACTCCCCTCGCATCACCCCCTCTCGTCCTCCCCGTTCTACCCGCCCCTCTCGCTCCTCTCGTTCTCCCCCTCGCATCACCCCTCCTCTCCTCTGTTCACAGAGTCCGCGCGCACCCACTTAGGTAGCGCGGGACCATATAGGTAGTCTAGTTAAATAAATACAAAGGCAAATGAAAGGATGTAGCCGCGGATCGAACGCGCAAGGACTCCTGCGAATCAAATGTGCAAGGGTTCCCGCGAATCGAGCGAGCAAGGACTCCCAGTCGAGCCACCGGGATCTTTTCTGCCGCAGTTACTGCTTGGACCGGCAAGGGATGCGGAGGTCGACAAGGGAGAAGGAGGTCGGCAAAGTCGAGGTTGGGGTGGATACCCGGTGAAGTCGAAGTGGGCGATCGGTGAGGTCAAAGTCGAAGTAGGCATACGGCGAGGTCGATGGCGAAGTAGATCGTCCCGCAAGTTCAGAGTGAGTTCAGACGCTCCCACGTGGCGCCGTCCACGTGGCGCCTCCCGCGTGCCGGCATCACAGTCGCGGTTCCCACGCCTGCTTGTCTTCAACCAACATTGACGGTGCTCAACCAACATCGACGGTGCGAAAGCGACGTCCATCTTTGCCGGGAGTGCGCTCTGATGCAATACAACGACGTGCCGAGTACGTATACCATACCTCCCAGACAAACCTGGGCTAAGCGCCTGTGTATGTTGGCTAAGCGCCCGCGTATGTAGGCCCAGCGCTAAGCGCCCAAGTTCCGGATACGTCTCGACGCGCGGAAGGCTATCTTACTGCCAGACGCTCCGCTACTAACAGAGGCTCCGTTACTAACAGAGGCTCCGTTGGCTCTCGGCAGTCCGATGACTTGCGAGGGTCGGACGCGGTAACCTGCGAGGGTCAGATGCGATGAACTGGGAGGGTCGGTCGCGATGGCCTGCCAGGGTCAGACGCAATGACTTGCGAGGGTCAGACGCGATGACCTGCGAGGGTCAGATGCGACGATTCGCGTAAGCCGCAATCCGATATGAATGGAGGACGGGCTTCTCGCTTCTCAGGCCGGGGCGACACTGATTACACGTCCTCCGGATCGCAGCATTCATCTCACGGATCGCTGTCATCGCTGATGTATGTTGACTCTCGTCTGGCTGCCCCGATGCTGACATCCACCAGTCAACCGGCTGGCGCCACCTCATCTTACCAGCAAGCGGCCACGATTGCCGAGCGATAGCGCGCGAGAAGCCTCCTGGACACGGCATACCCTCATGTCCACGGAATGGGTGCCTCTATACACTCATATCGCGCGCGAATACTGCGGCTCTCGCGCAGCGCCCCTGAAACGGGCTTCACCGCAGACTCTGACGGGCTTCACCACAGGACCTGACGGGCTTCATCGCAGAATCTGAGGGGCCTCATCCGTCAGATCTGTCGACGGAATTGCCCTCCTTGTATTGGTTGCGTGCGCCGGGGCCCTGTTGGCACCCGCCATGCGCCGCGCACGCTATCTGAAGCTTTGCGCAGGCTGCCTGAAGCTTCCAGACGCCGCCCCGCTGCCTCACCTTCATCGTCACCTTCGACCTCACCGCCACCGCCAGTCTGCTGCCTCGCCGCTACCGCCAGCCTTCCGCCAGCACATATAACACACCGCTCGCTATCGCTCTCTGCTCTCATTCTCATCTTCGACGCTCAAGCACTTCCATCAACCTTAGAATCGCCATCGACTTTAGAATCGCCATCCCCGGCAGACTAGACATGTCTTCGTCTATGTTCTCCTTCGAGTGCGTACCTGATATGCTATGTTCATCCTGATATCCTATTTCCATCACACGTGGACTTGTGCTGACCCCCACCCCCAGCGCCGGCCGTCCGAGGAGCTGGAGCGACAGCACCGGCACCGCGAGCGACACCGATGAGCACCCGCCGCGCACGCCATCCCCGACACCCGTCTCTTCCTCGTTCGCGGACAAGCCTTTCTCCTCGTTCGAGGACAAGCCATTCTCGCCGCTCGACGTCCAGTCGCCATCGTCCTTGGATGGCAAATCGCCATCATCCTTCGACGTCAAGTCCTCCCCGTCCTTCGACGATTCCTCCCTCACCACTCCCACTTTCTCGACGCCCCAGCCGTTCTCTACGCCGCAGCCGTTCTCCACGCCCGATGCATGGCCCGCAGATGCGCCCAAGTCGTGGCCCGTCGATGCGCCGAAGACCCTCCCCTCCCTTCCTACCCCCAACGCCTTCTCCACGCCCTCACCGCGACCCCTCCCCACCACACCACCTACGTCGCAGCCTTTCTCCACGTCAAACAACCTCACCTCCACCGCATCGATCCCCGGGCCCGCCGACGCCGACGCGTACAAATCTTGGCCCGCAGGGGTCGACGCGCCGCAGTCCTACCCCGCCGACGCCGACGCGCCGCAGTCCTGGCCCGCCGACCCGCGCGCCTGCCTCCGCCTCGTGAACGCGCAGCTCGACGAGGCCGAGCGCGGCGCGAAGCTTTTGGCGCGCGCGCTGGCGGATGCGCAGGCGGCGATCGAGGAGGCGGAGAGGAGGTCGGATGAAGAGGGACGGAGGGCAGACGAGGAGGGGAAGAGGGCGGATGAAGAAGGACGGAGGGCAGATGACGAGGGGAAGAGGGCGGACCAGGCGGAGGCGAGGGCGGACCAGGCGGAGAGAAGGACGGAGGAGGCGGAGAGAAGGACGGAGGAGGCGGACCAGCGCGCGACTGTCGCGCAAGAGGAGGCGCGGGAGGCCGCGCGGCGAGCGTATGAAGCCTTCGCGCGTGCTGAGAGGGCTGAAGCGCGTGCTGAGGAGGCGGATGCGCACGCTGAGGAGGCGGATGCGCGCGCTGAGGACGCCGATGCGCGTGCTGAGGACGCCGAGGAGCGTGCCCTCGCAGCAGAGGAGCGCATGGCGACCGCGGTGACCGTCGCGCGCGAGGCTAGCGACCGGGCGTCCAGGATGGAGCAGGAGGCCGCGGAGGCTACGTCGAGGGCTCGTGATGCGGATGCGAGGGCGCAGGATGCGGACGCGCGCGCGCTAGAGGCCGCCGAACGCGCGCTCGACGCCGATGTGCGCGCGAAGAACGCGGAGGAGCGTGCGGGGGAGGCGGAGGAGCGGATGCGGGAGGCGGAGGCGCTGGCGGAGGCGTTGGAGGAGGAGGCGGCGCGGAGGGTGCACGCGGCGGATGAGCGGGCGAGGATGGCGGAGGAGAGGACGAGGGAGGCGGAGGATAGGGCGAAGGAGGCTTCAACACGCGCTGAGGCGGAGGCGAAGCGTGCTGGGGAAGCAGATACTGCTCGTGCTGCTGCAGAGGCCCGCGCGCGCGATGCTGAGGAGGCGACTCGTCAGTTGGAAGACACCGTTCGTCGACTACGGGACGCTGAAGGCCGGCGTGAAGTTGCTATTAGACAACTCGAAGAGTCTAACCAGCGGCTGGAGGAGTCGAACCACCAGCTCGAAGATACAGTCCGCCTACTCCAACAGAGCGTCGCCGCTGCCGAAGAGCGCGTCGTCAAGGCCGAAACGCGCGCGCTCGCCGCTGAGGTGAAGGCATCCGAGGCAGTCGCTCAGGCGCAGAAGCTCGACTCTGACCTCCGTGCCGTCCAGAAGCGCGCTCAAACCGCCGAGGCGCGCACCTTCGAGGCCGTGACGCGTGAGCACGCCGCCGAGCAGCGCGCCGCGGGTCTTGAGGCAGAGCTGGCGAATGTAGACGGTGAAGTCCAAGTCATGGAGGCGCAGTTGCGCGATGCACAGGCTCAACTCCACGACCTGGAATCGCACCTCCGCGACGTCGAATCCCAGGTCCACGCCCGCTCCGAGACCCCCGCCCAGGCGGAGCGCCGGGTGCAGGAGCTCGAGCAGGTGGCGCGCGAGCTCGACGAGCGGCTGGTGCGCGAGCGACGTCAGATGGAGGAGCAGCTGGCGCGCGAGCGGCGCGAGATGGAAGAGCAGATTGTGCGCGACGAGCGCCAGGCCGAGCTGTTGGACGCCTTGCGCCAGGTCCCGACGGGGCCCTTCCTGGCGCGGATAGTGAGGTGTGTCTTTGTTTGTTCTTTTATTCGAGTCATGATCGTCTTATGCACGCACTGACGGCCGATGTACTGGTCTAGGGTCTGGTCGGCGTACTGGAGGATGTGAGGAAGGTGCTTCTTGCTGTGAGGGCGCGGGCGCTTGGTGGTTTGGTCGAAGGTAGACAGACAACGTCAGGTATCTATGGTAGTTACTGATATGCGACTACGTATGTTTAAGTAGGCGATTATGGACGCTCTTGAGTGGGGCTGTGCTTATGCCTGTGAATGACTGAAGGTTGGGGTATTGTGTACGTCCTCATCATCTCGAGGGGCATGCCATAGTAGGATGCGGACAACGGAGACGTCAGTCTGTTGCGTGCTGGCTTTGCGTTGGTTGAAGACAAGCAGGCGTGGGGAATGCGATGTGATTTGAGCACGACAGTCGTGGCCTGACGCATAGAATAGCAAGTATTGAAGTACTGTATATCGGCACTTCTAGGACGTCGACTGGAAGAACCTGATGTCGTATGTCAAGGGCAACATCCGGCGAACCTTCGCCCCTCCGAGCAGTATCTGAACCCCTGTTAGTATCGTCGTCGTCATCAGCTTGTCCGAGTCAGTCTCGCGCGCGTTAACTTCGTAGACGTCGCCCCCAAAAACAATGGTGAGGTCAGAGATGATCTCGATTTGCGTCCCTCGCTGCCGCGCGCGCATCCTCTCACGCAGGAGCTCGAAGACGCGCGAGCCGAGGCTCTCCCGGTTTACGTCGATGTAGGTGAAGACGTCCATGCACATCTGTGTAATATCGTTGAGCGTGACGGCGCCTGCGGCGAGGGATGTGCGTGAGCAGTCGCGCAGCTTCTAACATGGTTGAAGCCCACCTTTCAGACGCCAAGGACCCTCGGCCGCACAGCATGTGCGGCGATGTGCTTCCGCCCAGTGTCTGCGCTGGCAGGCTACAGAACAATATACCACCTCTCCGCAAGGGCATATCCCGTGCAAAAGCGGCCGATGCGGACCCTAGAGATCGGAATGTATCAAGCCGTTTGTGTGTTGTAGTCAGGTACTTCTCACCTCCGCGCGCGAGCACTGTAGAGCGCTCTTCCACGCAGCTGATCTGCGCATGCGTCGATAGAACAAATATTGCAAGTGGTACGCATAGATCACCGCGCTCCAGTCGTGGTAACCGTACACAATTTCTCGCTGGCGAGGTATTGGAGGGTAGGTATGCCGATATCGCTCGTGGAACACGCGGAGAAAGGATGGTTGCGAGAACGTCGCATTGAGGCGGACCACCAGGTTCTTCACAGACGCCGTGACGTATTTGTCCCCGATATGCCGCAGGAGATCAAAGGCGCCGCACTCGACCAGGCGACGAAGCGTGCGGTTGTCGAGGTCGTGGAAGCAGAGCGCGTCGAGCAACTCGGTAGCAGCGCACGCACCGGGCTCGCCCTCCTTGTGCGTGAGACAGCGCTCTGCAGCATCAACGAAGCCGCGTATGATGCTCTTAGAGCAAGGCCCCGTGCGAGGAAATTGTGTCTTTTGAACGATCATGGAAAGAAGCGTGAAGTGCGTCCACAGGACCTCCTCCGACGTTGGGGTGATGGCAAGTCGAACGAGATGCTGGGTCTGTCGAACAAAGCGATCATACATCTGTTGAGTGTCTGGCGCGACGGATCGGAGTTGACAGTAGAAGCCTTTGGTCACGATCTCTTCTGAGCCCGTCTCCACGAACGCGTTGTAGACGTCCAGAACCGTAAGGGTGAGACTATGCGTCGAAGTCACCTCGTCGGCGCCTCTGGTGAGCGCGGGCATGTACAGAGGGCAGTCTATCCATAGCTTGAAAACATGCCGCACGATCTCAGCACGACAGTACAAGTACCGAGCGACTTTTGCTGGGTCGGATCGGATGAGGGTGCGATATGCCCGAGTGACTAGGACGACGACGCGACTTGATTCATCCAATCTCTCTAAGCGTGCACCATCGAAGCTTCGTATCATCGGCTGGAAGCTGTCTAGCCAGTCGAAGACGGCCGGCCAGAGATCGTACAGGAAGTCGTCCGATTCGCCGATCGCTCGCATGAAATCGTAAGTGTCGCACAGAAGCTCTATACCAGTGAGAGTGATGTTGGTCCGGTCGGGATCTCGGTCGGGGGTGTCGTCTCGAGGAGAATCGTCCACACGCAGCGCGCTCAGCGCGTCGCTCAGGCACTTCACCTCAGCAGGCTCCATTGAAGGCCTTGGGTCATCCTTGGTCATGCGTCTTCGAAGATCATCGAGGTGCGTCCTCCAAGACGCGAGGCCTAAGCGTGCTTCGCGGACGCGCTGAGCAGCTCCTAGATCGGGGCCACCTGATTCCATCTGTAGAGAACACGGTCAGTTGCGCGACCACAGATCTGGATCGGGGTTTGGACTGAGACACGTACCGGTTTACACTAACGAATTGTCAGTGAATTGAATTAGGCAGACAAGCGCTGTCACTTTGTCAGGCCGAATGAACGAACAGGAGGAAGTTCGTAGAATTCCGCAGGCCGCTGTGTCTGTGAATACGATCATCCGCTTACCTTTCAGGAAATAGATAGGCAGCGGGACGCAGTATATTGCGCAAAGATAGCTTTAAACGTCGATGGCTCCAGACAGCAGCAATCAACGCCGGAGCGCGTACGAGAGATGACGGCGGTGGAGGCCAAGCAATCGTGGGAGTCGGGTTTGAGGGGAAAGCCGAGCAGATCACGCAGCCTACCACGTGGTGCAAGTTGAACTTCGGGGCATTGGGAGGTCCGACACCGAGATCTCAAGCTCTCAACCTTCAAACCGATAGAAATGGAAAACGCAGTCATCGAGTAAGGACTACACCGTTTAGCAGTATCTCTCGAGCCAAGGTCGTAGCTCATCTGCTAGCGCTAACGACCCCGTGATGCTCTTCACGCTGTCCCGCATCTTCATACAATACTTTGAATCTGCAGTACGCCTTCTTTTCAAGCTCCGGAATATATCGCAAGCCTGCCGATGTCGTGCCCTTCCCTACGCGGTCCCGCGAGGCCCTCGACCATATACGAGAAAGGAAGATCCCGCGCATGTTTACGACGCCCGACGCTGAATTCTATCTCCACTGCGACCGACTTGACGGAATCCGGCAGGACGACCTCGCTTCGGGTATCATTATTGACCTCAACACGTATACGACAGCCGTGTGGGTCAATATCCGCATGCTTGCTTTGGTCGCCTGAGAGGTCGACAACGAGGTACGGGTGCTCGTCGTGGGCGTATGGCTTGCGGGTGGAGAGCAAGGAAACTACTCTGTGTTTGTTGCGCGCGATGGCTGCTTGAGCGCTTTCTGTAAGAAAGACAATGTCTTTGAGACTCAGGGTACCTATTTTACCGTTAGAGTACAACTGATGGGCATGACACCGGCAGGAACCGAGCGCGACTCACTAGAAGATATAGCATCTCGCTTCTTGCAGTCACACCTTGTATTATGCGTGGTGTACCAGTGCTCTTGCTGGCACAGATTCGAGCAATAGAAGGCGTAGCCGCACGCGCATGGTTTGACTCGGCCAGTATGTTTGACCTGTAAGAGACGCAAAAGATGATTTTGAGCATTGTGCGACCAAAAAGATGAAAAGGACAGCGTACCGAATTGACGTTGTGACACGGTATTGTGCGCTCCCGCGCCTTCCCCTTACGCAGGGACGAATGCAACTGCCACTGCAGCAGCATTTCGGGCCGTGGGACACACGGTCACATGGCGGTTGCGCGACTTGTCACGGCACTGGTAGAAGCGCATTACCCAAGCATTACCACAGCCGAATTCACAATGCAGAGACCAGGAATGGATAGCTGAAGGTATAGCAACGGGCGGTTATGTACACTAAATGCACAGTTCAAGCGATGTCGAGCTTCTGACTTCAAAAGATGTTCGTAAGCTGTCTGGAGGCAGGTACAGGAAGCGCCTAGATATAATTCGTACTTGGTCCAAGGCATGCTATGTACAGGGGACTAGACGTACTGTATGAATTTTCCGTCGTGAGAATCACTGAAAAAGGTGCACGTCGTAGTTCATCGGGAGCAGATGGCGAAATTTCTGCCCTCCCAAAAGAATTTGGACCCCGGTGACGACGATCGGCGAGAAGAGGCCGCCGAAACTGGACTCGCGCGCATTGACCTCGTACCTATCGCCACCCATGGTCACAGTTAAGTCTGCTATGATTTCAATTTGGGTCCCGCGCTGCCGCGCGCGCACGCGCTCGCGGATGAGATGGAGGACACGGGGCCCGAGGCTCGCCTTGTTAGCATCGATGTAGCATGATACGTCCATGCACATCTGGAGGATGTCGTTGAGGGTGACGACACCTGTGAGTTTGGATATCAGCGCCCCTCACCTCGCCATATCCGATGGAACACATACCTCCCAATCCCCATGGACCCTGCGCGGCGCAGCACACCCGGCGGTGCGCTTCCTCCCAGTGTCGACGTTGACAGATCGGAGAGCAATAAACCGCGTTCCCGCAGGAGCATATGCCCCGTACCGTTCGCCGATGCGGGCCCTGCATGAGTCGTCAAGAGTGCACAGAATTATCTCCTCGATGCGATCTCACCTCGCCGCGCGAGCATTGCAGTGTTTTCTTCCACTGCGCCATCTGGCGCATTCCACGATAGAAGCCGTACTGCTGGTGGTACATATGGATGACGAGCTCCCAGTTCGCGTGGCAGTACTGAGGCCCAAGTGGAGGAGGCATTAGCGGGAATGCACGCCGGTATCGGGCGTGGAAAGCACGGAGGAAGGACGCGAGCGAGAAAGTCGCCGCTATGCGCTTCGCCAGCTTGTCGACGTTCCCATCTCTGCTCTTCGCCCCGATACGCAGGAGTAGGTCGAACGCGCCGGCGTCGATCAGGCGCCTGAGCGTGCGGTTATCGCGGTCGAGGACGCAGCACGCGTCGAGTAGCTCAGTGGCGGTGCACGCGGCATAAATACCCTTGTCGTGTTTGAGGCAGCGATCTGCGGCGTCAATAAATCCATGTATGACGTTTTTGGGGCATGGGCCAGTGCGCGGGAATGTCGGATTAGAGACAATAATCGTGAGCAGCATGAAGTGCGCAACTAGGACTTCTTCAGATGTTTCGACGATCGCGAGTTGCACGAGAAACTGCGTTTGGCGGACGAGCTGGTTGTATAAGCCGCGGGTGCTGGGGGATACGCATCGGAGCTGATGGTAGAACGACTGCACCATGATCTCCTGAGACTGCGGTCCTACTAGCGCATTATGAGCATCCACCAGCGCCAAAGTGAGGTTGTGCGTCGCCGTCACTCTGTCGTCGCCCCTGGTCAATGCGGACATGTAGAGCGGGCAATCGAGCCAGATCTCGAAGAGGTGCTGCATGGATTCAGGCCGGGCCCTTATTAAGCGACCGGCTATAGTTGAATCCGCTCGAACGAGCGTGAGGTATACACGAGTGACAGCAACAACAGCGCGGCTGGCATCGTCCAGCCCCTTGAAGCGCAAGCCGGCAAAACTGCGGTCCGTCGACCGGAAGGTGGTCAGCCATCGGAGAGCGTGTGGCCACAAGCTCTCGGTCAAGGCCTTATGGGCGTCGTTCGCGCCCGAGAGATTGAGTACGTCGCACATGAGATCGAGGCCCGCGAGGACTAGGTTGCCTCGTTCCTCGTCCTGGCTGAGTGGATCGTCGGGCGCAGGGCTACCCATGGTCAGCACCGTGAGCGCTTCCCCTATTTGTTGCATATGAGATGATGTTGCCTGAAGACGGGCGGGTTCATCGCGCAATTCTTTGATGAGTCTTTGCGCATTTCCGACGCTTTGAAAGGCTTCCCGCAAAGGGCTTCCACATCGTGATTCTAAAAATTGAAAAGAAGTTGAGTCAACGCAGAGTACGAATGGGGAAAGAGTTATACTGACCGGAATTGGCTATGAAGGAAGACTCTGAAGCGGACATGTTGAGCGACCTGGTCGTGCTGATCAGTTGAAGATGCCAAGCAACTCCAGAACAGCCTTCAAAAATGTGATATGCCTCAGCTGCGAGACTGAGAGTGTTCCCAGATGGGAGTAAAGACGGCGAAAGCCAAGCGAGACGTCGTGGTTGCGAACAAACAAGCGTGGGAATCAAATTTGCTGGACGGTGCCGGATCGATCACGCAGATGCCACGTGACTGAAGTTCAACTTCGGCTGTGACCGGCAACATAACGCGAGGATGGCAGATCAGTGAACATTGTGTCGCGAAGTATATCCCGCTAGTTGCAGACACACCTGCGACGCGCATGGGAGGTCCAGGGGGAGTCCAATTCCGAGCACGCGGCATTTGAGCCCGACGCGCCCGATGCTGTCGTTGAGATAGCCGGGAGCGGGCTTGAACGCGGGGCAGGAAGGAAGTCGAGAAGCGACGCATACCAAAGGCTGATCCGAGCGACAATTGTGACGCGAAGGGGACAATAAAGAGGCCGGGGAGCGTCTCATTGAAGTGTTGATGTGCTTATGGGCGGCGCTTGGAACTTGAGCGGCCCGCCGAGTTGAGTCTCGGCCGCGGGGATCATTGAACGCTATGAGAAGATTGAGTGCATGCTCTTCCCTCTATGCCACGGTTGCTTTCGATGAGGCTCACCTTTCGATCGAAGAAGCGCGACGGCCAGAGAACTTGAAGCGTGTGGTCAGCATTTTGGACTGCAGGGGGCGTACATGGCTACGCGGAGACAGAGTACGACGAATGACTCTAGCTACATATTTGTGACGCTGTCGTCCGTCCGCGCGCTTAGTCGGTGACGGAAGCGATATACGATCGGGAAAGGGGACCGACCTGACCCGCACGGAGCATAGGAAACATTGTCGCGCGATACAATGGGGATAGATGGGGCAGTCGCGGTCTAAATTAGCGTACGAATTACACTTGAGCGTGTACGAGGTGTTGAACGGCAGGAAAAGCTATGGTAACCGGGAAGTTGTGAGCAGAAAGCGGCGCGGGATTGGTGAAGACGGACTCACATAAGTATATGGGCTAGTCTCGCCGAAGCTGAGGCGGCCGTTTTGCCAATGGGAAAGGGAAGGCTGCCCATGGTCATGTCTTTCGCTTTCTTGGCTTGATCGGCGCAGCAGAGGCGCGGCCCGCCGCCTGATGACTTTGAAGGTTCTTAACACCGTCCATGTCAGGAGGAATGAGTGAGGGCATGAGGAAGGGACGCTTGAAAGTGGGTTCATTGCGTGCAATTAGGAGTTCCGTCTCAAAATGCTTTCGCGCCGACGCGGTATCGTAGATGAGGTAGAGAAGCACAAAGGCTCAGCACTCACGCAAGGATCACGTGCGACCTGCTGACGTGTAGGATCGAGTCGCTTTTGCACTAGATAGGCCGAGCGTCAGTACGAGTACTCCTCGAGGGATTGACGCGCACCATGGTGCGCCCCTCGACGCGACCTCCGAGCAGTCGTTAGGTGTATCCTACGATCTCGATATCTTTCGCATGCTATTCCTCCTAGGACTTACTTAGACGAGCGATATGCAGGAGGAGAGCCATGATGCGGTTCGGGTGCACCTGGGAACATGGCGGTCGCGAGGAAGCGGCGGTCGGAAGCCGGAGCCCGGGCCGAGCCCATCAAAGGATTCCGCATGCGGAACAAAGGACTGTTGCTAGCTCTTACAATCGCTCGTCTTCGTCTTCGACCATCACCACGCAGACAAACACCATTCCAGCAACCCTGTTTGAAGCCGAAAAACCTTTTACTCACCCATGTCCTTCAGCGCTTTGTCGACTGAGTCCGACTTTCAACGCGACCTGGACACCATGCACGACGCTCTCCGCGCGCTTTCCGCAAACGACCGGGATAGCTCCGCGTACGCCACGCTGAAATCCCTGCTGCGAGGGTCATTGGCTCTATCTGCTCTTAATATTGAGCCCCCCTTCGATGCTCCTGCGGAAGCACTTCATCGCTGGTCCAATATCTTCAGCGCTGTCAACCGCTGCTTCATGTGCCTGAGCAATCTGTATGAGCTCGCTCGCGAAAAAAAGCATCGCTTCGGCCATCTCATAGAGAGCCCTCCTGTGCCACTTGCTAAAGCTCTGCAGTGGATCGAGTACATGCATCCAGCGAAAGCGGGTCGTCTGCTCGTCGCATCGGGCGAGCAGCAGTACGACTTTCTGCATTACTGTGTCTTCCTCCGCATGCTTCTCGTCTGCGGGAAGGACTATATGGCTCGCTTCGTCTATGAAAACCCTCGCATCTTCACTATCACGCTCGACGTATGGCTTTTCCATCCCACCTATATCGCACAAGGCCATTACTGCAACATCAATTATGTCGCTATCACCCTGGAGGTCTGCGCTGCGCATAATGGCCTTGTTCTATCTATACCCCACATCGGTGCAGAGACGACGTATGACGTATACGGAGCCGAGCTCAATCAACTGGTGCATGGGCGCCACTCGCAATTCCTCCGCTGCCTCATCGTTCACATACGTCGTCTCCTTCTCCTGGGCATCGAGAGCGAGGACTCGATGCGTGTATGGTACCACTACTTCCAAACGATGATCACCGTTCTCCGACATGAATGGCTCAAGGGCGCAAAGATACCGCGGGATTTGATACGACTGGTCATCGCTGGCGTTCGTCACTGCCTTCGCAATGGCGAGGCCTTCCCCCAAATCGGCCGCGACATCGCAGATCGAGCCGCGCTTATACTCGTGGCCATGATGAGCAGCGAGGAAAACATGCGCAATACAACCCGCGCGTTTGAGGTTGGCGTGATACCCTTCTTCTTCGAAATCAACGCGATACTGGGCCGCCTCGACTCCATCCGCAAACTGGAGCTTTGCATAGGGGATAGCTTCTGGTCTCTCAGGCTGTTGCGGCTTTTCAGACTCCAGCTTCGTCAGGCAGTCGAGTCGGGAGTCGTCTCTGCCCAGCAGCTTGCGAAGGGCAAGATTCTGGTCGACCTCTCGACCTCCCGGTGGAAGGCCTATATGGCCATGAGGCACAACAGGAACTGGCAAGCTTTGATCGCTTGCAATAACACCGATACTGTGAGTATTTCGTCATCGTAAAAGCAAACGTGAGAGATGCTGATACACGCCTAACAGTCCCATCATGCGAAAGGAGTCAAGCCCTGCGCATGTGGCGAAGCTTTCTACTGCTCCGTCGCATGCCAGCGCGCGCATTGGGAAGCGTCGCATAGAATCACTTGCTCGTACCCGTCCTCTGGTGTCTGTCATATGCATGGTTCGGCGTCCCACTGCTGTTCAATCACCCGAACTAATTTCTTGGAGCAGGCCTCCTCAAAATCCAAGACGTAATTCTCCTCGTCGAGACTGCCGTCGCGCTCATCGAACTTCCCGATTTTCTCGACCGCATCACACAGAGCATCACCTCGATCTTCAAGGATCCTATCGACAGAGTGGTATGCCTTGTTGTCAACATGGGAGGGTGCGCGGCGGAGGAGGAAGATCCTTACGGGTATGCGGTCGAGATGGTGGCAAGAGATGAGAAAGATGAGGATCCGACGAGGATACAGATCTGGGTCAGGCTCACAGTTGAGGGAAAGCCCGTCATGCACCGCCTACCGTTCACGTACGGGCCTGAGGATTTCGGAGCTGGTGCCATAAATGTGTAGGGGCGATCTAGTACCGGCGCATGATTTCACCATACCGGATGAATAGCGTAGCACTTCCACGGCTAGTACGCCGTGAAAGCGCCGATATCATACAAATAAGGTAGGGGATAGATTCGAGTTAGACGCCCAGCACGGAGGCGAATCTCCACGCTTAACTTTGTAGCGTCATGGAGCGTGTCCCGCGAACTCGACCCGACGTACACCCTGCACCCATATCCATCCGCCTCCTCTTCGTCCTCGGGCGCCATGTCGACACGGATGGAGGGCTGCTTCTCAATCAAACCACCACAAACTACGATCCCGCGCTCGCCTCCTCCGAAGCTTTATCATCCTCAACATCAGCCCTGGTCAACTCGTGCGCGAAAGGAAGAACTTGAGTAAAACGGTTCCTCCCCACGGTGATGCTCACTTCCACCGCAATCTGATGCTTGTAGTTCGGATCCGGGATGTCGACAATGGGACTCTCAACGCTCCACATACTAATCCTGCAGCCGTACGCGTCTCTCGAGGTCGTTGGATTGTCCGGGGAGGACTCTCGGGGCCGTTGCGCATCCGCAGACCAACCGAGCTCTGTCTCCCGTCGCTCCTCGCTCGTGAAGTCGACGCGCACACAGAACTGCATCCCAGGTTCGGCGCGCGCACGGGCGGTCAGTTCGTCGCCGAGCCAGTCCGCACGGCGGTCGATAGCCGCCTTCGCGCAGTGTCCGACGAATATGACGTCCTCGACTTTGAGAGCGCCTGAGGGAGAGATAAGTCAGCGATGCTGCGCCGGCAAGCAAAGGGGGCTGGGAATACGCGCATCGGGAGATAGGTCGCAGTCAAGAGGAATGTGTACGCTCAAGATGAACGACAAGATATACAACGCACCGTCTGAGCGGAGAACGCCTGTCGTTCGATAAGTGCAGGTATACCGATGCTCCGCGACCCAGTGAGCGCGCTGACATTCGACCGAGCAATAGAAGACGTCCCCGCACGCGCATGGCTTGACCTCATAGTCGCGATTATCCTGTTTGCTCGAGTCAGTACGCAGGGAGCAGGCGCAATTACGAACGTACACATAAAGCATTGCACCAGCTCACGCGTTTCCACGCCTTTTCTTCGCAGAAGGCCGTGTAAAGCTCCCAGTAAAGGTCGAAGCGGTTCACGAGCGTCCTGAGGTCGGTATACTTCTGTGATATGCTGCTCAGTGCGCCGGGTAGGGCCATACTGTCGCAGCCGCGGCGGAAGGCGCGAAGGACGGCTGGGCACCAGAAGCTATCCTGGAGATGGCGAGCCAGTCGCTGGATGCCCTCCTCGCTTTGCAGAGCGACGCAGTGCTCGAGCATGTACCCGAGAACGCCCTCGTTCAGGGCGCGCACCGTCTGCCGCGTATGCCGAGGGTCCACCACGATATCCGTAAGTAGCTCCACCGCCGTACATGCCGCCACCCTCGACTTCGCTGCTCCGGGACTCTGGAGGCAGACCCGTGCGCCGGACATTACGCTCTCGAGCAGGTCGCGCCCTATGCGCACGCCGGAGAGGTCACCGTATACGAGCACCCTGCGCGCCGCGACGAAGTGCACGTTCCACGTCGAGCCCTCCACGGCCGTTCCCGCGCGCAGCATGAGGCGCGTCTGCGCTTCGATGCAGCGGGGGACACGCGAGAGATGGCCGCCGACGAGGCGCGTGAGCTCGGCGGTGAGCAGCGAGGAGGACTGGGTGGCGCGGGGGAGCAAGATATGGAACAGGCCGAGGATGGCCTCGGAGATGAATTGGGCGGACGAGACGTGTCTGGTTTTGCCGCGCAGGTATGCGGGGTAGGCAAGCCAGAGGTCGAGGACGAGGGTGATGATACGCGGTTGCTGTTCGTCGACGAAGCGGGCGACGTATGGACGACCGCAGTAAAGAATGCTACCGAGGATGCTGCATACTGGAGTCACTTCACTGAGGCTGCCGTCTGGCGGGTAAAGGCCACGAATATAGCCGTGCATGGGATGCATGAAGTCGATCCAGCGGAAGACCTTGTCAAGGGCAATTGGCGGTACGTCAAGGAGCTCTGAGTTATCCGAGTTTGGAGAGCCAAAATGCTTGTATAGCAAAGTTATCGCGGCGAAAGAGGCGAAGACGTTATGAAGTATGTCGTCGTTCTTCCGCACTTCAGATAAGGGCTCGCCGAAAGGGGGTTCGCCTTCCAAGAGGCTGAATGCGACACCCTTGGCGAGTATGGGTCTAATTGTGCGGATTAGGGAGCGATGAGTTGATCCAGGATCTCTCTGCATGAGTTCTTGTAACGCATCTTGGAGGGCGCCGAGGTCGCGAGCGCCGACTCGCTGAAATCGCTCCAGATATGGGAACATGATTATGTACAGTTCTGCCTGTTGAGTTTAGTCAACACCGTGATATAGTAGCAAAATAGGAGGATGGTAGGACCTGAGTGGTTGCCTCTTCACGTCTCCATCGCGCTCGGCCAATACTTGCTTGATGGACGAAGCCAGAAGTAAACCGACACGTGGACCGGGCGCATGACCGAGATGCACGTGCGGTCTAAATACACGCAAATACTCCGCATGTTACCGGCTCCCCTCATCAAAGACAACGGCATCTCGTGCGATGAAGGCGGGGACGTTCTTTGAACTCTTCCTTCCAGTCCTCTCACCCGAGTGACCCACCTGCTCCCCATTCTCGTCAGCCCTGCATTTGAATCCTGGGGACCGAACCGCCGGCTTGTCAGCGCCAAACCCGCGTCCGACTTCCAACTCCCGCTCAATAGAGTCTTTACGTGGATTTGTAGTGGCAGGCACCTTTGTCTCTGACTCATCACCCTGCGGGTCCTCGAAAGTGTTTCTTGCGCAGCTAGCAGTATCGATAGAAGACGGGGGGGTTCAAGTAATGTGAAGTGCCGCACCTTCGGGGCTCACCCATGCGGAGTTTGTGGACAGCCTCATTGCATAGTCTTGAAGTTACTAGGGGAAGATTCCCATCACGTTAACGAGGAAGCTGCATTCTCTGCAACGCGTGGACCTTACTTCGGGCTGAGCTAACAATCTGGACACGCGACGCAATCATCAATGTAGCACGACAGCCCTTTTTTCTACGTTACAAGCTTTTCGGTCGATGACTTATAATTTCCACGGGCTTCTTCATTTCTGGACGCCACCAAGGCGTCGGTTCTTCCATCCTTTGGTTTCAGGCATTCGCGCTCCGGCGAAGAGTGGCTATCCTGACGGTCAGTCTCGTCAAGTAGTTACATACACGAATAGCTCACCAGCTTCGAAGAGCTTGTTTAGTGCTTCCTCATGCGCTTTGGCTGCCTCCTCCAGAGCCTCCTCGTCCTCGCGCGACTGCTGGATATGCTGATTGGCATAGCCGCGCGCCGCAATTGCATGGTGAGGGGTCTCAGTCTCGTCTTCGCTATCGGAGCGCGGCGTGCTCGGTGGGACGCCCTCGGGGTCTAAGGTCCATTCAGCTTTCCTCGCCCATAACACCGTCGAGGTACGCACCGGAAACTGGTCTGCCAAAACCGGCCAACTGCTCTGAAGGCCCGAGACTCAACCTGATTCCGTGAAGAAAGACGAGTCCACGTACTTCGAGGCGCGGTCCCTCCATTTGAGCGGCGAGCGGTAGCCTTGGTGCGGGCCATGGCGGTAGTTGGAGAAGAGTGAGGAGCGAAAGGATCTCGACAACGACATTTATACCACGTATCCTGCCGTGTGAGTCGTCAGTCGGGCACGGGCACCCGTCAATTCGGCGCTGAGCTTCTCTCGCAGCAGGACCCCAGTAATGCGCCGCTCTCGCCCCACGTATTCCCATCCTCTGTATACACTCCCTCATCCGTTTCCACCCTCTTTTCATGTTCACCTTCCCATCCGCCCCGCTGCGCCACGTCAAGACACAGAAGCGCCCCATCCTGACCCAGCAGCACTTGCTTGCGACCTCCATGTCCCAACAAATACGAGAGCTCACCATCATCTTCATCCCGGACCCGCCGCTTGCCCACACAGTCACCTCGTCCAAGAAAGGCACCCCGTTCGAGATGGCTCGACTATTCGACCCCGAGTCTGCGAAGCACCTCTTCCAATCGGCCCCCGGATGCTGGCTTGAGAAAGAGCGGGCTGAATCTGCAGACGACGGCGAGGAGAATGCTGATGCCAGCCACGAACTCGTCGAAGATCGCCGGCAACTCGTCAACGACGGCAGAGAGACCGTCGACGCCAGCAAAGAAGCCGCTCACGCTGGCGAAGGGATCACTGACGCCGCCGAGGATACCGCTGAAGGCGGTCAAAATAGCCGTATCGCCCGCGATATGATCATCTGGGAGTGGGTGAGTATATGTGAACGCCAACAGTCCGTCAAGTATAACGACCAAAACTGCAGGCATACCTCCCCGAAACATGGCGTACGCTATCCGAGGCTAGAGAGGACCTAACCGTCAACGTCGTAGGCATGGAATATCCTCACTTCATGGGCGCAATCATGTCTCGCAGCGAGGAGAATGACGCTTGGCGCACGCTTCTCGACGCAGATCTCGTCGTCGTCGGGGCCGCGCTCAACGAGGACTTCATGTTCGTTGTTCATGTCCTTATGCGTCGATCAACGAACTGCACCTGACGCGCCCACAGGAACCCACTCTATCTGCTGAACCACGATCCCCAGGGCCTGCAGCGCTACCTCAACGGTATGGACATCCTGGCGGAGCACACCCCTATCTGGCCGCTCCCAGAGGCGCTCCGGCAACAAGTTCCTTCTCGCCAGGACCCTGGATCAAATTGCGACAGAAGTCACTCATACGCCGAGGCCGCGGACCCGCCCTCTGCCAACTGGTCCTGTCGGATGCGTCAGCGCAGGATTCATCCCCAAGAGGGGATACTCGGCGCATTCAGATCATGTCATACTCGGCTGGCGGACGGGCAGCGATGATCTGCTGTCGGCCCTAAAGCCTTCCGGTTCAGCCCTTATCGACATGACCTGGCACGAGCAAGAATATGTCCACACCCTCCGGAACCCCCAGTACGGAGAGCTTCGCTGCTACGTGATTGGTGGAAGGATGAGTCGCGTTCTAAAGACGGTCCCAATAGGAGATAAAGAGCTTCAATGCAGGGCCATAGTTGGACTGCCGACCCTGCAATATTTATTGTGAGCGAGGTGACATGGACGTTGAGAACAATCCTCACCTTCATCTTCCGAACCGCAGGGATGATCACAGAGGGCAGAACGTCGATGACGATACCGGTAATGCAGGCATGAGCGAGTTGGAAGGATTCGTGCTCGCTACCCATGCCGCGCTGGTGGAAAAGGAAAAGAAGACGCTGGGCTTGACGCGCACGGACTTGGAAGTGCTCTGTAGGATCGATGTTGGGGTTTGGATGGCTGAGTCTGCTGCGCACTATTTCGTGCTCGAGGTCGAGCGCGGACTTACCACCTGCATGTTCGCTTTCGAGGACCCGGAGGGTGCTGCTGCCGACATTGAAGAGGTAGCGGAATTACTGCTGAATTGGGTAGGGTAGTGCATGTATTGCATTTTGTACTAAGGGCCAAACGATACGAAGTAAACGCCCTCGACCGAAGGCATGTCGCTTGTGAAAGCCGCTGAAACAGGCATATGGCGAAGCGGTTGCTTCCAGCCATACCTACCGCTACTGCTGGGCCTGAAAGGAGAGGTCAGCGCGATAGCGCGAAGGAAGGGGGGCGTCGACGCACGTTGAGATCAGGAAGTTCTTGTAACTTGTACAGATTGCTGTATGCTTCCTCGGCTTCCGCACGCTCCGGGCAGCATATCCCAAGTTCGATTCCAAGCGCCGCGCGTCGCTGCTCAGCGAGGAATATCAAGAGGGCTTGTTCAAAAGCGCCGAGCTTCTCAAAGCTGATCTGAGGTACAGGACTGTATCGTAGCATGAGTCTACCGTCGATCACGACAAGCTCGGCACGCACCTGCTTCCCCAATGAGGGACCGCGTATCAAGAAGTGATACGCGTCATTCAGACTCGCATAGTTTCCCCAATGAGTATAGATGGAGCGAGGGGACCCAATTTGCGCAAGAGACCACGATTGCCTGCGTTTGCTCCAAAGACCTGCATATATGCGTCGATATTGCGAGCGATGCGAAGCTTATTGCTGTCTGGAGGGACCTCTTTGAAGAACCAAAGTCAGGAAGAACCAAGAAAATCACATCGGACGTCGACATGAAGGTTAGAAGGAAGCGAGATGATGGCAGGCGACGAATCTTCGGCCCGCGACGCACGTGGTGGGATGTCCGAAATGGGAAGTCTTTGTTCTCTTTCCGGCCGTCGTGCGCGCACTTGGGTACTTCTACATTCCTCAATCCCCCCAGACCAGTCGTTATAGCGCCAAATTTTCACGGATTCCATAGGCTACTATGTATGTAGTGTGGGTCATGATTCAGACGAGTATTTCCCGGCCCTTGGCCGCCCGCATAAGAGGAGGCCAGTGAGCCCCGCTCTGCATCGTGATGTCCGTCACTGATGGTGCAGCGGCAGCGAGCAGACACTACTCGCCTAGCTCCGGGAGCACATGCTGCCCTATGATGGCCACTCACCGCTGCTGCCGTATCATGCTCTGCGTTGCGCGCAACGCTCAGATCGAGCGATGCACATTCAGCCTGGTAGATCAACGCTGAGTTCATGCACTCTCCGTGTGTGCGCATCGTGAGCTCCCAATACGCGGACATGGCGGTTTCGCCCGTCTCAGCTGACCAACCAAGGTCAAGTGCAGGAAACCCTCGAAGATCCAGAGCCAAAGCCATCGACAAGAAGCCATGCGCTTATCGACAAGCAGGCGTCCCAGGGCAGAGGCTTTGCAAGAAATTGCAAGTTCCTGGCTGCGGTTCAGGATTCCGCGCGGACCAAGAGAGTCGACGTTGAGCCGGCCGTGACCAGAGCCTACAACCCCAACGACCCCTTGAAGTACGCCGCATCATACGAAAACGGCAGGACGCGCCGCTCCTGCCTCTGGCCAAGTGGGATCTTGACTTCGACAAGCACTCGGCGCGGCACGTCAACGCCGACGATCCCCGACTTAATGGGCTCGACAGCAGCTGATGAGCTCGCCGCGTACACGTCATGCGTGGGCGCCACATCGGTGAGGTTGACAAGAATGATAGGCTGCTTGGTCGACTGCTTGGACTTGTCCTTCTTCCCGCTGAGCTTCAACGCCGATATGTGCATCCCGACCGCCGTCCGGTTCGTCGCGATGTAGTGCCGCGCCACGGCGCACACGAAGAGCGCATCAGAGAGGGAGAGGGCGCCTGGTAAAGAAGGTTAAAGAGGCAAAGCGTTGAGAGGGAGGTAGATGGTCGAGGGGAACGGTCGAACACAGAGGGAAGTCGGTCGGTGTACGAATGCTCATATTATCAAAGACTCACCTCCCAGCCCCCAAACACCCTCCTCCGCGAGGCACTCCCCGCGGTGCCGCGCGTCCCAGTCCGCGCGCTGGCAGCTCCGCGAGCAGTAGAACGCGTCTCCGCACGGGCACGCGCGCACGAGGCGGTCGTGGGCAGAGGGCTGGAGGGAGGATGAGTATGATTGACTAAAAGCCAGTCAGGATAGTCGGCCAGCGCCGATGAGGAAGGAGCGCACGACTCGGAAGTAAGGGCGGATGACGACTCGGAAGTGGGGGCCGGCGTCGACTAGGAAGTAGGGGTTTGCGGCGACGCAGAAGTAGGGGCAAACGACAACTCATAAGGGCCGACGACGACGACAGCGGGCAATGATCAAAGACGTGCGCAGTGTACAACTCACCTCCTCCCGGTTCGCGCACTCCATTACCTCCTGCCACTCGCGCTTCTTGTGGCTGTGCAAGTACACCTCGCGCGCTGCATTCCACGCGCGCGCGACGTCCTGCCAGGTCGCGGTCGGAGTCTGGGGCAGTAATTTAGGCTCGGTGTATACGCGGGATGAATGGATGGGGCAGGTGCGGTTGGTGTGATTGAGCGACGAAGATGGTGGGATAAGGGAGCATAGCTGATGGAATGGAACGGAGGGCCGGTAAAAGACACCCACCTGGACTCCCCTCGCCTTCGCCCCCTTCTTCGGTGACACAATCTGCCCCACATCCCACGGCTGCGTCTGGCGCCCATAGAACGCGCGCACGACGCGCACTTGCGACAGGCCCGCGCACATAAGCCGCGCGAGCGCGGAGTGGTCGTACAAGCTCGCCGGCTTCCCGTCCGACGCCGTCTGCAGAGGCCCAGCAGCGCCCTCGAGACTTCGCAGCAGATCTCCCGCCCCCGCGCCCACCGCGCGCGCCAGCAGACGGCTGCCGTCCGAGATGCGGCCGAGAAGGAGCGCGAGGACCTGCGCCGCGCACCGCGCTGCGTCTTGCGAGTCGCGCACCTGCGCGTCGGGCATGTCCTGCGCCTGCACGCACTTGAGCCCCGCGGCGACCAGGGCGGTGGCGATGCGGGAAGGGAGCTGGGAGGAGCGGGAAGAGCCCGGGCGCCAGATTGGGTCGCGTCCCAAGAGGCCGGACTCGAGGCCGAAGAGGCCGCCTAGTAGCGCGTAGTGGCCCTCCCAGATCCTGGCGACGAGCAGCGGCATGATCGAGATCCGGGTGAGGAACTCGGTCTGCTCGGCGGCGGCGAGGTAGAGCGTGCGCCTGCGCCCAGCGACGCGCTTAAGAATAGAGCGGAAGAGGGAGACGGACTCCTCGTCGGCGTGCGGCTGAGGTGGATGAGCGGCGGTCTACACCCGATCGGCAAGGAAGCGCACCTTGAGCTCATTCCCGAGCAGATTGTACACAGCGTGCGCGACGACGATCGCGGAGTGCGACGTGCCGGACTCGTCCATCGCGGAGCGCGGGACGTAGCGCGGGAAGTGGAGCCACAGCTCGAGCGCCTGCGCCGCGAAGTCCTCGTGCTCGAGGATGAAGGGCCGCACGTACGCGGGGTCCGCCTCCGCGATCGACATGTACGCCTGCGCGAGGCCCGTCACCTCGCGCCCCGTCGACCAGTGCCCCCGGGAGGTCGTCAGCCGCCCGCGCGCGGGGTGCAGGAGCGCGCCCCACTTCACGATGTGCGGCCACATCGCGCGCATGGGGGGCTGGAGGCTGCGGAGGCGCGACGCCGCGTCCCACACGACGGTGAAGACGGTGAAGGTGGTGAGCACGACCGCGATCACGTCGCTGTCCGCGTCTTGGTCCGCGGTGGGGGGCGGGTTGGAGAGGAGGGTGGGGAAGGGATTGCTCGCGAGGAGGCGGGTGATCTTGGCGAGTGCGCTCTGCTGGTTGTTGCCGGGCGCATATGGGCGATCGCCAGCGAGTTCGTGACCGAGGTCGCGGATGGCGCGAAGGTTGTGATACTCGGCGTTCAGCAGGGGGTCGGCAGGACCGTTCATGGTGATAAGGCGAGCGCCGGACGCGTATTGCAGTCAGCCTGAACGGTGTCGGTGATTGTCCTGATTGAGGATGCGCGATCGCTTCGTGGGCGATTGTTTGCCGGGGGCCTTTCGCGGGCCGTCTGCCGAGTCTCCTTTCGGGATGTTCCATCGCGGTTGTCTCTGGCGTCCACCACTCGTCTCGAAAACGATACGGCCATGCTTCTGTTGAACGATGTGGTGGTTGTATACTGAGAACGCTCATCATCTGAATAGGTCCGCACGCTAATATCACCCTCTCGTGGCAAGCGCGAGCGCTAGTAGTTACTGATAGGCCCAAAATTACTCGCTGTCGGACTTTTGATCTGCTCAAAAATCATGTAGACCTCGCAGACGTTAGTCCCGGCGCGAACGACGATATTTCCGTCACTAACCCAGGTGCTCTAGACCTGAGACGTGTCCATCAGGTCTTGAGCGTGATACAGTCGTGCTAGCCTCCACAGAATATGGCCTGTATGCTGTCTGATCCAACGGGGACCAACACCCTCGCGTCAGAGTCTTCTCGCGGGTCTTGAGTTGCGGGGCATACGCATAGAGAAGGCGCGCCGCCGCACAACTCAAAGGCAAAAGAACCGATGTCATCCAGTCCGACTTGCGTGCGCGAAATGTCGACGCATTTGTGCATGGGCGAGCGAGGATAGAAGGATTGAGAGAGCTGTAACCCATGCACATCATTCCATTGACTGTAACTGTTGCACATAGTAAACGACTGGCAACGTCCTGATGATCATCTCGGCCTTCAATTCGAAGCGCACGTCCACCACGAACTTGTCCGGATCCACCTCCTCGTGGGTTTCTCGTAACAGGAACCGAAAGTCAAAGTCGCCCCGGCCTTGGGTCGGAGGGCTGAAGAGGTCGAAGGCGATGTAAACCTCGAGAGGCATGTCCGGCGCCAACAGCGGATCCGGCGTGCCACGACCCGCCTTCCATGATTCCGTAATTTCCTGCCAGAATTCTTCTTTTGTTGGCGGATTTATGATCCGTTGCGCGGCCGAGATGACACCTTCGACGATGCAGTCTCGCTGCGCGACGATTATCGAGTGTATCATGCGGACAATATCTCGCATGTCGGAAAGGGTGATTGTGTCTGGGGACGCTGATGAATGGATGACCGCGGACAGGCAAAGTGCATACCTCCAATCCCCCAGACGCCATCATTCGAGCGACATGTTTTGCTATGCACTGCACGCCAATGTTGTCTTTGGCATTCAACCGAGCAGTAAAAGGCCTCGCCGCATGGGCAGTATCGGAGAGCGTGCTCGTGCGAGTCCTGAAGGAAGGTGGTGAGTACGAGGATTGTGTGTGACACGACACGCATACAGCAAGACTATTCGAGCATTGCAGAAAGCTATTGAAACGTTCCTTCGCAACCTCATCCGTGCACTCGTCCCATCGACGTCGAAAGAACTGTACCAGGCCTGGGAACTCGCGCTCGATAGGCGATTTTCGATTGCCTGCGTCGCCAAGTTCCGCGCCATGCTTGCGATGTAGCGCCCGGAGGACGGAGGGGAAGACGAGACTCGCGCGCATGTGCAGGAGGATGATGTCAGAGTCGTCTTCCGGGGCCCCACCGCCGCCTCGGATACCGGCGGCGTGGGCGCGAGCCATGAACCCAAGCACATCCACCTCGATCGCGCAGACATAGCCACGCGGACAACTGGCAGCACCCAAGAAGAGCATGCGGAGCGCCATGATGGCGTCTCTCACCGCGGACGTGTACCCTTCGTGGAGGCACAGCGTCGCCGCCTCGATGATGCGCCGATACATCCCGCGGGGGAGAGGGCGGAAAGGACGGAATCTGCCGATCAAGTTTTTCGTCGTGCCGACCAGGAGGAAGTGCGTCTCCCATGCCTGCCGTCGCGCATCTCCTCGCCGCATGAGGGCGAGGAACTTCATGTGGCCTACGAGACAGCGATACAGCCCCCGCGAGTCCGGCACAGTGCGGAGCAGCTCTGCGAAGAGGATGATGGCCGCCTCGTTGGCCAGCGAGAATTTGAACATGCTTTTCACAGTGTTCGAGAGCATCAGGGCGACGGCAGGTGCGGTGCCGTCAGCCAAGGACTGCGAGAAGTACGAGGGCATGTGAACCCAGAGGTCGACGGCGAGGAAAAGAGTGCGTGGGTTGGAGAAAAGATATGGCATGAGATCAGTCTTTTTGTCGAGCGAAGAGAGGATTTTCGTGATCGCCACGTTGAGCGTTAGCACCAAGTCCTGCTCCGCGGGCGTCGAAGCAGGTAAACGACGGTGCATAGGATGTAGGACTTCGACCCAGCTAAAAACACGGTTGACGTGGACCGGATCCTTGCTGAGATTGAGGTTCCGCTCGTTGCAGAAAAGATCTATCCATTGTGCGTATGCTTCGAATGAGTGACGTAGAGCCCGAACTCGGGATGCCTCGAACAGAGTATCGGATGGAATCAATTCAGGGTCTTCGTCGAGCAGAGAGAACGCGATGCCGCGTGCCACGATGGCCTCGCAGCGAGAGAGTAGGGGTTGCAAGTCTCCTTGCGCCGATACGGTGTCCCGGGCCCGCTCGAACAACGACTGCAATCTAGCGAGCTCTTGGTCGACTCGGCGATATCGTGCCATCTAAGCGTTCCCTGCTAATACGTCAGAAGCGGTTGGTACGTTCAAGGCACCAGGCATACTGGGAGCTGTGCTCTGGAAAGTGTTCCTTGGGGTGAGTGCAGGAATAGAGATCTGGAAGATCGAAACAGAATCAAGATATGTCACGATCACATTACCATAACGCACATTGAGTGACCCGATGATTGCAGTCGACACAACTAGCAGCGTTGGTTTCATGGCTTCTAAGGGACTGTCACGCCATATTCGATGTCAGCAACTCGTATCCCACGTAGATTCGTCTCGCTAGGTACAGCGACAGGACGATGAAGGCGAAGAGCAACAGTCGATGTCACGCTGAAGCATTATGTGGCGTCAAGGTTTTGCGCGACTGTTCGAACGGGATGCGGTGCGAGTCAGCAGCAGGTCAGTCGATGATATATTCCAAGAAGTGGTACGTGTATACATTAAATATGGCTTGAGATTCATATTATCATTAGTAATTTCGTGCCAATCAACAGCGTCTTCGACGCGGAGTAAAATCCAAGAGGTACCAGGTAGTCGCTGAGATCCAAGAAGTAGAGTATTTGAGTAGATAGTGCGCGCATGAGGATAGCAGCAGGCGGTGGCAGATAGAGAGGGATGTTTGTAGAGAGGGAATCCAGCAGGCGGCGTCAAGGACTAGGTTCCATCGGACTGCCTGCACGTTGCATCACACTTGAGCGCGGTAAGTCTTGACACCGGCGAGGCGCCTGTCGGTATGGACACAGCCAAACCTAACGTGCCGTTCGACATTTTCAGAGCTAGTCGAGCTCCGACTCTCGTGGCACAGCTCGCCTCTCGTCGGGCCCCGGACTTGGAGACGCCGACACCGTCAACCGCACCACGGGCTTCCGAGGCGGCGTCCTTGAGCGACCTCGGCGTCTCGCTCGCATGGTCTTCGTTGGACGACTGGACTTCGAAGCCGCGTCGCGGCCGGACTGCGACCGCTGCTGAAGGCTGACCTGCAAGCGGCGCTCGGGAAAGGGAAAAGCCTCCTTCTGAGACACCGATGAACTGCAAGCCGTCGACGAGGTCCGCGAGCCAGACGAGCATGCCGACCTCTTCGGCTGCGACGACGACGGTGCCTCCTCCTCCTGAGACTTGCGCTTCTTCCGCAGCGGCTTGGCCTTCGCTAACGTCCGCCTCGCGACGTGCAACGGGTCCTGCACCGTAGCGTACACCTGCGCCTCGCCGTCCTCCTCCTTCTTCACCGTCGCCTGCAGAAGCCTGGCGAGCTCGTCGTCCGACTTGTCTGCGAACACGTCGCCGGCTGCCTCTCCGCCGTCGAGCTCGTCGCTGTCCGACTTGCCGTCGTCGAGCGCGTGCTCAACCGCCATCTGTTCGCCCAGCGTGTCGTCCGACTTGTCGTCATCAAGTACCTGGTCATCCTTCCCATCGTCGAGCGCCGCACCGTTCGCCATCTCCTCGGCCTCTTCATCATCCCCCATCTCAACAGACGCTGGAGCGTCCAACTCCTCGTCGTCCGCGTGCCCGCCATTCACCTCTTTGTCTCCCGCCTGTCCGTCGACCGATACGTCTTCGGCCTCGTCCACGTCCAGCTCGTGGTCCGAGGAGCCGGCCTCGACCTCATCATGGGAAGAGCCCTCCACCTCGCTCCCGCTAGATTGGTCCGTCTTCCCCTGCGACCCACCCGCCATCGTCGTCGTCGTGCTCGACTTCCCCTGGAGACCCCTCCTCAACAAGCGGCCGCTCCTGAATGTCGACGGTAGCTCTCCCTCCAGCGGCGATGTCGGCTTGCCCGCCAACTCCTTTGCCTTCCCTCCCCTCGCGGTCTTCTCTCCCCTCGCGGTCTTCTCTCCCCTCGTAGTCTTCGTCCTCCCGCTCTTCGACGTCGTCGCCTCCCCGCCCTCCCACGCATCAGGCATCTCCTCCCACTCCTTCTCTGGCCGCTTGCGCTTCCTCGCCGGCGCGCCATCGATAACGGCCTGCGCCTCCGCGACCGCAGACGCGTTGGACTGCAGCTTCTTCGCCGAACCCTTGGTCGTGCCCTACATCGAGTCGGACATTGTCAGTCAGATTGTCAGATAGACGCAGCGCATCCGCACCTTCCTCTCCACCAACAGTCGCGGCTGCGCTCGCCCGCCCTCGTACACCTTCGGCTCTAGCTCGTCATTGGCCCGCTCAGGCTGCCGCGCGCGGTCGATGCGCTCCAGATCCTGCAGCAAGCGCGGCGAGAGCTCCGGCATGCCGTGCTCGGGGTCAAGGGGTTGGTCGGGGAGGCGCTGAAGGAAAAGCTTGTCAATGGCATGAACGATGAAAGGACACGAACGACGCACGACCAGGTGGAACCGACAGCGAAGGAACCCGTCTGGCGCGCGCGCTTGCCAGGCCTACAAGATGAATGATCAGCAAGGAGGAGGATATCAGTTGGCGGGTACGTACATTCACAACCATCCAGCACCCGTCGTAACGATACCCCTTCGTCGGTCCGTAGCGCGTCCTCCAGCCGCGACAAACGCGCACTTCGGCGCCCGACTGCCAGCACGCGCGCAGGCCAGCATTGCCGCGGCTGTCCCAAGATTGATCGAAGCTATGTTCTGTGCAGAGGCGTGCGCGTCCACCTGGATGAGGAGAAAGTGGTGAGAGGGTGGTACATTGTGGCGGAAGGACGCGCACCCTGGCCGTCCATGATGCTGGGGACTTCGGTCAGTGAGAGTGGTATTGTAAGGAGGAGACGGACACACATTTGGTTCGGCGCTTCCCCATCCCCTGAGTATCCCGAGTTTCTGGAGTCAACGACGCGTCAGAGTCAGGAAGGGAAGCATGAAGTACGCAACGCACAGCACGACCGATGTTGCTCCCGACGCCTTCCCCGCAATGCCCGCCTGCGTTGAGCAGTGAACGCCGCGCGCGCACATTTCGTCGAAGCTCTTGAACCATTGAAAGCAGGGGATATCGTCCAGAGCTCCAACATGGTCGCTGATAATGCGGCGGCGCGTCAGCGAGCGCTGGAGGTATTGCGGACTACGCACGATGGGTAGGTCGATATTTTCTGAATCTTCTTCCTTCCCGAATGCTGTTTCTTCGCAGACGGCAATGCTTGCGGCTTCGACGTCGAGGGGGGCGCGAGGACGCGCTTACGGGTGGACTTCCGTCTTGCAGTCGACTTCGGCGCTTTCGCGGACGCCCGCGCGCCTTTCGCCATAGTTGGGAGCTTTCAAAGCTGTAAAGCCAATGTGCAGGTGTCTATAGTTCGAGATAATGGTATAAATCAGAGTGAATTCGAGCTTCACGTCGAGATGGAGGGATGTGAGTGTTCGCCCGGGAGTAATGAGCAGCTATCCAATCGCCACGTGGGAGCGCCACATATGTGGACTTCAACCTGGGTAGCTGGCCGCTGTTTCTCACTACATCACTGCACCATCACCAGATCGACGCATAGCTGCCAGCTTTGCGTCCTTGTTTTGGCCTTTAGTGTGTATGACTTCACGAAACAAAGGTTCCTCACATGACTCGCATCGGGGCAAGCCGATGCGTTTCCGTAAGTCAATCTTAGCGGTTGAGTTGAACGCAAGAACACACGCTGAACACCAGATAGCGCCGGGAAACCCGGTTTATGCCAAGGCATGGGAAGAAGAGGATAGCCTACTGGACTCTCTGAATGAGCTCAGGGAGAGCGTCGGGGTCTCTTCGTATGACGCTATCGCTAAGCTCTCCGCCCCGTCGCTGGCTCCTGGTAAACCTGCCGCCGCAAAGATCAGGTCCATTCTCGCAAAAGGCCATATCTTTTCGGCACTCTCTAGCGATACACCACCGGAATCTGAAGTCATATACTGGGACGATGGCCGCGCCGTGTCGATCCTCAATGCCTTCGACCTCCTTGGGGGTGTAGTTGCCGTCGCGCGCTCATCGCCAGCATTTGCACATCTCGAGCGGACGTTCCCTCGTGACCTTTGGCAAAATTTCATTCGCTGGGTCGAGTATCTATATCCAGCCTATGGCCGGTGTTACGAGAAGGAAATCGGTGGGCTCAACGTCGTTGCTGCCATCTACTGCGCCTTCGAAGCGATCAGCCGCCTGGATACGGATGGTTGGCGTATACTTCTCACTACTCCCGCTGCTCTCCCTCTTCTCTGTGACGCCTGGATGAACTTCGATGTGCACGTGGAGGCGAGTGACCCGTTTGCGACTGCATGTGTCGTCCGCATAATCAACGCGATGGACCACCTACACCAAAGTTTGAACGACGCAGGCGAAGCAACCCGGGCTGCATTCATCACAGAAGTCCACCGTTTATGCAGATACGATAACGCTCGACTGTGGCGCCGTATTGCCCGGCAGACCCACTATCTCACGCGCTTATCCCCTATCCCTGGCTACGACGGGCTCTGGACTGCTTACTTCCGCATCACTGGCTTCCTCGCTGCCGTCATCGACTTTCGTGTCGAGCGCCACTCCCGCAAGACCATGGATAAAGTCATGTTAGCTGTGCGCACTTGCCTGACGAGGAAGGAGTGGCACGACTGCATGGACAACGCCGTCACCCTGCTCTATCGCATGGTCGCAGGCGGCGAGGACCACGTCACTCTCAAGCGGTCCATACATATAGGGCTCATGACGCTCCTGCGCGATGTATCTCGCACGGTGCCGTCGTGCGATGTGCAGAGTCTGGCAAGCCACATAGCAGCAGGCGCGCACTTCCCCGACGTCTTCCGCGCTATCCGCGCCCAGCATCGCCGCTTCGCGCTTGACGACAGCGCCCCCGGGAGGCCGCGTTACGGACGCCGGATCAACAGCTACGACGAGCTGGCCACCGAGATCGACCGCATCGAGAGCGCGGCGCGTGTCGCGCGCCAGATTCGAAAGGGGCAGTTCCATTGCCACAACGAGATGGTGAGTGCGCACCACATAGCTGAAGGGCGCCGGACTCATGAACCTCTCAAGGGACCTCACAACCGTGAAGTGCGCGCATGCCCTTGCGCCAAAGACTTCTACTGCTCCGGAAGCTGCCAGCGCATGAACCGACACTTGCACCGCGGGAGCTGCGACCCCGAAAACATATGGGGCATGGACGGTACATATTCCGCGCATAGACAGTCCGAGGAGCGACAGCTGACCAAGCTCCATCAGGCCGTTTGAGCGTGAAAGACGCCATGCACATCTACGGCATCGCCTCTCTCTTTATGCAAGACCATCGAGATGCCATCTCGAGCGCTCTGAGGACTCTTGATAAGCAAATGGGACGCGTCGGCCTTGCGACGCTGACGCTGAACCTTGCGTATGATGGCAGTCGGGCGTATGAGTTCGAAATACGGCATGTCAGCCCGTTGTTACTCTCCGGCCGGGTCGTTCAAATGTGGGTCAAGATGCACCTGGGTGGAAGGATACAGATTTGGGACCTACCGTGGTCTATGGCTTTACCGCCTATCTAGAAGGTTACCTTACGTATGTACAGAAGCTTCAGTTCTGAGCTCTTCTCTTCTTGTGAACAACTACACTGCTAATCTACGAGTGGCTCCTGCGAGGATCAAGCCGTTCTCTTGAGCCTCCTTCGTGCAAAGGTTCATTGATAGGAGAAGCGGAACTCAATGCATCTATGAAAGTGGTGCATGAGTGTGATCGTCAGCGCCGCTGGCCCCGTATTGCGGGTGGTTCTCGGGCAGGTTAAGAAACCGACACAAGGTCCTGCCAAAGAAGGGGAACTGTAAGATCGTGATGAGCATTCACGCGACTCATGGATCACGAAGATGTTGGGCGGTTGCGAATTGAGGACGAACAAACAAGAACTAGGAAGCAAAGGTTCAACTGAAACGCACCCTTTGGCCCGTCCAGGCGCGCGCCCACATCCATCGGATGTACTCCGGGTCGTCGCTCATCACAGAACCTATCGTTGCGAAGCGGTACTGCCCGTAAGGGATCCTGACATACCCAGGATTCTGGAGAATCCCGTTCATGTACGCCTCAGCAGCGTCTCTCGCATCCGCGAGGGGGCCTCCGGTGGCCTGTGGTGGACATCAATCGGGACATCCACTGCCTGCTATGAGTGGGAGCGTACCTGAACATTGGCCAGCCAGAGAAGAGTGGATACATTGAGTTCGTTGATGGCTTGTCCGCGGTACCAGGAATTTCCATGCGAAATCACGTAGCCGCCGACGTCGGGATCGGAGTAGAAAGCGAGAGCGGGAAGGGCCGCCTCCGCAGCGCTGAGGTCAAGAGGTCGGTACTCTTCGCCCATGATTTTGTTTAAAGACGAAGAAGGAAAGCGGCTGTGGATAGCCGACAGTGGGCCTCTGTAGATGGGAAAGTGCTCGTGGGGCCGGAAAAGTGGGAGATTGGGAGGCAGCAAGTTGTATAGTCCCGAGTCGGCGCCTTTCTATACAGTGAGTGCGACATATGAGACAAAAATTACGATAATCTGGACCTACCCATTGCGCGCGTTTTGGTCCCGGTAAAGCTTCATTGATGGCCCGGAAAGAGACCTAAATTGATGACAAATTCGGGTAAGACATCCCGCAATGAACCAGACGAAGATAGTAGGGAGGTAGGTGCTGGTCGCGGAGGGAAAATATTTGACGGAGAGGGGCGATGAAGAGGTCGGACATGGCTGGATGGGACGAGAGACTGCGCACCTTTGGCATTGTTTGGTTCCGTGTGCCGTCCAAGTCCGAGGCACATGACCTTGATCAATCGATAGGCGGGAAGGCGATAGGTCCGACCGTACAACCCCCTTCCTGCGCTCATCATCTACTACTCCTATTGACATCGACTAGAACAAGGCGATGAGCGACCCAATCGACAAAAATTGAACAAGGTCGACCGTCTCTGGTTTCCCGACGGCAACTTGATCATCCTCATCGGCGATCGCGCCTGCCGCGTCTACCAAGGCTACCTCGCATCGCAGTCTGAACACTTCTCTAACATGTTCCGTGTCCCCCAACCCGAGGAGGGATCTGATCTGTTAAGCGGTGTCCCCGTCGTAGCTCTATCCGACCCTCCCGACGAGGTTGCACATTGGCTGAAGGCGACGTTCGTGCCAGGGTACGTGGCTTGAGCAGATGCGAAGCGCCTGTCAGCTCACGCGCCCCTTCAGGTCTTTCCCTACTTGTCTTGACGTGGTCGACTGGGAGCAGCTCCTAGCCGTACTGCGCCTGTCGCACAAATATCATGTCCCATATTTCCGCCGGCGCGCGCTCGAGCACCTTGCCAAGTACTTCCCTATCGATTTTGATCAGGTGCAGGAGGTAAGTACATGATCTTGGCTCGTATGCCATTCGAGTATCGCCTGAGTCATGTCAGAATATCGTAGATATTGTCGAGCTGCCGAGGCTCGGCGTCACATGTACGGCAATCGCCGAGTCACGGTTATCGTAACGCGCCCGATCTTTTTGTACTTCTTTACCGTTTGCACTCGCGTACGCCCGACGTGTAAACGCGGCCAATTATATTGTCCTCGCACCTCCCCGCGCGCGACCCCGTCAACATCAACAAGTCAATCGTCCCTTTCCTTACCCTCGCCCACGCTGTCGTGCAGGAGATCGGCGCATCGTGGCTCATTCCAAGCGTTGTGCTAAGACTGCATGAGCACGTATCGAAGCAGCCCCATCTCGCTGATACGCTACCCAGCGTGTCTTATCACACCGCCCTTCTACTCTCTCAGCGCTTGTACCAGGTATTCTGCCTGGTCGCACGCTACTTCCCGGATGATGCTTTGACCCGACGGAGCGAAGGCTGCCCTTGCTAGCGCTTCATTGAGGGAGACCGCATCGTGTCCGCAAGGCAAGCGCTGCGCAGTAGGTCTCTGAGCTACTACGACAATGTCGGAGTATCGCCGCGTGGAACGGGTATGCGCTACCCTGGCAATAAGTTTGAATCGCTTGTCAACCTGTGCGGCCAGTGTTCTATGGACAGGCGGGCCAAATATTTCTGTGCTGCGTATGCTTTCTGGGACGAGCTGCAGTCAGTTCTTGGGGTTCATGAGCACCTTCAAACGCTGAAGAACCGCGACCTGCGATAGTTACATGCCTCCCCTATGAGTTGCGCTTCCACGATTCCTAAGTGAACAGGCTCGCTCTTTAAGTTTTAGGACAATCAATTAGCAGGTCATGAACTTGAATATGTATCACCTTAGTTGTACTCGAAGTTGTACCCCGATGGCGCTCATATATGTATTTTGGTCCCGTATACATCATCCCACCGCGTCATGCAACCGCAGACAAGCCATGCACCACGCGCTCTGGTTGTGTCTTTCATTCGCCTGGTTCTGCCGCGTATAAGTACCGACCAACATGACTGAAAATAGGAAACCCTCGTGTTAGGTTAGGTCATCCTGTTGGTTCTCGCGATAGCCTGACCTGACCGCATGACATAGACGCCCTCGCTCCCGTGGCAAGGCTCCTGAAAGTACAGGTCTGCGCAGGATCCTGTTCGGGACGTCGAGTGCCTATACCCCATCTCATGCAACGACGTGCCAGTGCTCTACCTCAAAATCCACGTACGCTCGAAGGGCGCAGGCATCCCTAGCCCCCATAATAGCGCCTCTGAAGCTGTGTGCAGAGCAGCGGATCACAGTCACCATCGACCTATTCGATCCGCTCGAGGACAAGTCAGGGAGCGCCACTTGAAGATCGACAGGGTCGCGCACACTTCGTCGCGCGAGGTTGTACTGGTCAACGTGTGGCTTGGAGTGAATGCTATACGCAAATTGCAACGGCTGGCTTTCACGTATAGGTTGAATGCTTATCGATGGATTCAGCACCTACATGACGTTCTACGTGGCTTGACGAAACGTTGACCTACGCGCGCATTGCTTTTTCAACGGATTGGATCAGAAGTTGGCCTTGCTCTTGGCCAGCGACAGCTACGTGCAGGCAGCAGCCTATGCGGGCAGAGGCTAAGAAGGACGCCGACTGACAGGTTCTGTCACCGCGGGCGTCCGAGGCTTCGAATCAGCCTGGGTGGCGGTGCGCTGCAGAAGACATGACACGTGTGCAGTCACGACGAGGGCAAGCCCCTTGGTGTCCATGGAGATGTCGTAGAGCTGTCGAGCATCTTCCAGGTATGAGACGGCGTATAGGGCGTCAAGGTCGGTTGAGTAGGCTCACCATGAAGAGGATGCTACGCAATTATGTTGAGCCCTGATAGACGCGTGACCGGGAGTCCGGGACTGCTGGCTGAGTCCGAATAGCCTGGTATCCTGAAGGTACGGTCGATAGAGAGACTGGAATTGGTCAAGACGAGCGTAGCACAGCAGGAGAGGAGCTCACCAAGTACTGATGGCGTCGACGGATAGCGCCAGAGTCAGTATAGGCATCAGCAACTCGCGGCCGAGATACAGACAAGCTCAGCGCTGCGCGGGGACAAGAAAGACGTACCTTCGCTCCATCCGTGAAGAACGCAGACAACGCCATAGCATATTAAGGAGGGGATAGATAAAGCCAAATGTCGCTTGCTACAACACGAAGGTGCGATTGATGTCGACTATACGATAGATACACGATGAACCCAAATTTGCAACGGAGAAGGTGAAGTGAGTTTGCGATGGGGAAAAAAGAATGCAATCCAGAAAGCGAGAAAGGGCATGAACGGCGTGGCGACAAGAGGATGGGAAGACATGGCGGTGAAATATGATTTCCTGTTCGTGATGTGGAGTATGCGGGATTAGAATGGCGGCGTAGGTTTGATAACGGCGACGCTGGGAAGCGAGGGCGCTTAGGTTTGATAGCGGTAGCGAGACCGCGGTCTAGGTAGGGTATGTTTGAAGAAGGTTGAGGGATGAAGGAATGGCCCGCTAATCCCAACTGAGCGCGATGTCGCCCGTATCCTCTATCTTGAACGGCTTGCCCTTCACCGGCGGCACCGCCTGCTCTTCCGCAGGCGTAACCGTCGCAGCCATCTGCTAGCACGCCGTCAGCACGTCATACTTCCCCAACCCGGGCCTCATAAACCACGCACCGTCGGCGTCCCCTCGTCCGTGGACTCCCCCTTCCCTTCTCGCCCCGATCCCCGCTCCTCTCCGCTGCTTCCCCCGCTGCTCCCCGCCTTCAGCCGCGAGCGCCCCCGCGCCCGCCCGCCGCCGACCAGGCGCACGTTCAGCGGCTTCCCGCGCACCGCATCCCCGCCAAGGTACCCGATGTTCTCTTCGCTCGACAGGCTCGAGTCCCGCGACGCGTACAGCTGCGAGTCGCGCTGCGCCGCGGGGAAGCGCCGCGTCGAGCCGGACGCGGAGCGCGAGCCGGAGGGGTCGTTCGGGCGCGCCTGATTGTGGAGGTTGAAGGGTATCGCGGCGTGCACGTTGACCATGCGGCTGTGAACGGGAGTTGAGTCAGGGTATGAGAGTGTGTGGGGGATCGACGCACCCTTCCTTGGCGCGCACGATGACTCCGAGCTTGTCCCTGATCTTTTGCTGGTCCATGGTTGAGACATTCGGAAGGGACGAGCTGCGATCGTGTGCGCGCGTGCAGGACACGAGGAAAGAAGTACAAAGGACATCGGGCGCGAGCACAAGCATCCGTCAGCGCTTGCGTTTCCTACAAAAGCATGGGCACCACTCACCCGGAAGGCTCGTCCGTGACTGGGGGAATGAGACGCGACTCCTCGTTCGGGATCACCTACATCCGGACCTGCTCATGAGTTCGTTTTCCTTTGGACGGTGGGCTCGGGATCGCAAGTTATGGAAGGTAACACGCACATCGTCTTGAACGTCGCGCGGGCGCTTGCCGAGGCAGCAGCTGAGAGCAGCGCGGAGGAATGACATGGTGGCGGACGCCAGCCCGGAAATTTGTAAAAGGCACGCTGATCGGCGCGCATAGCGGGCCGGGTCACGGACATGTCACGAGTCGCCTAGGTTCGTTTTGCTCATCTCACTGCAGCTTGCAACATGAACTTGGAGATGGCGGATGATGGACGAAGGCGACCGGAGCATCTTCCTAGAACAATATCGAGAAAAAGAGGCGCTATGAGTGTGCAAACAAGACAAGGTGGAAGGGGAGCTACACGCCGAGAACACGGTACAGTGAGGAACGAAACAGCGTGAATCGAGGCAGATATTCACTAGAGCTGGCGTCTCGTTCGTGCATTCAATAGTGCTCAGAGGTGCGCTTGAACCTCAAACACGCTCAGAGCCTGTGAGAAATCAACAATTTGAAAGGCCTTGTCGGCAATCTCCGCAACGGAAACAACCGATGCATCAACAAACAACAGGCCACTTTTGGTCCCTGCCATCGCCGTCTATAAACCAGGACACCTTTTTCTGAAAAGTTCTCACAGATCTTGGACGTAGGCCATCATGGTCAGCAATGTGAAAGCTCTTTTCATGATTACCCGACCCCGCCGTCGAGCTGACCCGCCACATAGGACCATGCTTCTTTCATACTAGACGAGGCCCATCGACTGTGCGAAGCTCTGAACGTCATCGACAACGCTGGGACCTCCTCCGCTATCAAGAATGCCGACATACTCACTGTCACTACTATACTTGACGAAGGAATCGCGTTTTCTCTGCTTTCCTCGACACCACCATGGTCCGCGAGCGCTAGATTGACGTACGACGACGATAACGTCATCTGCGTCGCGCTTTCTATTGTCTGCTTTTACACTGTACATCGCCTTGCTAAAGAACATGGCAACCGATGTGCCGTCCTCAAGCAGAGGCTACCTCCCAACCTCTGGCCATCAATATTCGCGTGGCTGGAGTTCCTGCATCCAATGCACCAACGCCTCCGCCCGGGGAGAGTGGTAGCAGATCCTTCCAATGTCATCACATGCTTTACGAGGCCGCTGGATATCCTTGTGCGACTGCGCAATGGCCCCGGGGTAAAGGTTCTACTCGAACACCCTCACACCGTCTTGCTTTACCTCGATCTCTGGCTATATTTCCCGAGATATATACACATATCTCCAGCTGATGCTGCTGATGCGTACCTCAATATCGCTCTCTACGTGCACGCTCTGCTCGAGCAACGCGAGGAAACATCACTTCATCAACTGATCATTGCCGATCTGCTTCGCCTAGCGAAGGGCTCCCCTCGACGACTATGGTGCCGCGTTGCAGAGCTGACCAGATATCTGGAGAAGGCGGTGTATGACCCAGGGTGGCCGAACGCCTGGGAGCAGCATTTCCAGCTGATCACTCTTCTAGCGCACGCCCCGGAGCTGCAATGCGGCGCGATGCCCCGCTCGCTCCTCGCGTCGGTCATCTCCGCAGCCAAGCACTGCCTTACTAGGAGCGAGTGGCACGAAGACGCAGTGGAGGCCACGCGACTGCTGCTGACGTTCTGCGGCTTCAGTTTCGACAGTCGGACCCTCGTGCGCGCAATCGATGCCGGCGTGCTTGATCTCCTATGGGAGATCGGACGCTGCAACGCAAAGTACGACACGCTGCCGCTCGCGGGTCATATTGCGGGGAGCATGGGTCTGGCGACTGCGCTCCGAGCGGCGAAGCGCGCTTATGGGCGTATCCTCGACTTCCTGGACATGGACGGCATCGACCGAGGGAGGAGCATAGCCATCATACGCGAGGCGTATGCGCTACACTACCGGTCGTACTTCGGGTACCGACAGAGGAAGGACTGGAAGAAATATTTCAGTTGCCACAATGCGCAGGTGCGCTCCATTTGCTGCTCAGACGATCTTCCTATCTCACCGGTCGCTCCCATAGGGCCCTCATAACTCGACTGTGCGCATCTGCGCGTGCGGTCGGACGTTCTATTGCTCGGGAAGCTGCCAGCGCATGCACTGGTATGCGCGGCATCGGTCCGTTTGCTCGGGCTACGAGCCGTGGAGCATGAAAGGCGAGCTGACTCCGTCGATCCCATTCTTGTCGCGGGCTCACCATCCTACGCAGGCCGCGTCTCCCTCAACGACGCCCTCTTTCTCGCCGTGCACGTCCGCGAGCGCATTCGGCAATGGCAGCCGAACATCGTCAAGATGATCGCCCCCGACATCGACCGCCTGCGCCCCAATGAGCAATTTTCCATCACCGTCGACATCTCGGACCCGCTCGTGCAGAAGACCGGCGACGTGTACATCGAAGATGTGGCGCCCTACTCGTCGAGCGACGTCGTCTTGATCAAGGTGTGCTTCCGGGTGGGATGTGTTGATAGAATTCAGCCAATGCCCTTTACATATCGCCTAGCGGATTTCAGAACCGTGAAGAAGCTATCATAGTAATACAGCTTCCATTTTTTGTAAGACACGATACGCCGCGGAGCTAGAATATACTTGGATTTCACTCATCGGGCGAAGTTATCACGACAAGCGGGTGACACCGATGGACCATGGAAATCCATCGCTATTGCCAAGGCTTCGCAGCAGTCGACCGTGATGAGGATGGCAAATGAGAGTACCTTCGGCGCTTTGCCGCGAGAGGAATTCAGGAAGAAGATCGAGAGAAAGACCTCTAAATCAGCGAGCAGCGAGCGCACACACTGGGAAAAGGAATCGGCGCGAAATTCACTCGATGTCGAGTGAATTTCGCTTTTCGCTGGAGATCGTGCGAATCCGATTCACGTCGGGCGAGCGAAGTTTTCATAACCTTGAGCGACGCTGTTTCGCTCAGCCAACAACTAACTAACGTCGAGCGAAAGTTACAGAGGGATAATCTTGAGTAGCGAGATGGGTAGAGGTCTTAAGGGTATCGATGTATCGAGAGCCCAGAGGGTACCAAGGGTTCTCTGACTGGCATTAATATTCGGCTGCAACTTGGTTCAGTAAATGTTGGTCTACATCATCACAGAAGTCAACCAAAGGGCATGCGCGGCGATGAGCAACTCAGCGAGGGCCCGACCATTATGTGGCGTTGGCGCCACACAGTGACGTATGCGAGGTCGCGGATCGTCGAGTCTTGTCCTCAACCGCCATCATCTACGTCGCTCGCCATGATGTGTGGAGGTAATTTCCCAGCGTACGACGCACGGCCTCGAGATCGAAGTATAACGAACGCTGATGAGCGCTGCCCAAACCCGCGGGATCACGGTGCATGATGGGATCCCTTGTTCAGAGATGAGCGCTAACCTGAGTGACAATTGCAGACTATTCCCTCCATTTCCTTGAACACCACCCACCTCTATCTTCCATTGCAACGTTATATTCTCTCTCACTTGATTACCCAGTCCTTGCACACCATACTTCGCGGCACTCCCCCTCGCGCTTGCTCGCGCCATCAGTAAGTCTGTATGCAGCGTGCACCATTCTGCCGTCCGTATCACGAACTCACTAAATCACCGGGTATGTTTGTTCCATGCCACCGTCCCGTTTTGAAACGAATTACAACGTCTGACGAGGATTGCAGTCTATCACGCCATCCTGCGACTTTGGCTCAGGATATCTCTTTGAGACCTCGGCACGGCTGGTAAGTCTTGCCTCTTCGCTCTCTACACGGACCAACGACCATCTCCCAATCTTCAAGTTTGGTAGAGTCCTCCGTAGCTTCCCTCTACCTTCGTGATTCTGTCATTTGGCCGAGACAGCTCACTTCTTAGACTTGATGTTAAATAGTTGTAGTAGTAGTCACTTGAATATATCAATTTGATCTCATACGAGCGCGATGCCAAGGAGAAAAATGGCAGAAAGCAGCAAAAAGGAAATACTGGCCATTTCACTCTTCGTAGAGCGGTTTGCGCTCGAAGTCGAGCGAAACAGAGGTCGCGAAACGCGACTTTTTTGGCGTGAAATGTTTTCGCGCAAGGCCGAGCGAAAGTCACTAGATCTTATGTGAAAACCACTCAATTCTTAGTGAATTTCCATCGAAGCTAAGCGAAGTATCGAGCGAATTTCACGTCGATTCCTTCCCCCAGTGCGTACAACGATATGCAGTTACACAAGATTATAACATGTAAGTTCGCTCACCCGGACTCGGAACGTATCGATTTACAGGAAAGAACTTCATATCATACCCCATGGGAAGCATCAAGTGCGGGTACTTCCCAGCCACAGATAGAATGACACCGATGTAGACCTTCGAGCCGGGACCTCCAGGTTCGTTCTGCATGCGCTGCGTGTCGACCGAGAATGTGAAGTCCGTACCCGGCTCCGGCGCACTCCTCAGGTCGATGTGGAGGACGCGCGTGAGACCTTTTTCTGTGGGATGGCTAGGATCTGGATTGACGTCGAGTTGGCGCAGCTCCATGCCGATACGCATCTTGTTCCGTGTGATAAAGGCCTGCGCGGTGCAAAATATATAGCGCGCGTCCTCGAGGGTTATAGCACCTTAAATGCGAGTCGGTGAGTGTTCGGAAAAGAAGGCTGAGTCGAGTGGTGCAGCTTACCATCGAGTCCCCAGACGCCGTCCGCTGCGGAGCATGTATAGCGGTGTCGCTGATGCCAGTCCTCGCGCTGACAGGTTTCCGAGCAATAAAAAGCCAGTCCACACGGACAAATCCGCTTCTGCTGCTGGTGGTCTTCCTAGTTGTTGGTCAGATATGACGCACAGCACTGTGCGCCCTCATACCTTCAGCAAATTCTCGCACGGCATGTTCCGTATCCAGGGATTGTCCTCCTTCAGCCGCACATACCACTTCCACTGCCATCGGGCGTTGTAGAACAGCCGCCCGAATCGCCCATTAAGCTCAGACTGCGGAGTCTCCTGCACTAGCTCGTTGTTCACCTTCGCAAGCGTACGCAGGATGCTTGGAAGAACGGCACAGTCTGCGAGGTAGGTCTTGAGCGCCTCGACCGACTTGACGCGCGCTTCAAACACGGCGTCGGAAGCGCGCAGGAAGGAGAAGAGTCCCGCCTCAATGGCGCGGCGGGTATTGCGGGTGTCCTGCGTGCGCGCCAACAAGTCGAACATGAGCTCGCCTGCTTTCTCCACGACACCGCGCAAGCCCTCGTCCTGAGTCGTACAACCGTTGAGCAGACTCTGCACGCAGCCGATGATGCTGCGAAAGAAGCTGCGGGGAACCAGCACGCCGTAGAATTCTGGAGACTGTGTGACCAAGTGCGCGACGAGAAGCTGCATCGTCCAGATCCACGTCCACTTCGAGGAGATGGCGCCGATGACGACGAGAAATCGAGTCTGGTCTGCGATGCTGGCGAGGAAGTGGCGTCGGCGACCGACTAAGACGCGCAACTCGGTGAAAAACATCGCACGTATGTCCTCATGACCGCCGCCGATGAAGCCCTCGAGAGCGGACTTGACGGCGAGGAAGAGCGCTCCCGCGACCTCTACGCGCCCAACACGTGCTACCCCCATATATGAGGGATGGTGCAGCCAGATATCGAGGAGAAGCACCATAGCACGCGGGTTTGGCCGAAGCGACGACAAGAATACTTCGGGCTTGGCACTAGAGAGGCCAGCGAAGATGCTCGATATTGACATGATAGCGCCTGTGGGATTTTGAGATGGAAATTGGCGAGGGTGCATTGGATGCACGAAGTCCATCCATAGATAGAGGCGTGTGAACGCGCATGGCGGTTCCTCGATTAAAAAGGCATATTCCGGCAGTGATCCAGCCTGATATAGCAGAGACACGACAGCGATGTTTCCCGAGGCCGCGCGGTATGCATCCTCATTGGCGAGATTCTCTGGGAAGAAGGAGGGATCGGACTCGAGCAGGGCAAACACACGACCTCCTTTCAGTATAGCCCTTGCTTTTCTCAGTGCTGTGCGTTTAGAACCTGCAGACGTGCCCTGAATAAGCGTCACCAGAGCGATCTGCAAATCGGAAAGCTCTGTAAGGCCCGCTTCCGCAAAGGTGGCAGCGACCAAGCGCATTTCCTCTTCTGAGATAGGCTCCGAGCTCATCTGTCAAGATTGATAAGTTTCGTTTGTTGTCAATACACGCAATGCAGTGCCAAAACTATGAGTCAAGGCTCGAGAAGGTGCAGGTATGAGCGAACTCACTGTAGACGACTTTTAGTGACCAGAACCTTCAAAGGGGATACAAATGGTGGCTCCCGTGCCCGCAAAGTAGTAGTTCTTTCTAGTGCGAGACCGCGGACGGTGATTGGCGGGTATGCAGCGCTATCGTCGTCCAGTTGATGACGGCAACCAGCAAGAACGAGCGGCAAGTGCCGAACACCGCGAGGCAGCGGTCAAAGCGCACCGCAGAGTGACGACCTCACGGACGATACATTTCAATCCCATTCTTGCCTTCTGAACTTGCAATACACATGACTCTACTGCAGTAATCCCGTCGGTGTATACCCTACGCCTATTCCCTTAGGCCACTAGTAGGCTGGCGTGCTCTATATCATACCAGAATGGCAGGAGCTGTACGTGGCTTACTGCTCCCAGACGGAACTCCACCTCCACCAGCGCAATATCCTCACGCACATCTCCCGGAGCATCTCGCTCCTCCGCAGCGTACGCAAAGTCCCAGTCGCCCTCCTCGGGCGCCTCTGTGAGGTATATGACGAAGACGAGCTGTTTAGGGCGACCGTTCTCTTCGCCCTCGGTCTTCCCTTCGACCTCGACTTTCCTAGATGGCAGCTGCGCTCGCTCAAGCAAGAAATCTTCGTGATGCGCCACTAGCATCCCTTGCACGGTCTCGATGATAAACAGGGCGTCTTGGAGTGTGATGCGATCTGGGACGAAGTTAGCGCAGAGGATCAACGCAATAAAATGTCCACTCGCTTTCGAGGCCCCAAACTCCATCTTTCCAGCGACACTCGCGGCGATGAGTTGCCTTCCAGTGCTCGCGCTGGCATCGTGTCGAGCAGTAGAAGGCTTCTCCGCAAGGGCACGCACGCACGAGCGATTCGTGCTGGGCCTGGAGGAGCTCAATTAAGCTGATATATCGTACCATACGAGACCGTCACCAACCGACGTCGTGTTGTGGCAGCATAGTGTGCGCTTCCAATTGCGCTCTGTTCTGAACTTCTGATAGTATTCCCAGTGCCTCCGGTACGCGAACCCGAGATCGGGAGATAGTTCGTCGATGTAGCAGTCCTCCTCATCCTGCAAAAGCTCCCCGTATACGTCGTGGAACATGCGCAGGACAGATGGAAGGACGAGGCACGCCTCGATCTGATTGAGCAACGCGTAGTAGCTGGCACCAGGCCTGTCATCTCCGTCGCGCACATCGCTCAAAAGCTCAAGCAGGTCGGCTTCGATCGCGCGGATGAGGTTCCGGTTGTCGTCTGCCCTCGTGCAGAGGATGGCGAGGAAGTCGAGGGCGTAGCCCATGCCGACCCTAAGATCGCTGGTCCGATGCTCCATGCACTGACGCGCGCCCGCGTCTATAGCGGGGAATAACGCGCGGGGGGCGAGCAACCCGGAGAAGCCAGGTAATCTGGTAATTGTCACTGCCAGATGAAAATGCAGGTTCCAAACCAGCAGCCACGCGCTGTTCTGGATATGCTCGAGGCTGGCGATGTACTCCGTGAGCGTGGCAAGCTTGCGCAGGAGGGCGCGAGGCTGATTGTCGACCAGACCTAGGAGTTCGGTATTGAGAATCTGGGACATTTCGCCTCCTGCTTCGCTGAATCTTTCGCATATGCGATCAGTGTTCCAGGTGAGGGTGATGCAGGTTTCGCCCGGATCCTGCGGTGTCAGCTCGCGCAGGTATCTCGAGCAGTTCAGCCAGAGATCGAGGGCGAGGCACAGCCATCGTGGTTGCGTACGCATAGCGGAGAGAACACGGTCCTCGTCGGAGCGAATAATGGAGATCAGGAGCTTCGAGATGCACTGGTAAATGAAGCTACCGTGGTTGGTTCGGTTTTGAACAGGCGGAGGCCGATTGTACATCGGGTGAACGAAGTCGATCCATCGAAATACCATTTCCAGACTGATGGGAGAATCGTCCCCGAAGGTGGGAAGCTGGAGACGGATGGAGACCTCGGACCAGAGCTTGTATGCGTTCAAGGAGGAGTTGACCACGCCGTAGTATTCGTCGGTGTAGGGCAGATCACTGGGCGCATGCAGCGGACCCTTTTGAAGGACGGAGAATGCTATGCCTCGGTTGATGATGCTTCGAGCTTTTGCTATAGACGGGAACCCGCCTGCCCGCGCTTCACGAAACACGCGATGAAGCTCCGTGCGCAGGCTGAGCAGCGCTTGCTCGACATGGGTGTACCGCGACATCGGCCTTGAATTTGTCAATCAGCCAATCGTATATAGCTGCTGTACATCAGTTGTACTCAATGAGACCGGAGGAGAACACTCACGAGAAGTTCACGCGCGAGAGCGTCGGATTAACAGTAAGTTGAGTGAGCGACCGACCAGACGAATAGGCTTCCTAGAACCAAGTTAGCGCAACAGCTAAATTACCTCAGTTCTGACACTGACTGACCTTACGAGAGTGCGTGTCGCAAACTCGAGAAGATGAGCGTTGAACTTGAACGGCACCGTCAAGTCGCGCGACTTCGAGCCACGTGCCAGCTCCTACGGTCTTGCGGTTCGATTCCCGGCATCCACCCTTCGCGTATCGTCCGCGACGCCTATGTCTCTTGGAAATGGGATTAGTATACTGCTCTGGTAGGAGTATGTGCTTCAAAACACCTTCAAGGGCTACCTGACGCCGTCAGGCAGTTTGGAGAATACAGGGACGTGCTCACCTCACCCTACTTACCTGGCTGCGCCTCACGTCATGCTTCGCGCGCTACTACGGGAGACTGCACGGACTCAGGCTGGCGATTGGTCGCAAAATGACGAATATTAGACTACATACATGACTACGGGATAAATTAGAAGACCGATACAATATCGACTAGCGAAGGGTCATAGATAAGATGCGAAATGCAGTGGAAGGTATGTGCAGTGAAGGACGTACGGCGGGTCAGCCAGCATCGTCGGATAGTCCATTGTGTATAGTCCACGAGAGCCGGAGTGCGGTTGTTGCGGTGAAAGAAATGCGAAGAAGTGCGGTGTAAATGAGTAGATGTGATGCGAAGGAGGGAAGGGTGTAAATGCAACGAAGGATTTGCGGATTGTTCTTGTTCTATGGTCAGTTGGTTGAAGTTTATCGCGTCTCGGATCGCGAATGTCGCTGCGCGGCGACTTTTGGACTGAGGGACTCGTCGCACACGGAGGCTATGTACTTTGAGTGCGGGATGAGGAAGGTGGCGGACTGGGGAGTCGAGGGTACGGCGGTTGCGTCGGAGTGGTCCGATCCGCTGCGGTCATGGTGGTGGTGGATAGTGGAGGTCTGGCTCTCAGGGGTTCCTGGACGGCGAAACTGGGGATAGAAAGTCAGTACACTGGGTACGAGCGAGGAGCTAGGTTGACGCACCTCGAAGTGAGCACTCTGCGTGAACTGGAAGCGGTTGAAGCTGTCGCTCTCCGACATGAGTTGCGTGCGGATGTTGCGGCGAGCATTCAGGCTCTGGTGAAAGTCAGTCAAATCGAGAAGAATATAGATGGCTAGCGCATACGGTCAACAGGGTGTTACTGAAGCGAAAGCGTCAGCAATGGATGGAGCCTCATGAAGAAAGTGATGCACGTACGTATATAGTTTCCCCATGGCCATTGTAAAGATGAGAAAGACGCTCGAGTGGGGGAATGCGAACTGTCAAAGATCCGTTACGATGGAAGAGCGGCAAGAACTGTCGATCTCACGCACGACGGATACGCCTGCCAGAATCTATAATGACTTCAGTATATAAGGAGTAGTATGTAGGTCAGCCACGTACCGAGCACGTCGTCACCGGAACAGCCGTCTCGACTACGATCGACGATAGCTTGGTCATGACGAGGTCGGTGTCTGTCAAACGAGGTTAGGCGACGAGCAGTTGAGATGGTTGAGAACTTACTCTTCATGCCCGTCCGGTGCTGGTAGAAGTGGTAGAGCAAGTTGCTCCTGCGAAGGAGTCAATCAGAATAACAAGAGCGCGTTCAAAAGACGCACGTTATGATCAGCTCATTCGCCAGAGCCAGCGCGTAGCTTACGATGAACATGGGCATGAGCCTGGCGGCGTCCTCGTGAGGGTATGGCGTCGCGATGAAGGACGCGGAGACAAAGATCATCAGGAAGCCTTGACCCAGCGACAGCCCGGACACCAGTCCGAACAGGATCTTGGAGTGGGAGAACTGATACATTCGCCAGCCTAGGAAGTGCTGGACTGGAACGGAGATCCTGCGCAACTGGTGAGAGTCTCGTATGCGAAGCATGGGTAGGATACCCACATGCTGCTGCTGATCGCCGTCGCGTGGTACTGCCAGGGAGCGAGGAGTGCTAACGCGTTGTTCACGTAGGTGTCGACCGTGTAGTACCACATGAGGTTCCCCGCGCATATCGTGTCCGCTATGTCGACAAGCGTGACCCAGCATACAAGAAGACTATCAAAGTCAAGTCAGCTTCGCATACGCGGCAGCGATCGGGGAACGCACATAACGGGCCACTTGTCTCCGTACTTCCCACAGAAGTAGTGCGTCGCCTGAAGAAGCGTGACGCCTCCGAGAAGGACATTGAGCAGAATCGCAATGACCGCCGGTCCCAGAACGAGCGTCGCTTCGTCGCTGCCTTCAGTCGCAGGGCCTCGGGGCGGCATTGCTTCTTGCGGTCGATGATCGGCCTCTTCACTCAGCGGTAGCACGAGCAGAGTGACGGACGAGTTGGAAGGCGGAGGCAAAGGCGAAGAGAGCGGACGTCCCTACCAGCGGGTGCGGTAATGAGAGAGGGAGCGTGGGCGGGGGTGAGGCAGAGAGGCGAAACGACCGCGGCGACGAACAGGGCACCGTGTGCGCAAGAACCTGTGTCATCGAATGACGATTTCATCAGTTGTCCTCGACGGTGGTCCGCACATGGATCCGCAGGTGGACCGTGGGCTTTCGAAGGCGAACATGGAAAATGGAATCTTGATTGAATCTGGGAACCCGCCCGGCGTTCCCACGATTTCCTGAGGCGGAGCCAACGGACTGGACGGTACGGGCGATGTCAGACAGAAATAGCTGAAAATTAAAGTAGCATACGAGACAAAAAAGAGGCCTTCGTTGTGGGTGATGAGGGAGGAGGCAAGGTGCAGATTAATGAACGCCCGATTCAAGAGTCCGCTAGCCACGTGAAGTCGGTAATTAAAACCACGTTCCAAATACAATGGGACCCCGGGGCCCGGGTCCTCGCCGTAAGCAAGGGTAACTCAGACTGAATCGACCTGCTGTGCCGCTGCGACGAGGTGGATTTACGACGCTGACGGAAGATGGTTGGCTTGGCGTTTCGAGAGCTGCGCATAGCTGGGAACAGCGTCGTAATGACGGAGCACGGCCTCGAGCTCGGTCAATCTTAAAGGACCAGAAGCCTGAAGGTTACCTGTCGTCAGCCCAAGGCTTATCCAGACGAAGCACTATATCACACCTTAGTTCTCTGGGAACAAATCATAGCTCGCTTTGAATCTTGCGACAAGTAAAAGTTACTGTGAAAGGTCAATGAAAAGCAAGCCAGCTATCAAGTAAATTCTATGCAGTCCCGTTACCTTACACTCCTCTGCGACCACTTCCTTCTCGCGAACGCCTCCGGGTTCGATGACGGTGGTTAAACTTTGCGGGCCAGCTCAGCAGCTGGCTGAGGCACGCGACAGTCACGTGCACATCATGTTCATGTTGAGCGAAGGCGGTTGCTGCGATTCTCTTAGGAAAGAAATCTCTCCGACGGGGATTGCCTGAGGATGCATTCCATCAACAGTGGGCGTCCATCGCTCTCGTAGATTGGTTGGGAGTGGGCTTGGTAGCTCGCGCCAACATATGCGCAGGGAAATTACATTCATTTGTTCTTCAAAGTCCGAGGAAGGTTAAAGAGCGTAAGAGGTTTCGCTCATAAGGTTATAGCGTATTCGCTAAGTCAGGAGTCCATGATGCAGCGCCTAGTGCACTACTTCTTTCCCCCAAGTGCACCGTCCTTGAACAAGCATAAGACACAATCAAACAAGGTTGAGGGAAAGAAGACTCACAAACAGAGCAGCCCAACACGCCTGCAGATCCTCGCGCGTCGGGTACGCCTTGAGCTCCCCGTTGCTCCAGTACGGGACGGGTGGCGCACGGAAGACTTTCCTCTGCAATGCCAGTGTCAGCGTCTTTGATGCCGCCTGACGCCGCATCATCGGGATAGAGCCATCCCCCAATGACTCCTCCGCACTGCTCGTTGGCAGTCCGGATCCCTTCACCACGCCGCCGCCGACCACTTTGCAGTCGTTGTGCGACACAGTCAGCGAAGCCTTCTGCTTCGCCGACTCGTTGACCAGCGCCTCCTCAACTGAGCTACCCTTCGGCCGCTCTGTCGTCCTCGCCACTGCATCCCTCGCCACACCGCCATCGTGCGAAGCCGCCGACTCAGCCTGTTGCTTCGCCGTCTCGCGCGCCATCATCTCCACAAACCACCGCACACGTTCCTCGGCCTGGCGCCGCTCCTCCTCCTCCTCCTCCGCTGCTTGCTTCTTCGCCTCTGCCTCCCGGCGCTTGGCATCCGCCGCCTTCCGCCTCGCCGTATCAGCCTTGCACTGAAGGACGAACTGCAGCACGCGACGCTCGTCCTCTGCACGGCGCGCGGCCTGTTCCATGGCGTATGGTCGCCAGGCATCCCCATCATCGCGAGCAAAGTACAGCGTGCGCCGCTGCCTTAGTTCCTCGTCCGAGGGCAGCGCCTTCAGAACCTTCTGAGCTCTGCGCTCGCTGCGAATCTGCACGCAGAGCGGCGTTGGTGAGGAGTACAGTATCACCGAGAGTCAAAGAGCAAACCTTGCGCTTGAGATACCGCGCGTACTCGTTGCTCCACGCGAAGAGGAAGCGCGCGAATGCGAGATGGGTGCACGGGTCGAAGCGCGCATGGCAGGCGACGACGACTGCCGCCCACACTTTCATCCTCGTCTTGGGGTCGCGAACGATGAGGTTGTGCGCGCGGCCGACGCGATTGACGATCTTGAGGAACTGGATGGTTGACCGTTAGCACCAGCGAGCTGTACTCGAGATGTCCACGCACCTTCCTCGAGACAGGGCATTCGCCAGAGATCTGCGGGAAGGTCAAACAATCGAGCGTCCACCGAGCGAGCGAGTCACGTACCCTCACGGCCACGATCTCTGGCAGGACAATCCGTGGCTCTGAAGCCGTCGTCAGGGCTCTGCTCGTCCCCATTTCCTGCTTGTCCAAGGATCGGCGGCCTCGTGATCTGTTTTGCTTAGGCTACGAAAGTGAGAAGGATAGATCGCCAATCGAAGTATGTAAACGCACCTGAGCCGCACCTTCCTTTCCCGGCCGCCATGCATTCGTCATATCATCTCCAAAGGCCCGTACCCTCGAGCCGGAAGGCCTATGCGCATCCGGCTCCCTCGTTTGGTCGTCGGTGGATGTCGTTGGGTTATCGCAGGGCATCTCCGTTCGCCGCGCCTCATGCAAGGCAGCGGCAATTTGATTCTTTGAGTAGGTATGCCTCACGGATCCATCCATGACGGTGCTCCAGTGCAGATTGGACGGCTGTCTGGGCGAGCGCGTCATCGCCAACATGGCTGGAACAAATATGAGGATCAAACGCAAATAGAATAGAGGTCGAGGTAGCAGCAGAAAGAAGGGGAAACGCAGAGGATTGGTGGGAAGGGGAATTGAGGGAGGAAAAACGGAAGGAGCGCGACGCCACCTCGATGCGATTTTCCGAGTGTTTGCACGTGTTCCCCTAGACTAGGCGAGAGATCAGTGATAACAAGGACAATGGAGTGCAAACCGAGACATACCTTGCGCATCGCGTCCTTGCGCTCCTCCGTTGACAGGCTCTGCGGTCGAGAAAGGCTTGAAGGTCGCCCGATTGGCTTCTTGATGCTGATGGGTAAGTGATGCGCCAGACGCTGTCGACGCCACTCACCACTATCGCCCTCTCCACTTCTTCAGGCCCGCCGCGAAGAGCACTGAAGAGGCCGACCACCGTCATCGACGACTCACTTAGACGACCACCCCATCGCTCTTCCTCGAGCGATCCCGTCCCCCGTCAATGGGCCAAGCTACTGCTTTTCGCCACTGACCCCACTGCCGACCTGCTTCCCGGCAGCCATGATAACTTGCGGTTGACCTCCGGAGTACCGAGCACGCAGGGCGTGTCGAGCAACCAGACCTCCCTCGCCTCACTCGTCACCGAAGCCTTCACTTAGCTTTGCGGCTCGGAACGCTTGCTATGAACGTCAACTACGCCCGTACATCTGCACTCACGATTGTTCCCCAAGCATTCTGAACCACTCGCGCGAGCGCGACCTCCGGCAGCCGCCCTTATTGCTCAATCCCTTGTTGCACACCCACGCATCTATCGCAAACTCGAATCTGCTATGCGGCGTCAGCAAGCAATGGTTGATCCTCGTTGAAGGTCTTACCACCTCTGAAGTTCTCCTTCGTCTCCGCCGCATCGGCGCTTACCTGGAAGCTCCGCGCTCGGCCTCCCGTATGCGCACTTCCGCCTATGACATGGTGAGTGCCTGCGCCTCCGTGAAGACCGCATGCGGTTCAAATGACTGCTAGTAGCCCAGACCAACGCCCTCATCAACCATATGTGCCCTTGTCGACTACATGTCCGGCTGGTCTGGGCCTATGTACTTCGACAACGCCAGCAAACCGCCGGCTAGCTGATGCATGAGGTGAGCGATGCCGAGCGCATACGTCGTGAGGAGAGCCGTTGGACGCTTTGGGGATGGACTTGCACACCTACTGCACTTATGTGCCTCGCCTACGTCCGTCATCGCTGACAGCAATGCAGGGCGATTGACGCTGGTGTTGTAAAGGAACTTCGTGGACGGTCTGTTATGCCGACGCCGTGCAGGTCAGCCCCTCCTTTCATACAACTGGCGTACCTCCACTGAAGAGGAGGAGGCGTCTGTCTTCGTCACGGCCAGTGATTTCTTTGACTTCTGGGGGTCGATGTTACGCCATCCGCTCGGCTTCTTCTTCGGTGCGGATAGCATCCTCATTCCAGAGATGATCAAAAGAGATTATGAACGAGGGAAGGCGGTGGTAGGCGGCGAGTATTGCGTTCAGGTATAGCGCGCTTGCCGTACTCGCTGGCGATCGGGTCTTGCAGTTGCGTCTGTCGTGTCGCTCAGAGCAATGGTTTCATCAATGTATATGACGAATTCGAAGATTATCTTCTACTCGTACTATACGTCGTTGGCCTCTTCCTTGTCTTCAGAAGGTCAGCACCGGTAGGCCGATCGACAGAGATGGACGCACCCATTAACCACAAAGCCCCCTTGCCAGCCTCAGAGCAGGTTCCCCTCTAGCCCAGCATATCCATGTACATATCTTCCGTCGCTGAGAGGTGCCCTGCGTCTTCACCGTAACATGAGGCTCTGTTTAGGCGCCGACGGTGACAACGACAGAGTTTGGGGTCCTGACCCCCGATAGTGCAGCCATTTGTGGCGTCGGAGATGCCAACCGCGCGTTTCTCAAAAATGCAGATATTTCTTCAATCAGAGAGCCAAGGCAGAGAGCTCGCGAGTGTATATGTGATTTTGGGAGCGAGCGAAAATTACATGGTATTATACAAAGGGATATCTATCGGTACAATATGATAGATCGTGAGTAATCGTCTCGGTGGTAATGGGGGTCCTTCAACGAAGGAAGGCCGCCGTCAATGTAGGCCAGCAAGTGTGCAGGCCCAAGGAAAGCATAGAGGGGCGAGTATACCCTCTGCAGGTACCTCGCGAATACCAAGTACAAGAAGGAGAGTCCCATCCGTGGTGGTGTCGTTCGTCATCGTAAAGCGTCTCAGTTCAGTCCCTCCTGATGCTGTCGTACGTCGGCGGGATCTCGCCAGACGTGACCTCGCCCGCATCCTGGTGCACGAACACGTCCGAAGGGCCTGCGCAAATCAAGTCAGCTTCCACGACTACGACGAGAGCCGGAAGCGCCACTTACCCGGATTCGCTACCGAAAGCCTCTCCCGCTCTTTGTTACTCATAATGTAGCCCGGGCCAGCGTAGCCCGACGCGCCGCCAGCGCTCATACGACGAGCAGGCGCGTGTGCACCCCAAACACCACCGCTCGAGCTCGACCGGCCAGCCTCGCTGGCGGGATGCGCGCTGTGATCGTTCGTGGAGTACGCAACGCCCGTCGCGCCAGCGACCTCAGGCTGCGGGAAGCCCGGCGCGCCAGGCTGATGACCTGGCTGCAGCGCAAAGGGGACCGACTGCCGGTTGTAGTCCTGACTACCACCGCTCGCGGAGGAGTGAGAACGTGCAGCTAAGGATGCAAGTTAGCCAACTGCCTTGACAACAACAATCGACGTGAACAGGGGGTGAAAATGAGACTCACCTCCACCGATCAAAGCCGCACCCGAGTGGTCTGAGCTCGTCCCGTACTGCGATCCTTGGGGTTCCGACGTGTAAGCGTAGGGCGTCACCACGCCTGCGCCATTATCCGTCATCGTCGCACCTCCAAGGCGCGCGCCTCCCGCCTCCTCTTCATCCAACTAAGGGTAGGTCAGCACGAGACCTTGCAATAGACATGCGTTATCCACGCAGTCATAAAGTAAGACTGCGCACCTGTACGTCGGGTAGCGTTCCCCCAGGACCTTTGCGACCCTTTTTCTTCTCCGTACCGCCCGCAACAACCCGATCGGGGTCGAAATTGCCGTCGAAGAAGTCTTCGAGACGCTTCTGCTTCCTGTAGCGCCTGAAGGCCCATAGACCAAGGAGCCCCAGCAAAGCTAGACCGACAACTCCACCAACGACACCGCCGACGATGGCGCCGGTATGACTTTTGCTGCCGCCAGAGCCATTGGAGCTGGACCCTGAGGAACCACTGCCCGTGCCGAGGGCGGTGTCCGCAGTAGAGGTGATAGTGGCGAGGGACGTGTGTAGCTCGCCATTGGAGGCCTGGACAATGGTCGTCTGAATGACGGTGGTCACGGGTGCCTCTGAAGAGGTCTCGGTGCGAGATGTCGGCGAGGCGTCCCCGGTGGAGGAGCGGGATGTATTTTCGGTGGTCGAGGTCTCTGAGTTGGGGGGCTGAGAGGCTGTGGTGGAACTCGAAGGAGGGTCGGTGGTGGTCGTGCTATCTTGAGTCGTGGACGAGGAGGGAGGGTTCGAGGTGGTCGTATCGGGAGGCTGCGAAGTCGAGTCTGATTGTGTGGTCGTGGACGGGGGCGCGGAGGCAGTCGTGGATTCGGAAAACGTGGAGGAAGTGGTGGATGTCGGGGGTGCAGATATCGAGGATGATGATGAAGGGTCCGCGGACGTGGAAGGGTCGTACGAGGTTGACGAAGTCGTGTCAAAGGAAGATGCAGACGTTGTCGAGTCCATCGAGGTCGACGTGTCCGATGGAGAAGAAGAAAAGGAATCGGACATGGACGTCGCCGTCGAGGAGGCGCCTGCACAAGAGATAGCTCTTGTTAGCCTGCAAGATCAGGTACGGGATGCATGCGGACGTACCGGGCGATTCGGATTCAGGGGTCGATGAATAGGTTGATGACGTTGAAGACATGATGGAAAGCGCAATTCACGCCGCCCGCGCCGTCGAGGTGTAAAGTACAGAAGAAAAGGATGAGTAGAGTGTGGGCCCGCCGTCGCCGTCGTGATCGTCGTCGGTCAAGGAGTTGGAGCCACCGTGCATTTTTCGTAAAGACCCGCCGGTCCGCGGTTTGTTTGACACAAATAATCAGACATGTGCGCGAGGAGGCGAGATCAATACCCGATATCATCGTGACGTATGTCAGTGCGAAGCAACATAAGGAGCTCTTCGTCAGCGCGTGCGATTGCTTCGTGGCAGAGAGTGGGCGTACCGCTGCTGCTCGCTGACATGGCGGGAAAAGAATGGGATGATGAGAGCGGGAAGGAAGTTTCTTATAAGAAACCCCGCTAGCATGTCGATGCCCAGCCGGTGGCGGGTCACGAGAACCGTTGAGACCCGCAGAGCAACCCATCGGGCAACGCGGACGCGGAGGCAAAGGGGAAGAACAATGGACAATAGCTCCGCTGCGGGCCGGGCAATGTTCCTCACATCCCACGTGTTCCCCTTGTTCGAACCCAGCTAGTGATATTCTTCTACTTCACGGGTACGCTGTCGAAGTATGTCTCGATGGAGGGCGACCTGTTTAGCTCCTCTGTTACAGCGACTTTGAGAAGTTCTCTGACCATTTACTGGACTTACACGTTGTTCGAGGGTTTTCAAGGCCCTGATATTATGGAAGGCTTCGTTCAGGCTTTGAGAAGTTTTGTTCACATGCACCGTAATCGCTGCGCTCCCTCATCTAAGGAAAGGGGAGCAAGGTAAGCCCCGCTGAGCCTTGCTAGGGGGTACAGAAAACGAACCGTAAGTCACGCGATCTCGGCGGTAGCCGAACTTTACTCACGTGCCTCAACTCCCATGTGGCGTCGGGTTCAACGCCTTCTTTTCCAGAGCTATCACGGTCCGCGCATGTACTACGTGTTCCTCGGCCACTGGCAAGCGACAGGATGTGCACACTATAGAGCCACATAAATCCCTCAATTGAGTGTCCCCAAGGCAAGCGCAGGTGATCTTCTCCTGACTGCGTACCGCACAGAAATTTTGCGTGACTACTGCTGACCGCTTGTCGAGGTCAGCCCTCGAACTCCCTGCACAAAGTACACATTGATCCGCGATACATTGATTCGAAGTCCTATCCTTGAGTCCGACGATCTTACAGTTCGGACCTCGTCATTACGCTCATCCCGCATCATATAGCGCCCTAAGCCTTCTCCGTCTTACTCTTCCCGCCAAACTTGCTCTTGACATAGTGCTTCCCCGCCCTCTTGATGAGCGCGCGGCGCCCCAGACCGGACAAGTCGATATACACGAGCCCGACGTTCTGCGCCGTGCGCGCGGCCATGGTGGAGGTCTCCCCGGCGTCTTTGCCGTAGCTATAAGAGCGTTTCGTCAGTCCAATAGTGCTTGACGCAAACGAACAAGCGCAACGACTCACCGATGCCCCATCACCTTCCCAAAGTTGACCACCCCGGCCTCGATGAGCTGCCGCGTCGAGTCGTCGATGGTGGACAGGATGAGGTCCGCGGACAGCAGGACCCGGTCTCGCGTCTTCAACTCGCGCGGCGGGAGAGGCGGGGGTGCGCCTGGTTCTCCTGATCCTCCCGAACCAGGCGCGCCGGGGGGTGGCCCGGACATGCCCCGCGGTGGCGGACCCGTCTCCTTCCCATCCCCATACCCCGGATGCGGCGACGGCGGGCCTGAGGTCCACGGCGGTACCGAGCTCGGGGCATAGGACGAGGGGCTAGTGGCGTATGGCGACGCTGGTGCCGACGCCCCCTTCCCCGACGTGTACACGGGATACGGGACCGAGCCTGCCGCACCCGGCGACGGCGACCGCCTGGGAGGCAGCTTAGGCTTCTCCGGCGCAAGGTAGGTTTGCCCAGGGGTGTACGGTGGCGGCGCCGCTAACGAAGTCGACGAAGCAGCAGCAGGGGGTGTAGAGTAACCTCCCGGAGTCGAATAACCGCTTGGCGTCGAGAGCCCCGAGCCCGCCGGTGCAGACTGACTGTTCGCCGCAGCCGCAGCAGCCAGCCTCTTCCCCTTCCCCTTGCCCGCCGTACCGGACGCAGAGCTCGCACCCGCCTTCTCCTTCCCATACACCGCGCGCCGTATCAGTTCGTCGACCGCCGCAACCGTCTTCGCGCTCGCCTTGACGGCGGTGCCCGTGTACTTGTGCGCGCGCTGCATGTTCTGGCGCGTGCGTGGGGACGTGAGCATGGTCATGGTGCGCGAGGTCGTCCGAGGAGGGAGCGCGGGTTTGGCGGTGGGCGTAGAAGAGCCGTCGAAGGCGTTGGTAGAAGAGCCGTCGGCGCCTGTGGACGATAGTCAACCTCTGGTGCTGTGTACAAGATGGATTGAAAACTAACCATTCGTCAGAGCCCTATTATCAGGATGGTCAGGCGACTTGGCGCCGTGCGCAACGTAGTAGTCGGCCGCCACACCCATGCCCTTGGCGATGAGCGACGCGCCCGTCGAAATGGCATAACTAGAAGACTTCGTAAGCCACAAAAAAGTCGCCAAATAAGCGCATCCTGCGCACCTCGCCAGACCCGCGCCCTTCGTCATCCAGTTCTGTTGCTCGGGCGGGATGGCCCTGACGAACAGCTCCCTCGCATTCGCGTCGTGCTCGGAGAGCCCCGCCTCGTCGGGGACCTCTACCACGACGGGATCTCTCGACCCGCGCATCGCAGGGTCCTCGCGCACGGGGAGCCGCTGGTCCAGCTGCCCAACAATCTCCCCATTATCCTCGTTCACCAGAACAAGATGCCCGCGCAGCTTGTCCGCCTGCGCGCTATTGATATGCGGCACCGGGCGCATGGAGTCGCCATTCAGCGTCTCCGGCAGCGCGGTCATGGACTCGATCGCGAGCGCGCCCTCGTTCTCGAAGGCGGCGAAGTACTGCGAGAGCACGGTGTCGAGCGTCTCGAGGTCACCTGCGGGAGTGCTCGCGGGGACAGCTAGCTGAATCTCCTCCGCCGCGTCGCCCGTTGAGGCGCCGAAGGTGTATATCCGGCGGTGGGGGTCTGCAGTGCTGAGGGACACCGGACGATCGGGATCGAGGGCAATCTCGAGCTCGCGGAGGCGGAGGACAAGGAACACCTCCTCGTGGACTACGCCGCTTTCATCGGGGACGCTGGCGGTGATGTGTTGTAACTGCAGGTCTCCCGAGTGCGTGAACCCGTTCGTCGTGAGGGACGCGGAGGGAAGTGTGAGGAGGATGAAGGCCTCAGGGACGGAGACGGCAGCCATGGCGGGCTTTGGATGTTGGCGGACTGTACAAAATGGCGTTTACGTAGTCAGCTAGGGCAATGATAATGAGTGCAAGTGGGGAGAAGGCAGGCGGATCGCGCACCTAGTGTCCAATCGCAATCTCACGTACGAACGATGCGCGCTCCCAAAGGTCCGACGATTGGCGTGTGTGTTAGTCAAGTTTGCAATGGGATGATTCCTTGGCTATCTCAAGCTGGCTCCAGGCCGTTGTAGATGGAAGCGGAGGACAAGAGCAGATGGAAGTCTTGCAAGCTTGGCACCGAACGTCATGATGATTGATTTAGCAGCTGATCTATGCTGTGCGACATTGGGGGGCGTGCTGGAAGCAGAACCATATCTTCACTTGCACCGGTAAAGTAGCGAATGTTTAGAGGAATAGGGAGAGTTCGAGTGTCCTCGCAATTCGCAACGAAATGGTGGAGTGAGGGAAAAAGTGCTGTCAATGAGTTTCCCACGACCTGCACTTCAAGACGTACCAGTTAAATCGTGAGTGATACGACATGATAGCAGCAATCCTGAGGTCTCCGCAATCGTATCTTCGTAGGCACTGAACGAGCCAACAGTGAAGCCTCTTTGATTAGGTCAAGGGCCACACGTATGAGGGATATATAAGACACAAGTTGACGACACGATATGGGCTTGTGGTACAGTGGTAGCACGTTCGCTTAGCATGTATTGAAGCCTGCGAAAGGTCCTGGGTTCAATTCCCAGCAAGTCCAATCTGGCCTCTTTGTGATTTTTTATGCATTCAAGTCTTAATCGAACAACAGGTAGTCATTCCTACTGCACCTAACGCCGACCGACACGCCTGATCTCATCAAAATACACAATATCATATCCCACCTGTATCGCGCCTTTTCATGCCCCACAGTACATCCCACCCTGGTAAATTCAACGCTGCCGGGAACGCCTGCCAGAACGCGACCGAGTGCCCCGCATGCCTTGACCGCACGACCGCCGCACATGGCTCGCACAGCTGGCGCACATACTCCTCCCCCGCCCCCTCCGGCCAGAAGAACCGCAGCGGATCCGTCCGCCACTCATCCATATACCCACTCAGGAACCCGCGCTGCATCTCCGCGCACGTCTGCCTCCTCGCGCACCGATCCTCGTACAGCAGCACGTCCTCCGCGGGCCACCAGTCCACGACCGCCCTGGCCGCGCGAAATGCGTGCGCATAGTCTGCGGGTGCGAGCACGCCGTCGGGGATGTGCTCGAGGTCGCTCGCGTCCGCCCAGGCGACGGTGTGGAGGTCGTAGAGCGCGTGGGGGAGGGCCCAGTCGGCGTGGGTGTCGCGGATGAGGGCGAGGGCGCGCGCGAGGAAGGCGGCGGTGTCGTCGGCGTCGGCAAGGGAGCAGGTGGTGTCGGGGGTGAGGGAGGCGACGTCGGTGGCGAAGAGGGTGGCGAGGTGCTGCATACCGCGCGCGCGGAGGGTCGTAGAATCGTATTTGTGGCTCAGGCGCAGGACGGCATCAAGCGCGTCGAAGGTGACGGCTTGGGGGGGAGGGGGGAAAGTTCTGATAGTATTGAGTCAGGCAAGAGGATGAGGATTTGGCTGATAAAAGGACGTACTCTGGATGGAATATAGCACGCAGATAATGCTCAGCTTGGTCGGGCGGGTCACTCAGAGGTAGGGCAGGCAGTCCCTCGTAATGTTCAGAGTGGATGTTGGCTTGCCGCACCGCAAGAATTCCCCGCAGCGCAAGCGACTGCTGCTCGAGTACTTCCGCATGCACGCGGAAGATGCGATCGCCAGCATGGACGATGAGCTGGCCGTCCGGGAACCACAAGTCCTCGACACGAGTCAACTCGGCGACGCGTGCGAGGGGAGTGCTCGTCCTGCTAAGAGGTGTCCCCAACCGCGTCACGGGGGTAGAGGAGCCCGAGGCTATAGACATCCCTGGCGTGAGGAGCGCACGCTGCCGTTGAGCAGACAGGAGTGGTTGGGGAGTCCGGCGAGGGAGGATGCTAGACAACGCAGTGGACAATGTCGAAGGAGGTCCGCCTGCGATGCGGACGTTACTCAGTACCTACACTGAGAGTCAGAGACGAGGGGGAAAGGCAAGCAGAAAAACAAGCGCAGCGCGCCTCGGGTTCCATCAACATCAGAACATCACCGAGGGCGCGTCGAGCACATGGCTGCGGCGATCAAAGCTTCTGGACCGCCTCGGCCGCGTGCTATCGGCTTGTTCCGCGCGGTTCACGTGCGAAGTTGAACTTCAAGATATGCATCCAAGTCTACTGAGTTGGAGAACACGCTGAGATGATAAGTGGGCGTGAGTTGAGCCCATAGTTACCCTCTAGTCACATCCTATAGCGGCGCGAACTGGCGAAGAGGGCGGAGGATTAAACCTGGTAAACATTTTCTGAAGTCACTCCGTCGTTACGAGTACTCGGTTCACAATTTTCGCAGTTGCGATATTGCTAACTATCCCTATATAGACCCGCGACCCGACGCAAGCTACTATTCAAATGCTACTTGACATATTCTTCGGATCATGGACAAGTTGGTGGCTACCGTCCGCGCGACTATCGATACAACTAGACAACGAAGACCAACGCTTCCTGCGCTTCTTCCCCTCTTGAGACATTATCTTGTACCTTTTCTGAAACGCTAAATTCTGATCCTCGGCATTACACGTGTCAGATATTCAAGGACGGCTTTGACATTATGATGGATGGGAAGCAGAGCATTTGGAAGGTCCAAGTCTACCGTGCGTGCCTTCATATTTTTGGGACGGTCTGTGAGGACTGTAGGAATTTCTACAGCCGACAAAGGTAGTTGCAGATTAAGGGGCGCGCAACTTGGCTCGAGGTACGTTGCCAGATACATCAGGAAAAGCGCAAATGGGTGATTGGCGTCGATCATCCCACGTTGGCCATAAAGATTGTAATTTCTGGTGATTTGTGATGAACAGGACAAAAAAGCGAGTTTTGACTGACCCTCCGGACGTTCATCTAGAATTATCGTAGTTTAGCGCCAACTGATTGCTAGTATAGTCACAATTACTACTAAAGAATACACATTTTATGCAATATCATGACATACGCTCTGACAAGTGCTACTAAGGGCGCGAACCTGACGGATCAACCTCAATAAAGAGCGCGAGAGCGTAAGCCATGGGGACAAGGGGGTCGCTGATGATTGCTAGGCATTGTGAAGGGCGAGAGACACATCGTTGAGGATGAGCAAGGTGATAGGCGGTGTAAAAGGCGCAGAGCGCATCTGATTCAGACGAGCAGCAACGGAGATGACGAGGAATATGACGAGGGGGGGACGAAGGGGTAGCGATAGCTAGGGGAGTGCGCTCTGCAAGCCAGGAAGGCAGGGGAAAGACAAAGGAGGGGACTGATCATCCACTGATTGTGTCATTGCATCGCGTCCGAGCCTCACCCTAATTGAGGAATCCGTAAACAGTCAGTATGTGTTTGCCTGATGAGGCATGTTCACGCACCTCCGCGTCTTCCATGCTCGCCCTTCGACCATCGGCCTTTCTCGTGACCGGCAACATAACGGCTGTGACACGATGGCTGCATTTGTTACTGATCGTCAAGTCCAGTTCAATGTGAAGGCCTTCGCATTCTGTATACCCTATCGCCTAGTTCAGAGAGATCTCAGTAGCGTGATCACGGCGGAGACCAAGAGAATCAGATGCGTAAGTCTGAAGGCCCGCGAGAGCGCCACAAAATCGGAAAGATCCGAATGACGTATAACAGCGCTGACGTGGCAGCGCTCGATCGTTCGCGATCCTTGCTCTCAACCGTCATGCATTAACTGGCATCGCTTCCGCCCGTCGCTCGTCCCCTTCACCGACTCAGCAGCGCATCCACCGTATTGCCATCGACTCCCTGACTCTGCCCGGGCCACCCGCCCAAGAAGCGAACATGTGGCCAGCTGCCGCCCCAGGTTCGTACGCTTCGGGTTCGCCTATCGCGCATTCAGGAATGAAGGGGTGGGTTCTGGCGTCGAACCCTCCACGTTCCCGTGGTACTGGCTGGCGTCTCTCAGTGTCGTCAATGAGGTGCGTAGTGTAGCACATGACTTTTGACCTGTGCTTACCTTCTTTCATTAGCCTCTGCGTGTGCGTATCATACAATCCTCGCTACACCCCCTGGTCCGTACCCTTCTCAGCCCTGGAGCTCACATACTGACCCCACTTCCAGACGGCATACAAACATCGAAGCCAATGCGTACGGCGCAAACTGCGCGTCCCCCGTTCTCGTCTCGGTCCCACTCTCCAAAGTCGGAGGTCCTCACGATACGTCGTCAACGATTTACTTTCCCCTTCTATCCCTCCCTATCCCAGATCGTGTACTCATCGTTGCATGTGGTGTGGGCAAGTTCGTAGTGATGGTAGTGTAGCAACCTACACGCAAGTACCAAGTATGTACATTATATAGACTTTTGATGACATCTTTTTGGCCTAAACATGTGCTGCTCGAGCTTCCCAACGTTGTCAAGGTGTGGTGAGTGAGTGATATGCTGGCTTACTGGGCATTTAGTCAGATTAGATTGGCGTAAATCATCGTAGTATAGCACGGTTTGAATCGGGGACTGTGGTGATGGAGTCAAATGAGGCAAAAGTAGATTTTGCGCGCTTATCATGCTTATTGGCGTCGATTACCATTTTATTATTGTTCTTTGGCGCAATTTGGCAGGATCCGCTTTTCCTGATGTACTCGAGCGCCATTAACGTTATACTTGATTTCGTTTGCGCAGGACTTCCTTCCAGAATGAGATCGACTAGTCTGGGGCAAGTCATAGCAAGAAATTTGATGTCTTCGTCTCCTGCATTGATCTGGAAGCGGTCGATATTGCTGGCAGAGAAATGGAACTGTCGTAGATTTCTGTAGGGCGAAAGGCGTCGGAGGTGGTCCGCTGTGAGACCCGAGTCACGCCATTTGTCGTGATCGTTTGGTGAGCGCAAGGTTTCAGACCTGAACCACAGTTCGAGTTTGTTCAGCTCGGTAGGAGCGATGCGTTTCTCGAGCAATTCAAATATTTTTGCCCAGTCCTTGTCGGAGCGAAGGATAAGCAAGGAGCACGTCGAAGGCGTCATGAAAGGTAGTGTCATGAACAGGCCCGTGAGTGCATTGATGTCATTCGCGGTTATCTCGAGATTGACCAGGTCGGAGAAAGCATCTTTGGTCATCTCATTGGTGGCCGTCACGCGTCTCAGCGGACTAATCGTCTGCTTGGTTATTATCAGATTTTTCAGGCCAGATATCGAACCAAGGGCGACGACATCGCGAGCGTCGTGCAGCTCTTGCAGAGAGATCGTGTGGATTGTCAGAAAATGAGCTGCAGCTAGGCCAGCGCTGGTCGAGGATAGAGACAGTTCCTCCAACCCCTTCGACCGCTGTGCGATACATGTGTACATGTCATGCATATGCAATACACCTTTTCCAGTCTTGATTTGTATTCTCTTCAATTCTGGGGAGAGAAGGGGAATGATCAAGTTCTGGACGTTGTGCTCCGTGACGCCTCTCGGGTTCTGTATAACCAATTCGAGGACTCGAAGGTTTGGAAAGATGACATCCCTGTCACATTCAGTTGGAATGACATAGTGAGGGCGAATGGCGGCGAGGACGTTCGGCTGAGATTTGAGCACCGCGCGGAACACACGGACCGTATCAAGGCACTCAACGAGGCGTGTTGGAGGTATCTGCAGCAGAACGTAGGGTTGTGAGAAAGGTGCGACAGACGTGGCTCTTTGGCTACGTACCTTCTTCATATCAAGAAGTCTCAGAAGGCGGGGCACCCGCTTATGAGATCTAACCGTTTTCCAGATGACCTCGATCCCAATGTTGTACAGGCGGTTGCAGGTACACGCGAGACGGAGGGCGTCACGAGCTTCCTTTTAGTCTGCGGCCCCGCCCTCAAAGTCCTGCTCGCCAGCGTCAGGACCGGCGATGAAATCGAAGATGATGACCAGTAATTCATCCGGAAAGTCCAATAACCTTGTCATGATGATTTGAGGGCGTCGTCCTGGCCCCCAATTGCAAACGTTAGAAAGATCTGTGTTAAGAGGCTCCACAGACTCACCTTATATACCCTCCAGAAGGGCGCGCTTCCATCCGATGATAGCATCAGCATGTCTCAAAACACGGCTGGGATTCAATGCGAGAGAAGCGTAGAAGAGACCCTCAAGGAAGAAGGGCGCAGAAGACGACATAGAACAGCGCGCAAAGGGCCTCAAAGTAGGAACAGAAAACGAGTAAGAATAGAGGGAGAACGCCGCACAGCCGCCTGTGATTCTTCGGAAGTTCGAAGACCTGACGATTGTCTACGCATCGAAGAAGCTCGAAGCTTAGGGCCCGCAAGGCGACGGAAACAAGGCCGCCCACCGTCGATTCTTCTAACCGCGCAAGTAGTCTGACCAACAAGCATTGGTTCGCATGCCCGAACAAGCGGAGGCCTCAGCCAAGACCTCCATCGCGCAACCATGAGAAGGGATTGCCTGAATTACAACTGAACGAGCATCAAATCATGCTCAGATGGCTTAGAGACGTGCATAGAGGCATAGATGCATGTAAGGTTTGCGCATATTGTGGCCCTCGCGCGTTGGCCGCGCTCAGGAAGCGCAGCTCTTGTCTTCGATGTCCCAAGCGCCCCAAATTCCTTCGTCGTCCTGTAAAGAGGGTCAGAACCATTCACGCCGATGATCGTGATTCTTCGCGATAGCCGCCGACTATCGTAGATGAATCTCAGATGCACGGAGCGGTCTGGAAAGAAAGAAGCCGCTCGCCGCGAAACGTCGAGGCCCAATTTCTCGAGGATAGCCACAATCCGCCTCGGCCGTAAGCCGACGACGGCGTCACAGAAGACCTCTGACCCCGACCGCTAATACGCCACGAAGTACCTACTCCCGCCGCAAATCCAACCCATGAAGTAATCACCCACTCACCCGATTGTAGCACCGCATCGCGCCCAAGAATTTCACCCCGCGCACGATGGCGGGCGTCCGGCGGCACATGTCGCGCCAGGCGCCGGCGTCGAGGCGGCCGTGGAGGTCGGATTCGAAGGTCTGGGTGGAGAGATAAGGATGAGGGTGGGGAAGAAAGAGATGTGAGGCGCGACGAGAGGAAGGGGGAGCGAGGGGAGGGAGCGAAGAAGGAGAGTGTGTCAGTGACCAGTGGATGTTGTTAAGGTCGCCAACGCACGCGCAACCCCGAGCCCTCCGCCGTGCAGCCCTTTGGGAGAGTCGTTAGCGCGCGGAAGAGTGAGAGGGCCGAAGGTGGGAGGGAGAAGGATACGCACCTTGTCCGTGAACCATCCCCAGCTACTCACGCACTCCGGCTCGCCGTAGTCTACGACCCAGTGTCCGACGATTGTGTGGTCCTGTCTAGGGGTCAGACCCTGCACGGCTGCTACGCATGATTATGCCCAAACGGCGCGGGCATTCAAGTCCTTTCCAAAACGTACCTCCCGCATATCGCACCACGTCGGCCTCTTCAGCACCTTTCCCGTTACCTCCACCGCCGGGGCGTCGTTCATGCACATCCTGTGCCATCCGTCCGGCACGGGCTTGTTACCCAGAGCGTTTGGCACGGACTCAACAATCCACCCGCTTGACGCAGGCTCGTCCACTCGGGGCGCCGCGGACGCGTGCATGCTACCTCCCGACGCAGGCTCGATAACGAGCGTCGCCGTGTACGCGCGCATCCCGTATCCCATGCAATCCGCCTCGGGAACGAGGGGAAGCGCCCAGTACACGTCGGGTGAAGGAGCCGCGACGAGGCGGTAAAGGGCGCCGAAGGTGAGGTAGAGGGCGTAGAAGGCAAGACACAGCGCGCATAGAACGAGGAAGAGGGCGCGGGGGACGAAGACGCGCATCCAAGGGGTGTTGATCCAGGTAAGGTGTTTGTCGATCCCGCGGTGGGGCGTAGATGGGCTAGAACTGGCAGTCTCAGGCGCCGTCTCCGTCTGCGCCGCGCGCGACTGCGAGCTGTACGCCGGAGGCGGGGAGCTGGAGGGCCGAGCGCGTCAACACGGAGTGAGAATTCAGGATTAGGGAGCGAGGGCATGGGAGCAAAAGCGCGTCAACATGTAATCCAAGGTACGAGGAGCAAGGGGCAACAAGCGAAGAGCGTGAGGGGAAGGGAAAGTGTAGCGGAAGAAGCGTGAGGTAAGTGACTCACTATGAGGCGGGCTGTTGCGCACAGCGGCACGAGCAGGACATGGTGTGTGGGCGAAGAGAACAGGCGCGCGCCTACCAGATCGTCCCCGATGGCATCTTCGCGCGTGTCGGTTTTATAGCTTCATCGCGTGCCACTGTGTAGCTTCATCGCGTGCCGCTGTATAGCTTCATCGCGTGCCACCGCATAGCTTCAGCGCGTGTCTGAAAGAGGCGCCACTATGTCATAGAAGCTACTTCGCGCCCATGCCAGTTTCTGCGCGTGTCCGTATAAACTTCCCTTCGGGGTGAACTTCTGGACGAACTCATGGCAGATAAGATGCGCCCAACTGGACACTGTCCGTTCGGCGCTGCTTGAGTAGGTGAGCTGGAGAGGAGTCGGCAGAAGCAAGGAGTATGCATCTTCGAGCCTCTCTCATGAATGACATATGACAAGACTTTGAGTTGGGCATTATTTCCGATACAAGTAACAAGACGACGGCCCGCTGAAGACCACACCTCTGCGGGGAGAGAGGTCGATCATCGTCTCAGAAATGAGATGTTGCGATATGGACCGAGTAAGCTGGATAATTTTATCGTAAGGCAGAGAGACGAGCGCGCAATCCGAGCGAGCCCAGCAGACAAGATGAGGGTCAAGACCAAGGTTGCTTTCCGCCAGTTGCCGAACACACGTGCCAGCGATCGTGACAGTCCTGTTACCGTGACATTGAGCGTACCTTACATATTTTTTACATTTCTCTCTTTTACCAAGGGCTTGTGGTACAGTGGTAGCACGTTCGCTTAGCATCTTCACAGAGGCCTGCGAAAGGTCCTGGGTTCAATTCCCAGCAAGTCCATCAAATACGTAGGACATGATGTCTTTTTTGTCTCCCCTCTAATTTCTTTACATCGTATTCCCGTGAGCCTGGGGGATGGCGGACCTCGATGGCATCAAACATTGCGAGTCCAGTCTAGTCCTCCTTTGTCCGCGGTGTGTCTTGAATCTCAGGATGCCATCGAAGCGTCCGGCTCGAATCGACGGCATTTGGCGTCATTCCGTGCTCCGTATCATCATCAATGTTCGTTGTATCGGCTTGCCCGCGGCGCTTGCTTCCCGCCATCACGAGCGCTTATTCCCCGACCGTAGCGGACGGGCGATAAGTATCGATCGCGCTTGCTACCCAGGGTGATCAGAGGCCGCTGGACGATATAGCTCGGCCAGACGACTTCGGCACTTTGGCAGCCACCAGGACCTCGGAGCAAGGGATTCATCGTTTCATTCACCTATTGCACTGAGCCGTGCTAAACGCAACGACGACGTTCAAGACCCTGAACATACTATCCACCAACATACTATGAGCACCATCCCCGACCATTCGATCCGCATCGCGGCTGACCGTGGGGGCACCTTCTGCGACGTCCATGCGTGCGTGTAGCGCCATCTCTCCATGATCGGTGGTGCTGACGCTTACTCCTGCCATGCTTCACCTGTCGTCGCGCCCATACATCCCTCCCCCTTCCGAATCATCCATCCCTCGCACGCGTGCTCCTCTCCCTTTCCCCCTCCCCATGCCCTTCCCCTTTCTCCCCCTTTCCCCCTCCTCCTTACCTCTTCGATTTCTCATCCGCCTCCCCACTATGACCCAGCTCCTACCCCGACCCCGCCAACCCCACGGGCCCGCCGCGCGAGCTCATCGTCAAGCTTCTGTCGCAGGACCCGGCGTATCCGGACGCGCCGACTGAAGGGATTCGCCGTGTGTTGGAGGCGGTGACGGGGGAGAAGGTCCCGAGAGGTGAGTGGTTAGGCGAGATGGATCTGTGGTGGGCAGTGGAGGACGGCTCGCTGGCCGGGGCTCCTCACATTGTGGACGATATCGACCATTCGCCCCCTCCCTTCCCGGATGCACGGAACTCCTCTGCAAGGAAGCTACGCCATGGGTTCTCGATGGTCGACTCAATCATATACGCCACTCTGTTCTCATTGTCACCCGTCCCCGAAAATCATGGTCATTGTCTGCTTACACACGCGGTCACCCGACGCACCCATCATACCGCCGTCTTTGGCTCCGCCCGCGCCGCCCTACCTCCCCGTCACACTTCTCTGTCACTTGATCCTCCTCCGCCGACCTTCTCTGTCAGCACTGCGAATCTCATTGTTGCTTCCGTCACAATCTCCTGCCTTACGCCGACGAGCCCTCCGCCCCGTCCTCTCTTGTCTTCAACGCCCATCTTCTTACCTCCTCGTCGCCTTCGTTGCCCTCCCCATCGGATCTCCCTTCTCCCGCTCTCCTCTGCCCCCATACTTCCCGTCGTCTGCTTGACGGAGAATCCCGACTAACGCATCCATCCAGGCCAACCCCTGCCCATCAACAAGCTCGCCTCCATCCGACTCTCGACTACGGTCGCCACGAACGCGCTGCTGGAGCGCCGCGGGGAAAAGCATGCGCTGGTGGTTACGGAGGGCTTTAGGGATGTGCTTTTGATTGGGAATCAGGTGAGTAGGGGTTTCGTGGGTCGAGGATGGGGGTGGGCTGGTATAAGGGGAGGTGGTAGGCAGTGGTTGAGTCGGAGGGTACACTTTGGGAGGGCCAAGGGCAATCTGGAAGGCGCATCGAGAGTCGAGCTCTATCTGCTTCCGAGGGATTCGCCACCGTCATGCGCCCCAGGCCGAAGTCCGTCAGCCTGGCTTTCCTTCGTTCCTTCTTCTTCAAATTATCATCACATCACATCCCCCGTCCGCTGCCTTCTTCTTTCTCATTCCGACTTTCTTTCCACTTTTCACCCAACTAATCATCCCACGCAGGCACGCCCCAAGATTTTCGACCTCAACATCCGGCGCCCGGCCCCGCTGTACGAGGAGGTCGTCGAGGTCGCCGAGCGCGTCACGCTTGTCGGCTTCACGAGCGACCCGCGCGCGGAAGAAAGAGGCGTAAAGTTCGACGAGGACGGGAGAGTGGTTAGAGGATACGATGGGGAGGTGCGTCGTTGTGATGGGGGTTCGGAGGGCTGTCGTTGACGACCATGATCCACAATGCCACATCGCACTCGCGGCTGAGCGCCACGGAAGGAATACTTATGCTGACCGACCTCCTCTCCTCCCTTCCTCCAGACCCCCGCCGAAGAAATTGTCCGTGGCCTCTCCGGCGAGGCCGTGCGCATCCTCAGGAAGCCTGATCCGGCGGTCGTCAAGCCGCAGCTGCAGGCGCTGCGCGAGAAGGGGTACACCTCGCTCGCAATCGTGTTCGTGCACTCGTACACGTATCCGGAGCATGAGCAGCTGGTTGCGGAGTGGGCAGGGTGAGTAAAATCTCGATCGTCTGAGCTTTTGACTCCACTCCGTTTATTCGGATGTCGGTTCGGCGCGTCGAAAGCTCGTGGGTTCCAGTCGTTGAGGGCTGGACTGATCGGAGCAGAGCACTAACCCTCGCCCCAGCGAGGCCGGCTTCACGCACATATCCCAGTCCGCTGCGCTCCTCCCGGTCATCAAGATGGTCCCGCGCGGCGCCAGCGCGACGGCGGACGCGTATCTGACGCCAGTACTGGGCGCCTACCTCAACGGCTTCTTCTCCGGCTTCGACCCCGCGCTGCGCGACACGGGACGCGTCGAGGTGAGCGCCCTCCTCGTTTTTTCGATCTCAGAGTGTCCTATACCTCACTTCCCCCATACCTCACTTTCTTCCTCCAACATTCACCTCCTCACTATTCCCCGCTACTCGTTCCTCCTCCTCATGAGTCGAAATTTGAACCCAATTTAACCTCCCCACCACAGTTTATGACCTCCGCCGGCGGCCTGGTCCCTGCGACACAGTTCTCCGGCCTGCGCTCTATCTTGAGCGGCCCCGCGGGCGGCGTGGTAGGCTATGCGCGCACGAGCTGGGCGGGCGAGGGCGAAGGGAGGGATAAGAGGGCGATTATTGGGTGAGTCGTCAATCTTTATATTCTGTTTGGGAGGGAGTGGTTGAATTGGTCTTGAACGGGCGGGCGGACGTGCGGAGATGGCGGCGAACGTGTGGAGAAGGCGGAAGGTAGGAGGTGAACTTGGCTGATCTACTTTACCCAGCCTCGACGTGGGCGGTACCTCGACGGACGTCTCGCGCTTCGCGGGCAGGTACGAGCTGGTGCACGAGAGCGTGACGGCGGGCGTGGGCGTGGTGGGCGCGCAGGTGAGCCTTCTCGGGGTGATTGGTAGTCCTCGAGGAGATCGGTAGTCCTCGGGGGATCCGTAATCTTTAAGTTCGGTGTGCTCAGCGTCTTCGATAGCTCGACATCAACACCGTCGCTGCCGGAGGCGGGTCCTGCCTTACCTTTGCGCGCGGCCTCTTCCAGGCGGGCCCGGCAAGTGCAGGCGCGGTGCCGGGGCCGGTGTGTTATCGGTGCGTAGAGCTGCTGCCTTCATCTGTTTCCTTGCCCATCTCTTTATACCCCATCCCTCTTCCCGCTCCCTTGACCTCCTCTCCCTATATCTCTCTCCCCTGCCCTCTTCTCACGGCCTCTCCTTCCGCCTACCCTCGTACTCCCTTCCCCTCTCGCGCGTGTCTCGCCCTTGTGAATCCCGTCTACCCTTCTGCCATTCCCGTCCCCTACCACCCCTCTGCAATCCAGTTCCTACCACCCGCTGACCTTCTTGCAGTCGCGGCGGCCCCCTCGCACTGACAGACGCCAACCTTGTTCTTGGCCGGCTCGTGCCCGCGCACTTCCCGAAGATCTTTGGCCCGAACGAGGACGAGGGGCCGGACGAGGCGGCAGCGAGGGCGGCGTTGGAGAAGGTCAAGGAGGAGGCGAGTGTTGGGTTTCTGATACAGACGCGTCTCCCTTTGCCTTCTAGAGACGACTTGATCAGAAGAGGGCGCTGAACGCAGGAGTTACACTAACAACCCACGCAGATCAACGCCGATCCGAGCACAGAGCGGCCGTACAGTTTGGACGAGGTCGCGTATGGGTGCGTCTGGCCCAGTCCACTAACCTCTGCAATATGCTCAATACTCACGCCTTCCCCCTCAGCTTCATCAAGGTCGCCAACGAGACCATGTGTCGGCCGATCCGCGCGCTCACCGAGGCGCGAGGGTACGCGACGGGCGAGCATATGTGCGTTCGCAGCCGTATCAGAATTGCGCGCGCAGGGCTGACTGGACTCGCCTTGTAGCCTGGCGCCCTTCGGCGGCGCCGGCGGGCAGCACGCGTGCGAGATCGCGCGGCTGCTGGGGATCAAGACCGTGCTCGTGCACCGGTACAGCAGTGTGCTTAGCGCGTATGGGCTGGCGCTGGCGGAGCGGTGAGTGGTGTCACGGTCATTCTTTATGCTTTGTTTGTGGTTCCGTGAGCTCCATCGGTCGATGTCATCGAGGGAGAAGGACGAGCCAAGGGCAAGAGAACATGGGGAGCCAAATGTGCAAACAAGTATTGACGACCTTCCCACAGCGTCCTCGAGCGTCAAGAACCCAGCTCGGCCGTTTATGGCACGTCGGAGACCACGAAGGAGCTCGCTGGGCGGCTAAAGCGAATGGAGGACGATGTACGAGGGGAGCTGAAGGAGGTGAGTATGACAAGGGCCTTTGACCCCTCTGACCTCGATGCTGACCCCTTTCCCAGCAAGGCTTCCCTCCCGAGCGCATCAAGGTTGAGCGGCTGCTCAACATGCGGTTCGACGGGACGGACACGGCGCTGATGGTTCTGGGCGAGGATGGTGAGTGGTCAGATTACTCGGGCCGAGGGATACTTTCCCTCGCGATATCATATCTCTTCGTCATTTGTCGTCTTCCGTTTCTGCTTCTTCGTCCTTATGTTACACTTCTTCGTCCTTTTTTCACTTGCACGACCGTGTTTCTGTACTGGCCAGAAAGCTGATATCCTCCCAGTGCCCTCCTCCTCGGATGCTCTTGAGGACTTCGAAGGCGCATTCAAGCGCGCGTACAAATCTGAGTTCGGCTTCTTGCTCGAGAGCAAGGCAATTGTGGTGGACGATGTGAAGGTGCGTCACGGTCGTTTGTTTTGCTCATCGAATTATTGCTCTCCGCTCTCTACGCTCGCTGGCGGTCGTAATCTGCTTCCTTCATCGCAAACCGCTCGTCCCCTGTAGATTCGGTACTGACCCATCCTCCTCCTGCCCAGGTCCGCGCTATCGGTTCCTCCTTCGACGACTTGGGTGAGAACGTGCACGACGAGGTGCGCCGGCTGCGCACCGAAGGGAAGACCGCGAGCGTGAGCAAGGAGCGCGCCAATGGGACGCACAGCGTGTACTTCGAGGAGGTGAGTGCGAGCCGTGCTATGTGTCGTCTCCCCTTCCCTCCCCGCCTCATCCCTCCTTATCCTGCTTCTTCTCCGCCACCAAATCATCGGGACTTTACTGACCCACCCACCTAGCTCGGCCGCGTCCCAGACACGCCCATCTTCCTCCTCGACAGCCTCCATCCTGGTGACGAGGTCGCGGGACCAGCGATCGTCATTGATGACACACAGACGATCGTGCTTGTCCCGGGTGCGACGGCGCTGGTGACGAGCCGGCATCTGGTCATTGAGGTCGAGTGAAGTGGATGAAGCGCTGAAGGAGAGTTGAGTAGAGTGAGTGAGCTGGAAAATTGATTATCAACACTGTATGTACGAATATTATTCTATCTCCCCCAGGCCACAACGTCGTCGGATGCGAGGGTTCATAATACTCTTCAATTTCGATCATACATCCGCCGGCCACTCGGCGATAAGTTGGGCATCGCCGCAGAGCTCGAAGCTCAAGGAAAGCGCGCCGTCGTAGTCAAACGTCAGCTCATACTTCCCAGGGTAGAGCGACGCGTCCCCACTCTCATCCGTTCGTGCCAGCGCTCCCAGCGTCACCTCGAGCTCTACCTCCGTAGAATTGCCCGGCTGCACATCGGACGCCCGCGCATACGCGACCATCTCCTTAATCGGCGCAGGCGCAGGCCCCGCCTGCGTGCTCACGAAGAGCAGAGCGACGAAGTCCGACGCAATATCGCCCTCGTTCGTCACCGTCACCCTGAACGTATCCAGCGGCGCTAGGTCAACGAAGCCGCTCGCCTCGCCCGTCAGATCCTGGATGCTATAGCACGCCTCGGGTGCGTCACTTGCCCACGCGACACTGATGTTCGTGTAGTGCAGGCCGTAGCCGTAGGGATAGACGGGCGTGCCGGTGTACCACTTGTACGTGCGGCCGGGGTTGCCGGTGGCGTTGTCTGGGCGGAGCGTCATGTCGGTCATGGCGACCTCGTCGACGTAGCTGGCGGGGTATTAGGTGATGGACAGGCGACCTGCGGGCGCGACCTTGCCGGTGACGGTGTCCGCGATCGCCGTACCGCCACTCTGGCCGGGGTAGCCTGCCCAGAGGATGGCGTTGACCTGGGCACACGGGTCAGCGTCAGGGATGGATACAGAGAGGAACTACACACCGCGTCGCTCTCCTTCAGCGGCGTATCGTCCAGCTGCCCGCCGCCCATCTGGACAACGACGAGCGGCTTCCCAACGCCCTCCAGCGCGCTCAGCAACGCGAGCTGATTATCCGGCCACGAGATCTCCGTCCTATCCTTCTCTTCCATCTCCAGCGTGTTGTCGATGCCGCCGACGTAGATGACCACATCTGCCGCCTCTGCGGCAGCCACAGCTGCATCGAAACTGCCTGCATCGTTTCCGGTGACGTTCGTGCCCAAGACGTATGTGACGTTAAACCCGGCGTCCAGGAAACCCTGTAAGGGCGCAATAACGAAGGGCGGGATACCGAAGTAGTTGCCCAGCATTTGCAGCGCGGAGGCGTTGGCCATGGGTCCGATGAGTGCGAGGGAGAGGGTGGAGTCGGTAAGAGGTAAGGTACCGTCGTTCTTGAGGAGAACAAAGCTCTTAATGGCGGCGGTGTAGGCAAGGGCTTGGGCTTCGGGAGTGTTGACATCCGCCCAGGTGATCTGACGATAGGGTTGGTCCTCAGGAGCATCGAAGTAGCCGAGCCTAAAGCGCGTGAGCTGCGGAAGTTCAGAGGGGATGAGCCACCTACCACACGAGCGACGCATAAAGTCGAGTGAGCGCCGCCTTCAGGTCGTCTTCGTCGATCAAACCTCGGTCGTACGCCTCCGGAAGGTATTGCGTGTAATTCGTCCCACAGTTCAGATCCGTCCCCGCCTTCAACGACACCGTCGACGCATTGACCAAGTCCTCCGTATACCCATGCGGATCATACACATTCCCCACCGCACCGCAATCCGACGTCACCCACCGGTCCTCCGCCAGCCCCCACGCATCCCGCAGCACCGTCTTCAGCAGGTACGGGCTCGCGCACGCCGGCACGCCGTTCACCGCGTTGTAGCTGCACATCGCGCTCGCCGCGCGCGCGTCGCGCACGCAGCTCCTGAACGGCGGGGCGTAGTACTCCGCGAGGTCCTGCGGGGTGACGACCGCGTCGAACGCGTAGCGCGTGACGCCGCCCCAGTTCTCGAGGTCGTAGGCGGCCCAGTGCTTGCAGGCGGCGGCGACCTTCAAGGAGGGCGGGTCGATGCCGCCCTGGAGGCCCTCGACCAGGCTGCGCACGTAGCGCGCGGCGTGCAGCGGGTCCTCGCCGGGCGTTTCCGCGCCGCGGCCCCAGCGCGGGTCTTTGAAAGGGTTGATGTTGGGTGTCCAGTAATCGAGGCCGGCGCGGCCGGCGTTGCTGAAGGCGCGCGCTTCGGTGCTGATGACATCTCCCATTGCGAGCATGAGAGCGTCGTCGAAGGCGGAGCCCATATTGATGGGCATGGGGAAGGACGTCGCGACGGCGGGCTCGGGTTCGAAGAACACGACACCGGGGCTGAGGCCGACGCCGTGCTTGGGCATAGTGAGTTTGCTGGGCAAGCACGCAGGGTGTACGCGTACCAGAGCTTCATTCCACCATTCGTACGGCGGCAGACCAAGTCTGGGGACGCCAAACGCAGCATTCACGGTGTTGTTGATCATCTCCGGGACGGTGAACTCCTCGACCAGCGCACGCGCCCGCTCGACGTGCCCCAAGCTAGCATCGCACACCGGATTCGACGCAAGCGGGCCATTGACGCAGTCCGGAAAACCCTGCGCACGACTGCCCGCGGCGAGCGAGAGCGCAATAGAGGTGAGAAGGAGGAAAGCCATCGCGTACAAAGGACGGCTTTGTCGTCGAAAGCCTACGCTCCAACCCGAGCTTTATATGGCGCGAGGACGGATGAGCAACCCTCCCCGCACAGCCCACTTGTCTTCGTGCGCGCGGCGCGGCACATGAGATCTGCCTTCAAGGGCCGTAAGCGAGGCGAGGACAACCGTGAACTGGACGATTACCAGGCAAAGGAAGCGTGATTTCTAGCGCAGAAGGCTCGCCGAGGTACGAGGCAGGGAAGCGTGATTGCTGGCGCAGGGGCCTCGCCGAGGTGCGAGGCAAGGGATTGAAGCGTGAGCAATTGTGACTGCGTGAAGGGTACCCTGGACTTGTTCCCGGGGTTTACTCGAGAAGAGCTCCACCCGCACAAAACATACCTCTGGAACTTGGCATAGCGGAACAGTACTGCACTACAGCGTTTTCGGAAAACCTTGTCATCTGGAACTTTTTTCTGAGCGTCGTCCAAAAACTCTAAGAATAGAAAAACCCAAAGATAGATGCTCACTTCCTGCCTGAAGCGCGCCTTGAGGCTCGTGGGGCGGGAATGCCAAGCCCAACGTCGACGGGAGCAGCGAAGGACTCAGCCGCTCTGTAGCTCTCAAACGGTGACCCAAGGGCGGCCTCTGCACAGGACGACGCTCTGACGTCCATTTCGCGGCTTTTCCGGCGGCCAGACGACCTTCAATCGTCTCCAGCGGCGTCGGGAAGCCCGCCAGCGACACCTGGGGACTCTGCGCACCGTCGACGAAGTCAGCTTGGCGCAGCGCGCCAGCCAGGAACTACGCAGCCGTTCCCACGACTTTCGTGTTTTGGGTTTTTGGGACAGCTCACGAAAAAAGTTCGTCCATGACAAGGTTTTCCGAAAACGCTGTAGCTACATGCTGGCCGATTTACGTGAGAAACGCCCAACAGAAAATTGGCTGTGTAGCAGTCTGACTCTCTGTTGCCATCAATCAGCGGCAGAGCATCCATTTTCAAACCCGTACGCAAGATAGCGACAACATCGTGTTCGTATCTCGAGCATGTGGGTAATGGCGAATATTGGGGAGATGAGAAGGGTACTCGACGTCCTCCGCTACCTCTGAGGTGGTGGCGGCGCGCCGTAAGCCCCTGCGCGAGCTATCGTAGGGTCCCTCGCCTGACTATCTTGGTAGGGTGCTCTCAAGGTAAGATCGGCAACAGCCGATAACCTTTTTACTCCCGCTTGCTTCTTGCTTCCGAAGATCTCCCTTCCAGATGGACTGCTGCTTTTGCGTATTTCTCGCCGACTTCGATGCCCTATGTGACTATTTTACGAAGCGCTGATACTAGGTCCTCGCTTGCTCAAGCTGCAAAGTACGCCGTATGTATCGCGACGATCTTTCAATCTATGCAGCAACCAACTCGAACCTCGCCGACGCCATGTAGAAGTTCGGACGAACAGTTTCTTTGACAGCCATCGGCCTTCTCGGTGACATCAGCGCGCCCCGGATCGACGGCGCCGGGGCTGCGCATATCCGCGGCAATTGAGCTCTTCGCTTCTTGTTTCCTACCACCACCATCGCCAGTCACATTCTACTAGCCCGCCTAGAACACATTCCCTACACTCGCTCAGTCTAAGGACCCTCACGCTCTCTTTTCATTGACAGACTCTGATCTACCACGCTCTTTTGCCGTTCCCGTCCACCCTCTATATCGTCTCTATTCCTCGTTATTCTATCCACCTATCATTCCTTCCACCAACGCCCTACGCACCTTCAACATGAACGGACAAACCAGCACCAGAAGACACAGACTCGCTGCCCGTGCACTCATGGCTCCAGTCGGCGTAAACACGGTACCCGCCAACCCGCCAACACCAGTTTCTGATCGCCATCGTGAAGCCCGTGCTACCGCCTGGCAGCTGCACCCCATCGACATCTCCGCCGACACGTATTCCATCCCTGAGACGCCTTCCGCCGACGCGAACCCGGTATCCGCCAACATCGCCGCCGGTGCCAACCCCATGATCGCCGCGGACTCCAACCCAGCACACCACCTCCTGAACGCCAGCCCCGAGCCAACGCCTACGGGTACCTCGACGCATGGCTTCAGTATCATGGGGAACCCAAGCCTGACCGTCCCCGCCCTCTGCTTTCTCGGCCTCGGCGCGACGCTCGTCGGCGGATTCATGTTGTACTTCGCGACCAAGTACGCGTGCCGAGGCGTCAAGCGACTACGGGAGAGGCGGCGCGCGGGAGAGAAGGAGGTGGATGTCGAGGTGAGTCAGATTGTGTAGGGCGGGAGAAGTGAGCTGACGTCTTTGCCTGTCTTTGTAGGGTCAACGCACCGAGGCCGATGTCCTTTGGGCGCAGAAGGAGGTCACGGAGAAGCCGACCTCGTTCGCGGTGTCCGTTGGCTCGGTACAGTCGCAGGCCGAATTCACGGATGCGCGTGCGCAGGTGTGGTTCGGACGGATGGAGGGTGTGCCCGTCAGCGATGCGTCGCTGGTGTCGAAGGTGGACATGGCCGACGCCCGCCAGGTCTACCCTGCGCCTGGCTCTCCTCTCGCCCACGAGACCTGCGCCGACGCGTCGCCTCGTCCTTCCGCCTACACCCCCGTTCGTCCTCACATTGACTCCCTGCCTCGTCGTCACATTGAGTCCCTACCTCGTCCCTCCCGGCCTGCCCTGACGCACTCGGACTCTGTCGACTCTCCGGCCTCGGGCCGCCCGTGCCCTCCGCTCTACGGTCGTATCCGCTCCGACTCGGAGAACTCGCATGGCTCGGCTCGCTCGCATGGTTCGTCTCGCACGCGTGGTTTGGACTCGCCTGCGCTGTCGGACGGGATGCTTAACTCGCCCGCTTCCTTGGACTCTCCCTCGAGCTTCGACTCGCCTACGCTTTCCGGTCGCGCACTCGATTCGCCTACGCTCTCGCGCGCTGCTCCGACTATGGCGACATACGGCTCGACTACGGCGACATACGCCGCTCCGACTACGGGGACGTACGGTTCGACGCCCTTGTATGCGCATGCGCACGCCGCGTCTGTCGATATCACTACGGCGACCTGTCTGGCTTCGAACATTGAGCATGGACTAGATACTTCTGCCTCCGCTACTGGACACGCCTCCGCAACTGGAAATCCCTCGGCAACTGGATACGCCTCTTCGACCTCCGCCGCCGGAACTATCTCGCCCCAACCGGGACTGGTTACCTCCGTCTCCGCCGTGCAACTTGCTACCTCCGCCTCTGCCGACGACGCCCGCCGCTTCTCGCAGCGCACTCACGCGTCGGTGTACACGTTGGGCTCTGCGTACTCGCAGGAGACGTACGATTGGAGGAGGTCGAGGGGGACGCGCGATTCTTACAGGGCGCGCGATTCGGCGAGTACTTGGGACTCGAGGCGGAACACGACGGAATCAGCTTCGACTTATCGGACTCGCGATTCGAGGAGCTCGTACCGTACTCGCGACTCGAGGAGCTCGTATCGCACGAGGGACTCGAGGAGCTCGTATCGCACCCGCGACTCTGCGAGCACGCTCCGCACTCGCGACTCGGCGAGCTCGTACCGCACGCGGAACTCGGCGAGCACGTTCAGGTCGATGAGCACCTTCCAGTCGTTTGACTCGGCGAGTACGTGGGAGGGGAGGCGGGAGAGGAGGGAGCGGTCGGAGTCGAGGGCGTCGACGAGGGCTTCGAGGGCGATGGTGGATTCGCAGATAACGCCGACGAGGGCTTCGAGGGCCACGATCGATTCGCAGAGAACGCCGACGAGGGATTCGCACAAGACGCCTACGAGGGAGTCGAACAAAGCGCCTACTCGGGAATCGCAAAGGACGCCCACGCGGGAATCGCAAAGGACGCCTACGAGGGAGTCGCAGAAAACGCCCACGAGGTCATTGACTCGCGACTCTGAGCGCACGCCAACTCGGACTTCGACTGGCAGATCTCGCTCAAACTCGGATCGCTCTGGTTCTGGACGACGTTCAAGGGCTGACTCTCGCCGGTCGGACTCTAGGCACGCTTCGAGGTCGGAATCAAGACACTCTTCACGGTCGGAGTCAAGGCACTCGCGTTCTGAATCTCGCCACTTGCGCTCCGAATCTCGCCGCTCGCGCTCAGAATCAAGGCACTCTCGCTCCGAATCTCGTCGCTCCCACGACTCTCGCCGTTCCTCCTCTTGCTACACCTCCTGCTACTCGTCGCGCCCCTCATCGAGGGCTTCGAAGCACTCGGCTCGTTCTTTGCGCCGCTCGTCGTCTTGCCACTCGGGCTCTCGTCACGACTTATACGTTCCGAAGTCGTCGTTCCGGAATGCGCGCACAGGCGCCGCGCCGGGCTCGCGCTCTTCGCGCCATACATCGTACTCTTCGCGCCACACCTCGTACTCTTCGCGCCGCACGTCGTACTCTTCGCGCCGCACGTCGCACTCCTCGCGTCGTTCGTCAAGGTCTTTCCGCCGTACGACGAGATCGTCGCGCGGGTGGATCCCGTCGGTGTCGTCGCTTCCGTCGCTGGACTCGTTGCCGGTGTTGGACGAGGGGGAGAGGTGTGCGATTGACTTTGGTGGGGAGGCGGGTGTGTTTGGTGAGTGTTAATGGGTTAGGTGCGGGTCGTGGGTTGATGTTGATTGAGTTATAGGCAAGGATCGCGACGTGGAGTTTTCCGCTATCAAGGCTTCGAGGAGCGCCGCCGCCATGAAGACCTCGCAGAGCGCCGTCGGTGTCAAGACCTCGCATAGCGCGGCCTCGGTCAGCACGCGGATGGTGATTGATGCGTTCCCGGAGGTGCCGAGCTCGAGCGAGGATGAGGAGGTCGGGCTGGCGTATGATCGCTTGTCACAGGCGACGCTCGAGGAGGCTTCGGCGTCGACGATGTCGACACCGACGGCATCTTTGTCGACCACGGAGGCTCCAGCGGCGGTCCAGCCAGCCGCGACGTCGGTCCACTCGGTCTCGGCGCCAACCACTCAAGTCACCACCCGCCCTCGCGCCCCCAGCACGCCGAAGACGCGTCGCGCGACTGCGGTGGTGGGCATGCCGAGGACGCCGACGCAGAGGAAGCGGGCGGGGTATTCGGGGGCGAAGGCGTCTGATGCTCCGTTGCTTGCCCTGGCTGCTTCGACGTCGACCGTGGACGAGTCGTCGACGATAGGAGATGAATTCGCGTCGGAGATGGACGACTCACCCGGCCGTACGCCGCGTGCTCGGATGGGAATGGAGAACATCGCGTCGAGGATGGACGAATTCGTGCCTAGGAGGGACCTCTTTGTGCCCAGGAAGGAGAACGTCGTGCCCGAGCTCGCGGCCCCTCGCAATCGTTCGGTGAAGGCTAGACGGCAGGCAATCGTTGCGCCTATGCGGAGCGCGCTTGCGCCGTTGAGGTTGGCGCATGGACAGGCGGCGTCGCAGGATGTGGAGGTGTTTGGGAGGTTCTAGGTCGGGGCTCACAATCCCGTAGAGTGGATGGCGAGAGTGGTGAGCTATCCTCATACGCGCTTCGTTGGTTGCTGGTGAGGTGCGCAAGTTGTCTTCGAGCTCGATATGTTGTCGAGGGCGATGTGTATTGTTGGGGCAGGTGCTTCAGGTCGCAAAAGACCTCGCAGTTGTTGGACTTCTCGGACTCATACACGGCCTCGTCTCTTACTCTGATTCCGTTCGTGATTGTCTTCCTGTAGAATAGTGTACGCTCGGGCTTGAATGGAATGAACATTGCTTCGTATGACTGATCGTGATATTCTGGTGGATGGGAACTGTGCGCCGCGTCGTGTCTTGAGTTAAGCCGAGGAATTGTTTTGTTTTTCATAATTAGCATAAGAGATTACTCTCTCATGGGCTTGTGGTACAGTGGTAGCACGTTCGCTTAGCATCTCCAATAGCATGCGAAAGGTCCTGGGTTCAATTCCCAGCAAGTCCATAATGTTCCAATGGCTGCGAAGTTATTCTTTATGTTTTCAGCGATGTCCCTGTCAGGCAGCGCCGACGATTTGGGGATCCTAGATCTCATGGTCGGAATTGCTCCATGCCAATATTCTCTTTGACTGTTTTTGACGAAACATATTTCTTCTTCGTCGAAATGCAAAGACATGTCATTCTAGTCAAACCTGTAGGTAGCCTCAACAAGGGCCAGAGTCAACCTGACAGACATGTTCTGCCGGGGAATCAGCCTGCTGCCCTACCATAGCCTACCATGCGCCGTGATTGTCGTGCACAACGGTGTCGAGCACGATCGAGGACACGTGCGGCGCAGCTGATCCAACTGCAGGACATGCGTTCGAACTCGAGGCTGACTCGCGCCTTCGTTGCAACCACCATGTACTGTGACCAACAAAATCGAGATGCTGGTGCGAGGATGCCCTATATTCTTACTCGACTTTCTCCTGATCAATCTTCGACAGTGGACATGGACACGCAGTGCAGCGAAATCATCGTCCTCCTGCAACGTGCCTCGTGCCTCGCGAGCATCGAGCTTCAACGGGCCGGATTCGTACCTACCCCGGGCGAGAGAGAGGTGATCCAGGGGATCTCTATTCGGCTCTCGAATGAACTCGCGCGACTTGCTCTCGGCGACCATCCTTCTCCATCCCTCGAGGCGCTGCGCGAGCGCGTAACATCGCAGCTCAACGTTAACCGTTCGATTGCGGCACCCGTGCGCCGCCTTCCTTCAGAGCTGTTGTCCGAAATATTCTTGGTGCTTGATACCACGACTTCTCGTGCGGAGATGATTGCAAAGACGATCGCGCCCGTGTGCGTTCTATGGCGCACGACTGCATATAGCACGCCACGGCTATGGAGCTCCATCTCATCTCTTTCCACAAGACATTCGGCGAGCTATGACTATGCGAGACACGCAGCGCTGGCCGGCGACCTGCCGCTCCATATCTGGGCAAGTGATAAGAGTGCCGGCGACATTCTGTCCCAGCTACGTCCTTATGCTGCACGCTGGGAAACGCTCTTCCTCGCTGCTACCTGCCAGCTTGTCGAGTCACAACCAACGCTCGACTTTCCCATGCTCAGAAAAGTGGAATTTTGGCCGAGCCGTCCCTCGACGAGCGACACGCTGCACTTCCTCGCCAATGCGAGGCGGTTGGAGACCCTCAAGATCATGCTCCTCCCAATGATCGGCTATATAATGGAATGGCTGCCCCTGAACGTACCCGCCTTTCCCAACTTGACCTCTCTCGAACTAGAGATCTACTACATGGACAGCGTAGACCCTGGCGTGCGCACCATTGTGTCTGCCCTGCACAGCGTCAGGCGGACCTTGTCTTTCCTGTCTGTCAAATTCCAGTCCGGAACATTCGCCGAGTACGACATGCACAAGCGACTCGAGATCGCGGACATGCCGTCCTTGCGACGCCTTGTGCTGAGCGACGATGCGCCGTGTGTGGTACTCGAGCACATTCGAGCACCCGCCCTCGAGGAAATTGTGTACAGGCTTGGAAGCGACTTCTTTCGTGGCTCGATATCGCATCTTCGATCCGCCCTGCTTTGCGCGCCTGCGCGCGTGAAACAACTCAGCATTTGCCTCAGCTATCCAAGTCTCGGTCCTGACGAGCTTGTCCGCTGCCTCAAACTCCTCCCTGACTTGGAGGAGCTTTCAGTGGACGACGCACTCGGAGAGAGGCCACCGATGCTTATAACGGAAGGCTTTCTTCGACGCATGACCTGCGCCGAGGACGAGCGTCCGTTAGTTCCGAAGCTGACCAAGCTGACCTTAAATATGGCTTGTGGCGGCGACGATTGGAAGTCTATTGATCACGGGCTAAAGAGTATGCTCGAGTCCAGGAGAGCGCCACGAAATTTTGCATCTGTGGAGGTGGTGGCGTTGAAGGATGTCCGCATTTTTTTCGGAGGGAAGGAGAACACCCCGATTTAAACTCGTACAAATAGCGAGACTGCACATGTCAATTCACATTCACCTCCTGCGCTCCGATAGACACATAAGGGTGTGATTTCTGTTATATAGCACGATCCAGGCACCAAAGCAAGAGTGCAGTGACCGGTCCTCCGTCTGGGCGTTTCCGAAGTCGAACTTCATCATGTGATCGAACACGTGCGAGGGACGTGACATGGGTCACAGTAGCTAGGTTCCGTGTGACGCCTCGGCCTTAGCCGACGCCACGTGCTCTGCCTTCACCCCTCGCGGGGGTATTTCCTTTGGAGTTCCTTGAGGTTCTCCTGGTTTCTTATGACTCGTATATATACTCCGTGACTAGTTATGACTACTTACAGCTGTAGGTATAAAAGGGCCCTCCTCCAAGGGAGGAGGGCAAGGTTTTCAATCGAGACTTCGTTACAGAGTAACCTCGTGGGAATCTTCTTCATCATCTCCGTGAGCCGAGCCCGGCCCGCTCTCCGCGTCACCGTACTCGCCTCATATTTTTACTCTCTCGCTCGACGTCCTCGATAGAAACATCGACTTCGACTTCGACAACCAGCAACCAGCAAAGTTTTCACTACCTACCCCTATTCCCCCCGCTAAGGCAACGGACTTGATCAACCCGGCACCCTTCGCGGCTTAATTACCCTTTCTTCCTTGTCGACAATCTCAATGGCGCCAAAAGCTCAACCTCTGCGCGACTCCAGCGGACGTTTCCGCCCTCGCGCAGCGTCGGTTGACACCGGTGAGTCTCAGACCGCGTGGCGTGGTACTGACGACTCCTTCACTAGTGCACTCTCGGACAACGAGTCCGACTCGGGTACGGCGGGCGCTCAAGATGCGCCGCCTGCCACCGCCGATGACCAGGTCATCGAGCATGCGACGGTGCAACACGACGTTGTGCCGTCGTCGGGTGCTTCCGCCACGACGGTGGGGGTATCCCGCCAGGTGTCTGCTCTCGACGGAGCAGACCCTGGAGAGGGCGAGTGGTCGGCCGATGCCGCTGCTCAGTCCCCGACCCACGCGCATGCCGCCGACGGCCTCGTGCCTGAAGCTGGTGCTCAGCCGCGTGCACCGGGTGCTGTGGGCAGTCGCGCTATCGCGCCAGAGTCCACGGAAGTAGATAATACTACGAATAAAATTTTCCCTCAGTATGATGAGAACAGCGAGCACGGGGCTCGCGAGTCCGAAAGCGTGAACGTACCTGAGAGCTCTATCCCCGGAAACAGTAGGGACCGGATGGATAAGGGTAAAGGCCCGGATCTACGCAATTTCGGTAATCTCGACTTCGACGAGGTCGAACACGATCCCGAGATTCAGCGGGACATCCTGGATGCCGCAAATCGAGCTCGGGGATCGCGGGCTCAAGTGCCCAATCAGGGGCCAAGGGTGTCTTTGGCAAATCTGGAACCCCGCGCCGCCGAAAACAAGCAGATCGCCGATCTGTTCGATGCACTCCACCTCAAGACTGTTGAGGCCGCGGACTACGCCGCCCTCAATGCCAAACTGGCGAGGCAGGTCAGCCAGCTCAGTGAGAGGTACGACAATCTCGTCGAACTCCTCACGGATGGGTCTGGCGCCGCACGCTCGCGCGCTGCGAGCGTCGCACGTGAGCGATCGGTGCCGAACGAAGTTCAACCGACACGTGACCTGAGCGCAATCAAGCGCGAGACCGCGGAGGCCTCTGTGCCCCCCGCGGTGCATCGTGAACGTCCTTCGAAGGCTTCTAGTCCCGAAGACAAGCTTCGTCCGAGCTATGTAGCTGGGGGCGAGTCCTACTGGGACAAGTACATGGCTATGATCAGAAGCCGTGTAGTCGGCCTTCCGAGCTCAGACTCGGATGACGACGGACAGTTTGACAGCGCGGGTAAGGCCAGCCGCCTTAAGCCGCAGCCTCCCGAGTCCTACGACGGCCGGGAGGACGATGAGGCCTTCTGGACCTTCGTCATTGATTCTCTTCAGTATGTCACTGATGGTCGAGTGGCAGCCACTCGGCAGGCCGACGTTGTCTCGCGTTGGCTCACTGGCAAGGCCAGAAGGTTCTACAAGCAGAACTACATGCTTAGTGCTTCTCGAAGCGCAAATCTAGACGACTTTTTCAGAGATTTATTCGATCACTGTTTCAGTCTAAACTACAAAGACAAATGTCGTACTCGGTACAAGTCCTGTATCCAAGACAATCGCGATCTCCGCGACTACATGCACGATCTAGAGCGCTTCTGGGTGGTGCTGACTGAGGAGACCAGCCGAAACCGGGTCTTGAAGTTTTGGGAAGGCCTTGACTCCTGGCTCGTGAAGCGCCTGATGGAGGACGGCTTCAGCAAAGAAGTTGATGAGTTAGAGCCTACGTACCGACGTGCTCTGCAGCTCTGGCAGGCTAGCTACGCTGCCCGAGCCCAAGCGAAGGGCAGGCGCCCTGACGACCATGGTGGATCGCCCCCCAACCGCGGAAGCGGCACGGGTGGCGCATCTGCATCGTCCCGACGTTCTGGAGGCGGGAGCTCTTCTGCTCCCTCCTCTAGGCCGCCAGCGAACGCGTCTGCTGCCGCTGGAACGCGCACCTCGAGCTCTAATGAACGCTCGAGGACCACTGGAGGTAAATTCAGCGGACAGGCAAGGGGGTCACAACGTACCTCCGCGCCGAATGGAAGGAGCGCGAACGGTCGCGCCCCTCCTAACCGCAAGCCAGGAAAATCTCCTGAGCTCCTGAAGCGCCTCCGTGAAGAGGGGCGCTGCTTCCGCTGTGAGTCTAAGGACCATATAAGCCGAAACTGTCCCGAAGCGAACCACGTACCTTCGACGTCTTCTGGACCTCCTGGTCTCGCGATTCACTCGGTGGCAATCGAACAGGCACGTCTGCTCGACCAGAGACGTGCTGGCATCACTAACACGACTACATTGTCAGTCAATATGGTTCAGTTCGAACCCTCGCACGACTCACCTGGGTCTAACCCGGACAGTACACGCTGCACGACGTGCTCACCGCCGTGGGCAACACACGTCCTCGCGGACTGTCCGCTTGTCTGTGGCGACGTTCCCGGACGCCCCCACCTCTACGTGCAGCCGCTCTTCGACTACTACACGCGAATTGCGCTGCGCACGAGGCGCGAGCCTCCCAAGTTTTGCTCGGGCGACGACTTGCTCGCCCTCTGCGAGACACCCGAGTATGCCGATTTTATCGGTCGCGCCTGCGACCCTTCATACGTTGGCGACTTGGGGCAGTGGCGGGTGCGTGGTGCGTTCGCGCTGAACGCCGTGCGCGCTTGGCCTGGCGACGGCGAGAAGCTGCGCGATGCGATGTTCCACAACCTCGCGCCGCTCTCGTATCTTTGCGATGGCGCGCCCGTCCGTTTCCTGCCAGTCCAGACCCAGGACGATTGTGTCTCCCTCTTCGAGACTGTTGAGGCCGAAGCTGGGCGTCGCGAACTGGCTCCGCTTCGCATCCCGAATGCGTTCTTCATCCGCGAAGGCTTCTCGATGGAGGACTACGTTGCGCGTCAGATATGCGTCGACTTCGGGATGGACACCTCACAGGCTCGTCGCATGGCGTACCTCTACTCCACGGGCACTACCCTCGGGGATCTCGTGCCCGAGAGCGTCGCTTACGCCCTCAACTGGGCAGTCAGACGCGTAGTCGGCGAGGAGCAGCGTCGCGCTGACCTCTCCCGCTTCTACGCCTTCCGGCCGTACTCTGGGTCGCCGGTCATCCTCGTGTGCGACACGCTCCTGGGCGTGTCGTGGGGTCTTCGTCTCAAGGACATTGACGCCGGTATCAACGTCTGGTACTGGTACATGTATCAGCGCATGCGCTACTTCGTGGGTGGGCATCAGAACACGGCTCACCCGAAGCGCTATATGTCGCGCTGGTTCGAGTCGCCTGCTGATGCCGCAGCGCGTCGAAGCTTCGACGTCTTCACGCAGCCCGACGGCGCGTTCCCCGCGCGTTGGTTTCGCGAGCCCGCGGAGGACCTGATTGAGTCCGGCGTGTTCGCACAGGCGTGGGCAACGATGGTGCGCATGGCGTCCAACGTGCCGGTACGTTTCCCAGCTTCGCGTCTTCCATGGCGTCAGCTGACGGTCTTCGCAGTATCGAAGGGGCGCTCCGCGCCGTTGGCGTCCTCGTCCGCACGCGTTGCGCAACGGACAGCCGTCTTCCCGCGGGGGAGCGGCCGCCGCATCCCGAGGCCCATCGTCCTCGTCGTTCGTGTAAGCGGGCATCCCTGCAAGGCGTTAGTAGACTCTGGTTCGTCAGTAGATCTCGTGAGCTCGGCTCTCGCTACTCAACTGCGCCTTCCGCTCATTGAGCACGATGGCCAGGTGTCCATGACGATGGCAGTGAGCGGGTCGCGCTCGAAATGTAATTTTCATACGTCTGTAGATTTTGAATGGTCAGCTATACACGAGCAGCGCGTCTTTGACGTCTTGAACCTCGCGACTTACGACGTCGTCCTCGGGACTCCGTTCCTGTACCAGCATTCCATCTCGTTCTCCATCAACCCGCCGAAGATCCTCATTGGGAGCGTTGAGGCGCTGCCGCTTGAGGGGCCACACGTCGACGACTTGTTCATGGCGAACGTAGAGCCCGAGCCTGGCTCGGACGAGTTAGAAGCTATTCGGAAGCATCTAGTCGAAATGGCCTTACCTTTGTGCAAGACCATCGCGGAGACTGAGCTCCCGCCCTTGCGTGCGATTAATCACACGATTCCCATCATAGACCCCGACCGTCGGTACCCGTTCCGTCGCTCGAATTGCCCTGCAATCTTTCGTGAGCAATGGAATGAGAAACGCGACGCATATATGCGCTCGGGGCGGTGGGAATTCACCACCGCCACGAACACGGTGCCCATGCTTCTCATCGCGAAGAATCAGCGCGAGAAGACGAAGCTACGTACTGTTGTAGACCTGCGCGAGCGCAACGACAACACGCGCAAGTTGTCGTCCCCGCTCCCCGACCAGAACGCGATCTTGCGTCGCGTCGCCGCTGCGAAATATTGGTCAATTCTCGACGGGAAAGACCACTATGAGCAAATACGTGTCTTACCTGAGTACGAAGACG